ACTTTCAACTTGTTTTGGTTTTATAGTGCCGCCTTAGGGGAAAGATCGATTCAAATGGCTGTGTTGCTGCCTTTTTGGAGGAGCGGTTAAACATGGGTCTGAATTTTATTCTTTCTGCAGAGGTAAAAGGCACTCTTCTTTTTTCTTTTTCACACACCCTCTGTTGATGTGCGTAATTGTGAGGATGTGTAGTGTGCGTGAAAATTTAGTTTGGTGTGGATGTTCATTTAAGTTGGTTGGATTTTGCATTTTTTTCCTTGACATGCTTTTCATGTTTATTCCTTGCAGCTTGACCACAGGAAAAAAGACTACAAATTTGGGTTTGGTTTGACCGTTGGAGAATGAATTAGCAGGACAAGAGCGGTGTTTCCATTTCTGTAGCCAGCTTAGCAAGCTTCCTTGCTTCTTTTTCCTTGTTGAAGATTTTTCTTTTCAAAAAAAGAGGAAATATCTAATGTGTCGGGAAACATTATTTTCCATCCACAAGTAGCTGCAGAAATTTCAGTAGTCATCGATTTGTTTGGAACTTGGGCAGAAAAACTTGATTTGTTTGGAACTAGCCCTGTTTTCCCTTGAGGGGGATGTAGAGTGATATAAGATGAATGCATATTGTGAGATTCAATTTCAGTAATTTTTCTTTCGCTCTTGTATCTATCCATTTCTTAGTCTTTTTAAAGATTACCCATGGGATCATCGCAGCAACAATGGCTGTAGTCATTGCATAATTTAGTGAAAGATTAAGGATTTGGATTTCTCTTTTACTCAAAAATAAGAGTCTTCTTACTACAGAGGGATATTTTTGGAGGAACTCAACATTTTTTATGCAAGGGTAATCAACTTGGAACAACAGCTATTTGTGTTGTTTTTCAAAATTCTCGCGCTCTGTAAAATTATAGGATCAATCTGCCACCTCGGTTTTGGGTGAATGGTTGAACTTCGGCTCAAGAATGCTTTTGCACGCGCATATTTTTCCTTCTTCATTCAATTTGGTGGCCTACCCAAATTTGATCAATTTTTAAATTTGACCAACGTATTTTTAATGCATATTCAATTAGTAAGGTTTGTTCATACAAAAGCTTAGTTTCAACAAGTTACATCTCACGGATTGCAACTAGATTGTTATTAGGCGTTTGAAGATGTCGATTTCAGATTTTTTTTGGCTCATTGCTTCAGGAGGAAAACCTTGTGGAAAATCTTATCTTTATTTTCCTAATTGTAATTGTATCTTCTAGAATTGAAACGTGTATATTTATTAAACATTGCTTTCGTAATTTTATATACTTGCACTAATTTTAAATATTATTTTATCAAATACTTATTGGTCACCATTCATTCAAGCCTTTTAGCACTCCGCACTCAAACAATATCTTAATCTTGGCTGAATGGCTCTTTTATTTACTTCGTACACCGTGTAAACTTGGGTTTGGCTTGAACAAAGTTTACGGATGAGTCTCCATGAAACGTATAGATTATAAGGCTAATTCAGAATAACTAGAAATTTTATATTTGAATTTCTTGGTGTTTCAAGACCCAGAATTTTTACGAAGGTTCAATCCATGAACTCAACCAATTCAACTTGATAAAATAATAATAATTTAGATTAAATTATAAAAAGGGTAAGTTCGACTATTAGACTGGTGGATATTGGATCTTACGTTTCCAATTCCTATGAACCAAACCCAAACCAAGTACCTTAGTTTTCTTTCTATTTTCTTTTCATTTTGTTATTTTATTTTAGAATTTTAGAATAATAATAATACATGTTTTTATCTTTTTATCCAGTGTTATTTTGTTTTTATACAAATACTTCGTTTTAAATTACAAGTTTATGTCAATCTAATTCATGCCAATTACATTTAATCAGTTTAGATTTATTTCAATTGTCTCTAATTTCTATTTAATCAGCTTATTTTATCGTAATATGAACAATGAACGCGAAGATGAGGTTGGAATGCACAACCCTGTGGTAGAAACTCAAAAGCTACTTGGAGGCTTGGAGCCTCGATGGTATTCTCCAACAAAGATTCATCTTATCTTCAACCTACTCTGGGAAACTATAGCCATACCATTTTGACCCACAAATCGTGCAAAAAGTTGCATACAAACACTTTCAATTAAATTTAACACAAACTCAATTTTGTACTCGTTTTTCCTTTCGAGTGTTCTCCATAGTTTTTCTTTTTAAAATAAAAGCATAAATTAGGGAAAGAAAGATGCCATCCCATTGTCATCTACACTCTTTCTCCCCTTTTCCCAGTAAGTATCTGTTTTATTTCTAATTTGAAAACTAATTCTCATATTTTTCAACTAAAAATATATGTTTCACTAAAATTAGTTTTGACACATTTCAATTATGTTGAATAATTTAAAATTAATTATTATCAAAATTATTTTCATTAACCCTAAAACAGATAAATAATAAGTTAATATTTAAAAGCAACAGCTTTGTGTACGAAATCCAGTTGTTCTCAAGCAAACTATGTATTAAACAACCATGCAAAACACAAACAAGATAAAGGCCAAAGAATTTAGAAATTTTATTTAAATGTTTCTTTTAAACTAAGGGGGAAATCCCTTTCATGTGAAAACATTAATAAAGTCAATAAATAAAGGTGCAGCAATTCGGAGCTTCAACAAGCTCGAGATGACAAATTTTAAAATTTCATATTTATAATTCTTAGTTAAATTGAAAATGCATTTATAATTTACTTAAAACTTGTTAAAAAAAATTTAATTTTTTTGTATGTTATTGTTTCTTATTTATTATTTGGTCTACAAAAATTGTTTTACATGTCAATTAGTATAATGCATGCATCTTAATAAAATGATTATTTTTTATAAAAATACTAAAATCATTGGTAGTTAGATAGTAAAAATTATTCTTAAAATAATATTAAATTTATTATAATGATTAATTGGTAATATTTATTTTTAATAATAATTAAAGACATTAGTAAAAAAATAATTTACCTTTTATATTTTAAAGTAATAAATAATTTGAAATAAATATAAAATATTTAAATATATTTAATATAAAATGAAATGAGTATACGTATTGTATCTATTTTTTATTATTTAAATATAAATATATAATTAATTTAATTCTTTGAATCATTTAAATTTAATATTAATTTTTATTTTATCATAAAATTATAATATTTTAAGCTTTATTTAAGTTAGTTGTGATGATACAATTGATCTAGAGTAATACAACAAACGGTAAGATGAGAAAAAATAACTTATATATTTTCAATTTTAAAAATTTCTATAGTGTAAGTATATATGTAGATTTATATACACACTTTATAAATATATTTATTATTTATTCAAAGTTTACATCATAGTTTATATATTTTATAGTGATTTTTTCAAAGTAATTCACAAGAAAATCAATAAAGGTAAAAGAAACATGTTTTGAAGAACACATTTATGTACATGTATTTTTTCACACAACATATAAAAGAGTGCTTAAAAATATATTAAAAACTAAATAACTATGACTAAAAAATTCAATTTCTAATACAATGACAGAGCTAGATGAATTATTAATTTTATATTATTAATAAAAATAACAAAATTAAGACTTTTTACTTCTCAATTTAAGTAAACTTTCTTCTAAGAAGCTGTGTTCAGAACATGTAGTTGAATCTTTTTTGGCTAAATGATTAATACTCTCCATTAATTCTTAAAATTTTAAAAAAAATATTATTTTGTCCATAAAATTATCAAATTTTTATTATGGTGATTTTACAGATTAAATTGACATGTGGTTGAAATTTTAGGGACTAATTGGCGTATCTATGTCGGCTGAACGAATTTCCCATTTATAATTGTCGAAGATTTAGTAAATTATGTCGTGGGGACACTAAATCTTTGCCATCTTATTCACTTAACGACCACATGAGGTTTGACGTCCTTGTTGCCTGCCATGTTGGAGGGTAAGTATGGACACAAGTTTTTCCTTGTTCTCTGAAGGAGACATGCCTCATTATTCTTATAATTTCTACTTCTTTTCGTTTTGTTTTATATACTATTCTTTTGTGAATTTTACTTCTTATATCAAAAGAATCAAAACCTTAATAATATGAAGCTAGAGGCTTCAGGAAAAAAGTTACACCATAGATTGAAGTTATCTTAAATGCATGTTTTTATTTACATAGAATGAATATAAATTTATGGTCAATGTTACTAAGTGTAATTTCTATGCTAAATTCACATAATGATTTTTCACGTGTTTACAAATATGCACTAAATCAATTACTAACATTAAACATAAAGAAACAACGTCCCATCACTTATGTCAGAGACTGGGAATCCTACAGGGAAAAGCAAAGTACCATTTTTAGCATACTGAATAATTGTGTCGGGTGCACGAGAAGCCCCATGGCCAGAAAACAATACATGTTAAACGACGAATAGATAGCTAAACATACAAACTATTATTTTAAATTACCATACGAAAGTTTTGTTAAAAAGAGTCAATTTTGATTTTAAGACCAAACAACCAAAAAGGAAGGAATGGTAAATAACCACAGTGCACCCTTTTTATGATCAAGATCATTACGGGACAACAAGATGTTGTTCCTTTTTATATATATATATATATATATATAAGATTAAAAGAATCATTGAATAGTATCATATAGTGTCTGTCATTCTTTTTCATGTTCAAACAGTGAAACGGTTGTTTATGCCAATCGAATACTATCATTAGTTAGATGGCTGTTGCATGTCACATTTTCTTGCATCAACATGGGTGGGAGCATAAGAATGAAGGTGCAAAAGCAAAAGTTAGGAACTTAGAAAAAGCTAAACCAAGATGCTGAAAACTATACAAATGTTAAGTCAGGTAACAGAAAGTGTGTGTTAGCACCGTTACTCTTACTAGTATTACCCTTATGCTGTACAAGCTCAGCTAGTTACTTTCTCATAGCAATTGAACCTCGAACCCCCAATTTATACTTAAATCCCAATATGGGGTATAATGGGGTTGAGCTACTCTCAAATGTTCAAGAAGTCTTATTCTTCAAAAATGGAAAGTTAAAAAACAAAAAATAGGAGAAGAAATGAAGAAAACGATTAGAGTAGTGATAACTTTTAAGATAAGAAAACAAAGACAGGCCTCTGGGGGATGCTTTTCCTTGGTCGCTTTCTGAAATTCACGACTTCAACCCACCCATATGGCTCAGCTTCAGAGATAGATGATTCTGGTTCTGAATTATGGTTGTCATTTATTGTATAGTCAATAGCTTCAGGTTTTGTTGTAATGACGCCTCTACCACTTTGGCTTTGGGGCTCCACTGGAAGCACTGAGATCTAAAAATTGCACATGATTTGAGTCAACTGAGGATATACAAGTAAACCATCAAATTTTAACATTAAATCATAGCATGGATGTTATTACCTTGCATGTAATGGAGCAGAAGCGATTACGCTCATCTTGTAAGTGTTTTCCACATTCTTCACACGTGCCACCTGACTTTGGTTTTGTTGTTATGCTGGTTTCTTTGGATTTTGAGTCAGGACTTAAATCAGCAGATTTAGATTTAGTAGTTGAAGGCCTAGGTTTGAGATGCACAATCCTTTCATTGTTGGATATGTAAGTCTGCCAAATCACGTCACCATTGTAAGCAGAAAATTACATTTAAAATCAGTTTGTGGCTAAAAAGTTAAGTTCAGAGCTTATATCTAGAGAATAGTTAGATTCACCGAGTCAGATATAGCGGTTAAGCAATGAGGTTCACGTATACTAGTGCCAAGGAAAAATGATCATAGCTTATTTCATGGATAACTGCATTAGAAAATTAATGATAGAATACTTCATTCGTTTGGTAAAGCTGATAAAGGATAAGGGATTTCAGAACTTAACCCATTTGGAAAGTTTAGTCACTATAAATCCAACGAGCTATCACCTCATTAATGACTATGTCCACTAAAGAACAGCTACTCAAGTTACATCATCCATTTGAAAATTTAAACTCATGCAATAATTTTTATCAGATCATTGAAGGTTATGCTATCGTATGGAGCAAAACAAATCAAGCACAACATAGCAACAACAAATTCGATTCAAACGAAGAAATTGAATTGATCAAAGCCACGTGAAAAATCAATCAATCAAATTAAATATTATCTTGTGACAAAGAAGAGAGGACCTGAATTTTTGAGCAGTCAAAATACTTCTGCAGCTCGGAATGGCGGAAGACATCCTGATAGGAATATTTGTAAATCTGAAACCTTCTATGGAGGGAATGAGCTTCTTTACAGTGCCTACACAGTCTAACAGCACAATCTATGCAGAAGACATTTTTCTCGTTAGATCGAAGGTCATGGTGATCATCACAATAACCAAAGCTGCTATTCATAAGAGCTCTAATCCAATCTCTATTCCTATCCTTTGGTAAAGGATTCTGCCCCACCTGCAAAATCCATTGCAAAAGGAATTCAAGAACCTTTCAAAGAAGAAACACTACAGCAAAACACAGTTCAACAATCAAAGAACAAAATAGTAAACTTTCCTCATCAAATTACCAGCATATTACTCTCCAAGAAATCTACCCTTACTACCCAAAAATGGAACTCAAATCACAATATTCAAGATACCACAAAACAAACTAATCTAAACATGCAATTTTGAATTTTCAAAATTGAGACACAGTGTCACCCGTCCTCTTAACGGAGACCAAGTTTATAATAGAAAGATTACTCCAATCAACACAGTGAGCTTATACAAAACAGAATCACACGCATCCAAAATGCAAAGAAAATAGGCTAGCATCAGTGATCATGGAATTGATTGCAGACAAAATTGCAAGGAACGAAAGAGAAAAATCAAAACTTTTTAAGAACCCATTAAAAATTAGAGTCCAAAAAGCATAGAATTGATGATTTGCTTTACCATCTCTTCGGCTTCAGATTGGGTACACAGTAGCAGTTGCGGCTTGTGGGGAAGTGAAGAAACAGAGTCTCTCTCTCTCTCTCTACTCTCTGTCTCTCTCTAAGAATGTGAAGGGATTGACATAAAAAGAAAAAGGGTGTCATGGATTTTATAATTAAAAAAAGAAAAAAATATAGAATTAATGGAATTACCAAAAAAAAAAAAAGAAACAAAATAGTTTCTTTTTCTGCAAAGAAATGTTGCCGTACAATCGGCGGGAAGGTGAACGCGGTGGTGCCGTTGGATTGGAATGTGATCGTACGGCGATGGTTGTTTGAGAATGAATGTGAGTGGGACCCACAGAGGAGAAAAGAGTGGAAACCCCAAAAAAGTCGCTAGCTGCCCCCCACCCATTTCCCGCCAATTTAACCGAAATTCTCGGAATCCCTAAAATGCATTATTTTATTTTAAAAAATTGAAATATAATTAATGGATAATCCGTAGGTGGTAGCTCCCACTCATCAAAGCCCTCACGGGAACCCACTTTCTCTATTTAAGTCTCCCATTCATAACACTTCATTTTTCGTTTTAATTATTTTTTTACTTTACAAATATTAAATAACCAAAAATAAAAAGTAATATATATATATATATATATATATATATATATATATATATATATATATATATTTCATCTTAATTGACTGATCCACGCAATACGCGAGTCATAGATACACCTACGTACCTAATCATTTCTTCACTCCCAACAATTTTGAACTTACTATTATTAGTTGCATAAAATATAAATGATTATCAATTTCACTGTGTAATATGTAATCAGTTAAAATATTCAAAAATGTTAGTGCAAAGCTTGCAACTCGTAAGTAACTATGTTTTATATTTTATTTTTAACTTTAGATAAACAATACCATTATTTATAATATTCATTTTCAGTATGATGTTAGAAATTTATATTATATTTATGTTTTTGATAGTTATTGTAGTTTTGTACTGTATTTGATGTGTTTTTAATCAATGTTTTATATTATTCCACAAACAGTGTGAAAAGTATATTTTATTTATTTTTATATATTAAAGTGCAAGTAATTGGGATAAAGACAATTTATTATCCAAAAAATATAAAATAGATATGAATATTTTTTAAAATATAAATATAAACAATATTACACTATATATATATATATATATATAATGCCTTTTATGTACTTACACTGTCAACAAATATAGCTCATTTATAGCTTAATTGTTAAAAACATTTTATTTGAGGAAATAACCAGTTTATTTATACAATGTCTAACATAAGTTTGAAGCAAAAACCATGTTGTTATCAAATAACTTCAAACACACGTTGTTATTATTATTTGAAAGGATAGTTTGGGATGAGGATTTGATTTTTGTAGAAAAAAGAAATTCTCAGGAAGAAGGATGAAAATGAGATGAAAGTTTATTTGTTTTTCAGTTTTTTCACTTTTTCTTTTGTAATGAGTAAAAAAAACAGATAATAATATACAGGTTTAGAAAAAAAAAGAGAGAAAAATATGTTTTATTTTTTAAAGTCAATACTTTTTATCAAAATATTTTAAAATAATGTAAAACTTTTTAATCCAATCTTATTTTTAATTATGTAAAATACGTAAACATATTTTCCTTTTTATACTTAAGATTAAACATGAAATGTGTAAATTTTATAGGATTGAACATGTGCATGGTCTAATGATAAGATTAAATATAATATAATATCTTATTAGAAATGGAACAAGAATATCTCGCTCTCACAAGCTTAATAAAAAATATCTAGGCCACGTTTTCACACAAGGTAAGATATCTTAACAAATCTTCTCATATAACGATTTCTTTTGCACACGAATTCCCCCACATCCGCATATAGTCATTTTCTGAATTGTTGTTTTACCAAAAGTTTTTTTCTGACGTGAAATGAGTTGAAAAGAATTTTGTGTAAGAAGAAGAAGAAGAAGAAAGCAAATGGAGTACTTGGTTGGTTATAAAACTACCCATCCCCATAACGCATCTTGTTCCTTTTATGAAATTACTGGATTACCCTTACCGTTTTGCATCCTTCAAAATTGCTTTTTCCTTCCTTCTCATTCATCAACCTTCCCATTTTCTCTTATTGGCATCATTGTTTGTCTGAGAAAACCTTGTACCATATCGAAATGTCGGTATGTTTTAACGTTGTGATGTGATCCACAACTTTTCCTCATCAGGCTTTTTTGCATCTTGCTCATTTTCCCTTTTTTTTTCAATTAATCCCATCATTGCTACCCTGATGATATGAACATTTTACATGCAGGCCCCACTGAACGATACTGATCAAGTGGTTGAAGCGATTCCCCGCTCTACAGCTACGCCAATTTGGACAAATAATGTTTCAGATGTGAGGAAGAAATTGTTGCATAATAATAATGATTATCATTAAGATCATTTAGTTAGGTTTTTAGTCTAAATTCGAAATGCCTGGATAGTGGATACAACAATATCAATCTGCATTCACAATAAAACTTGCGCCATCAATAGTAGTAACAGTATTGGTAAACTAGTAAAAAATATGCAATTGTTATTGCTCTAGACTCTAAATCCATGCATGCATAGGGAACTCAAACTGGCTCAAACAAGACTAATTTCAGTTTCATTTGACAAATATTGTTTGCGGATTTTAGTTCCCTTGATGGAGAAATTCCAAGTTGATTCCCTTTTACTTTTGACAGATAAAAACAGTTAAGGTAAGTAATATATCAATGTCTGCTAATGAGAAGGATATTGAAGGTTTTTTCTCGTTCTCAGGGGATATTCAAAATATTGAAATGCTAAGGTCAGAACCCCTTCAGTGAATTTATCTTTTATTGATTTTTATGATTTCAATTGTTTGAATTTTTGGGCAAATGTCACTCCCTCAATATCTTTCGTTGTAATTTTGCAGAGAAACTGAGAGCACTCAGGTGGCATATGTTACATTTAGGGATTCACAGGGAGCAGACACAGCAGTGCTCTTAACGGTATAAATTTATTAAATTAACTTTTTGTATTGAAAACCTTATAGTACATTTTGATAATAATGAAGACACAATGTATCAATTTATACCATTAAATTTAATCCTTTCCATTTAATCGTTAATATTGATTAAAGAAAAGATTAAATGGTAGATATATTTGTAGTTGATTTTCTATTTCCTTTTGGATAAAATCACATACTTGTGTTTGTGTATAGGGTTCCAACATAGTTAATATTCCTGTCACCATCACACCCGTTGAGAACTACCAGCTCCCCCCTGTAGCTCTTCCCTCAACTCCTGTAAGCAACTTATTTAAATTCTCTACCTAATTATCAATTCAAATTTGCAATATTTATTGCATGAAATTGTGGATCATCATTCTCCGTTGAGGCTTGTATATCTGTAATATGTACTTGATTAAGCTAATTATGTTAAATTTGATGAACACAGTTTCACTCGATCCCTGTACCCAAAATATCAGTGTCAAAATAACCTGGCAGTGCTACTGTGTTTTATATGTATGACCCACTAAATTATTATTGATGGCAGACTATTCCAAGGTTCGGGGTTTTGAAACATATTGCTTCACGATTATAGACAAGAGAAATGTTATTCTTTCAAATATGTTCTTGAAAGTCATACAAATCATGTGAGTCTCACTTTTAATTTAAAAAGTCTCACTTGTACTTTTGTATTTTTAAATAAATTTTAGTCCAGTGTGTTAGAAAAAATATAATAAAAAGTGTGTTTATAGTGATAAACAAGTAAATCGATGAGAAAATGCAGGTAACTAGAGAATGCGTGTTTGGATGCCAATTAAAGTGACATGAACCCACTTTTTGGATCCATAAGCTAGTCCTGGTTGCTTTAAAAAAATGCATTTGAAAGTATGTTATTTTTCAATTATTTTATTTATAAATGAGATTTCAATGTAAAATACTCTTCTCAGGAAAAAAAGCAAACTCCTGCTGGTGTTAAGAAAGCTGAAGACGCGGTAAGCACCATGTTGGCGAAGGGTTTCATTCTAGGAAAGGATGCATTGAACAAAGCGAAATCCTTTGATGAACGTCATCACTTGACCTCAAATGCTTCTGCCACGGTAGCTTCCATTGATCGTAAAATGGGTATAAGCGATAAACTAAGTATAGGAACAACTATTGTGAATGAGAAAGTAAGGGAGATGGATGAAAAATATCAAGTCTTTGAAAAGACCAAGTGTGCTATTGCTGTTGCTGAGCAGAAGGCAAGTATTGCTGGATCAGCTATAATGAGCAATCCATACGTGTTAACTGGAGCCATGTGGGTGTCGAATGCCATTACTGCTGTTGCAAAAGCAGCTGAAGATGTAACCACAATGACCAAAAAGAAGCTTGAGCTGGCAGAGGTAGAAAAAAAGGATTTCATTTACAGTGAAAGAAAAAGTACCCTTGATGAATTGGAAAAACACCAAAACCAAAAGCTACACAATGAGGATTCTCCTGCAGCCCCTTTAAAAGTTCCTGTTAATTCAGGTCATGATGATAAGAAATTGGAAACTTCATAACTTTTTTGAGCTGACTCTCAAATCTTGAGTACAATTGGATTGGTTTAGTTTTCTTAGTTGTAGTTATAGTTAGTCTTCACTCTTCACTTGTTGGAAGTTTGATATAGATGATCACAAGTTTTGTTACTTGATGTAATGGTGTAAAAGTTGTCTAACAAACTTGATTCTTGTATATGAATCAGCGTTTATGAAAAGTGAATAATGCTTTTGTTCATATTTACTATAGTTTGTTGTTTCTTCACATTCACTACTAAATCCGAAAATATAGACGGGCTTTTTCACTATTACAGACGAATTTTAGCATTACAGACCTTATGTAATATGCGCGTCGGTAAATAATTACAGATGGATTTTTAAATTCATTTATAATTTATAGACAGAAAAATCTGTCTGTAATTTATTTATGAAATTTCAAATAAATTGTTTTATTTTTTTATAAACATAATTATTTCTCGCTGTTTCTAATTATCACAATTTATAAACATAATAAAAACTACAAAATTATATATTTAAAATTAAAAGTTATTTATAAAATGTAAAATTAAAATTTCATTACAAAGGAAGAAGTAAACATCTTGAAAAATAATATAAAAAATAAAATAACATTGTATATCACTAATAATTGGCGTGATCATCTTCCAAAAAAGTATCGCCATCAGTAGAGGAGGAGTCAGAGAAAGAATGACGCATGAAGCTGAAGATTGATGGTGTTGGAGCTGATGGAGGAGGAAGAAGAGGTGTAGAGGTGTTTGCTCTCATGAGCTCAAAGTATGCATGCATCTGCATATGCTGCACATCCCTCTGCATCCTCGATGCCACCTTCTTCTCTATCTTTTTCTCTATTTTCTTCGTCTACTTCTTCTTCCATGCACTTTACTTGCTCTTCCACATCTCTTCATTTTGCTTCTACGGTTCTTTATTGAGGGCATGGACCTGAGTGTGGATCATGTCCTCTACTTCCTCAAGTACAAGAGAAGGGGCATCTTCGGTGACAGATGCAGGGGGCATAGAGTCTGCAAAACGAGTCCCCATGCTGTAAATGCAGCTTTTATGAAGGCCACCCACCGTCATCCCCTATCCTGTCCCTTGTCCTGCAAGGTCTGCATAGTAGCTGGTGTGGAAGTGGAAGTGGGAGCGGTGGATGAAGCAGTGTTGCCACGATTAGGACCCTGAGTAACATCTTTCTTACCTTTACTTGTCATATTTGAAACAAATATAATACATGTTTAGAGACCAAATACACAATATTGTATCAACCTTTTATTTTACATTACACAAATTTCTAATGTAAACTTTGACATAATCTTCCCTAATATATGAATATTTTCCTATATTTGTTTACACTTAATACAACAAATTTCTAATGTAAATTTTGGCAGAATCTTCCCTAATATATTAATATTTTCTTACATTTGTTTACATGTACTTAATACAAAAATCTAAATTTTCTTTACACATAATTTATATATTATGTAATAATATATTAATTAATGCATAAAAAACGTATACATTACAATCCTAAACTGTTCTAGAGCGCATCCCCTTATAACTCCACAACATGTATATTTTACAAACTCCACAAACACAAACAATCCAACAACACACAATAATCAGGTTCGGAGAAGGACCTCTATGCCCTTCCCCCTAGTTATACAATCTCCAATCTTACAACTCTATCTTAGAAATTTTAAGTTTCTAAAATACATCAAAAATAAAAAAATAAACCGATTAAAAGTTAGAGTATCGTACCAGGAATACAATTATGCAAATTATCTTTCAAATGGATGCTCCAATCACTCGCAAAGGCAAAAAAACTGAAGCTCCTTGAGAGAGAGGCGAGAGAGATTTATGAAAAATGAGGAAGGGGAAGGGGGAGGCACAACGGAAAAATTCGTCTATAAATTGTCACATGAAAAGTCAGTTAAAAAGGACAGTATTTACAGACGAAAAAATTTGTCTGTAATTCCTGTTTATATTGTTTCGTGCCAAATGGCGGGTAAACTACAGATGGATAAAAATTCATCTGTATTACAGACGAATTTTTTAGAAAATTAAAAAAAAAATCATAAATTCGTCTATATTATCCGTCTGTAATCAGTGCTTTTCTAATAGTGATTGTTAAACAATGGGAGTTTTTTAACCTTGCTTTGTAGCAAAGACAAAAGGATTGAACCAAATATTAGAATAACAATTCTTAATCTTCTTAAAAATATCTTGTTTCTTAAATGAATAATACATTAAAATTTTTAAAAAATATTTTTTATGAAGTAAATTTTAATTTTTCAGGTGTTAAATATTATGTAAGTCACTAATAGAGATTGGTCCAAGTAACAAACAGTTTAGTATCATTTAAGCAAGATTTTGAGTTTGAGCCCTTATCTATATAAATTTTTTTCAATAAACTCATCCACAACATTCAGATTCAGATTAAACCGAATGAAAAACTAAAAAAAAAGTTACATAAGTCATTAACATAATTTTTTTGGACTAATTTATACTTTTTTTACCTTCTTACTTTGAATTATGTTAGATTTTATCTTTTAAAATTTTGTTAAACTAAATAATTTTTTGGTTAATTTTCTATCTAAAACTTATGTGAATTAAATATATTTAAACTTTATTTTACAGAAAATTTATCAATCAAAATATCAAATCTTACTCAAAGTTATTTTTTCTTATTTTTAAAAAATTTAGAACATATGTTATAAAATTTTATCAAAATATTACTAATTTAATCTATAATTCTAAATATTTGATTAAAAATCTAAAAATAAAAAAATTTAGATAAAAAATTATATTTACTTGAGTTTTGAAGATAGAGTCATAATCAGTTAAAAAATTTGAACAACTAACATTAAGTCTAGTATTTAAATATAGAATGTTTTCTTTTATATATATAACTTCAATATAGTTTCAAAATATTATATTATTGAATAGTTGATATGTATATATTTAAAAATATAAAATTTACATTCGGAACGTTTTGTTAAACACGTTGAGATTGGAAAGCCCTCCAAGTACAAATCGAGTTATTTCTAACATTGGACTGAAGTATGAATATTGATATTTGTTATGAAGTATCTTATTATTGGGAATGATATTGTACTTAAAAAAAGAATAAAATATTATATCATTTAATATATTAATAACATTAAATATTATAAATTAAGAATATAATTTAATAAAATTTGAACTTGCGTTTAAGACACAGACACGTGTTAAAAAAAGATTATTAATAAAATGTTTAACGTGGAAAATGAGAAGGGGGGAAGATGACTGTTAAGTTGAGTGTGGGGTGACCGGAAGGTGAAAGCAAGGGAGAGAGTAAAGTGAGGGATTGAGGGAGCAATCGGAATAGGAATAGCAATGGGTGTGTCTTCAAACGAATCCATAGAATTATGCATATTCGATTTGAGGAGAGGGCAACACGAAGGGCAAGAGCTCGATAAGATCTTGTTCTTCTTCCCCGCTGGCTTACCCTTCTCTAAGCAACTCTCTGTTATTGGCCTCAGTGAGGGACTCATCACTTTTACTAGGTTCTTTCTCTCTCTCTCTCTCTCTCCCTCTCTGTTTGTATTCAAATCAAAGACATCAATTCATCATCGTTCATTCATACGTTCATTTCATTCATCGCAGAATCTTCTCTCCCGAGGCTGCTTGCGAGGTCATCGAAGCGGAAAGACATTCTCACGTTTTTTACGAGGCCGAACCCGATATATGGATGGTTATGGTCTGTAACTCCTCTCTTTTTTCTTTTTCTTCCAATTATTGCATTATTATGTCTTTTATGATTCAGCGTTTTGGATGTCCTTCGATAACACACTTGTGCGGTGAATCACAATGATTCCAATTGAACTCAAATGCTCTGCATTCACTTTATTTTGTAATGTCTCTAAGACTATCTAGAACTGAAAGACTCCAATTCTGTAGCCTGAGCCCTAAAGGATAGATTAGTGATTGTTAGCATTGTTGACTAAAATGATTTGCTTAGGGTCCTTACCGCACAATGTTGCTTTGCTTCTGTTGTGTTAGGTGGTGGAGAAAAGCAATGATTCAGAACCTATATGGAGAGATGATGCGTTAAGAAAAGTTCTCAAGGAAATTCACTTACTTTTTGTAATGTTTCATGGATCTGTAAGAGCAATGCTGGAGAAAGAACCTGGTGGAGAACTAACAAGACGTCATTTATATTCCTTTATCATGGATTATCTAAGGGGTAAGTCATCACGCAATAGCATGTCTATGGAATTGATCAATCGTAATTTTTCATTAGAGTTATGATTCAAACTATTTCATTGTAAGTAATAATTGTCAGCATGTAAAACGCGGTCTCCGTGGGATAATTGCTGCTGTGGTAATGGTGAAGTTGCTGTATCAAATGGTTTCCTTTGGCTCTTTGCTACGTGACTGATGCTGAAGTAGCTGTCTCTCATACCTTAATTATAAATTTTCTCTTTGAGGCAGATTTTCTTGTGGGGAAAAAACTCGTTTTACCATCATTTCGTGAGTGCTTAAAGGAACGTGGAACTGTGCAGATGTTGACAATAGGTCGGGAGGCTGCGATTGAGGTTCAGGTTAGATAAGTTTTAAGTTGTTGTTTGATAAACTGCAAAAACCTTCCAAAACTAGAGCAATGCTGTGATAGAGCTTCAAAATATTGTGTTGCTATTTTTTAAAAAGTTATTTCATGTGTCCCCGTTGCTGCGGGTGTGCTAGTGAATTTTTTATCATCTGTTGTCTCTGTCTGTGCTTCACACTTTCTCATCTTACTTTCCTGGTTGCTTGTGGAGTCCAGTTTGCATATAAATTGCTACGATTTTATTTATGTTATTTTATTTTGGGGAGGACAGACATTTGAGTTTAGTACTACATGCTTCTTAAAAATTTGGTTCTCAATTGAAAGAGGGTGACGATATGAGATTTTAATTTTATATTTGAGTCAACTATATAAAAACTTGTGGGAGAGGCTGAGCTGGTGTCTTGATGTCTGTTAGTTGACTTAGCAATGCTGTCTCAGGAGTCAGGATCACAGCAATTCTGAAAATGATAGGATTATGAATTGTCTCATAGAACAAAATTGTTAGTGCACAATTTTTTTGGCTGTCTAAACCTTTTTCTTTTAATTCCCTTCATTATCTTTTTCATTAACTTCCTAATTAGCTCATAACTAGCACTTGTTATTAATACATAGAAACAATTGTGAGAGTAAATATGAAATGAAAAAGCTGAATTTACTTATATATATATATAAGTTGTTGATCTTCTTATTGCAAGTATTAGCATAGTTACACCATTTAATTTTTGTAGACATTGAATTTTTTCCATCCAATTGTAATTAAAAATTTGCGTAACAGTTAATAAAGTCTATAAAGTTTCACACAAATAGTTGATGCTTCATCTCATCACTTATTTTAATTTATAATATGTTTTTAAAATTATAAGTTAATGTTGATTGTTATGTTACATACCTATCAAGATCCAATTTATCTAAAATTTGATATACACGATCGTCAAGATGATATTAAGTAATTCAACAATAAAGTTAGTTAAAATTATGTTCAGTAAAATGTTGTAACAGACTAACAATGTAACTGTCCAAACTCCATTCTCTCTACATACCAATTTAGAAAACCTCCTTAAAATGACTATCTGCTTTGTACTACATAGATGCCGATCACCTAATCTTATCCCAAATAAACTGTTGAGCTCATGAAATGTCCTTAAAAATTTTAGCTTCCAAATGAATGCATCAAATAATCTTTGTAAACAAACAGCTTAATGTATACATTATCTCCTACCACACCGCTGTCTGAGTGCTATAGTATGTTTGGTTCTGGGGATTTAGGTCTGATTCATATTGATAGGGAAGAAACCTACAGTTTTAGATATTCTCTGATTGACTTTATAATGAAATATATTAATTCCATGAAACAAGGTGAAGTTTTCTGATGAGTCACCTCATAGCACAGCTGTTATTGCTATGCAGTCACAGGAATTCTGTACTTGCGCACCAATGATTTGTTGATTAAGATGAAACATGCTTGCATAGGAAACATCTCAAGTGAGATATGAGAGCATGAAAGGAGAAAATTTCAAGCATATAATTAAAATGAATGGTTAAGATTAAAACTAATTAAAACAATGTTGACTATTTGTGTATGATTGTATGGTTAAGATTAACTTCTCTCACTAGATATATTTTGAAAAGTATATTATACGTTAAACTAAAGTTGATTAATAAAGTTTCAAATAATTTATAAATTATCAAAATATTTTAACTTCATTTGCTTGTGAACTCTCAAAACAATGGTTGGATTTATGAAATTCGACATTTATAAAAAATTATTAAGTTGATTAAGTTAAACAAGACTTACTTTTAGAGTAAGTGGATCGCTTCTCTCTCTCTCTCTCTCTTCTCCAATGTCCAGTGTCCACTTAAACTATTAACTACTTGTGGCAAGTTTTGATGAAAATGAAAGAAGTTTGGCTTGTTGATTGGCATTTCATTTTGTTGATTTCCTTGTTTTGGCAGTCACTTGTCAGGGTGCTTGAATCATCTGCTGGAAATACTCCCTGCTACTCTTTGATCTTATTTCAAGACCTGCTAGTGTCCACAACTCTATCTCCTGTATGGTTTACTACAGTTTTTTATTTTTTGACAGAATTTGATTGAGCAAGATGCTTGGCCATTCATCAAGTTACTTATTAACCTTGACTCTTTTGTCAGGATGACACCATAAATTTATTCACATATGCTGTGCTAAGGTTGACTCCACATGCTCTATCTTCTGGAGCAAGTTCCTGGTCCTACTTACGGAAAGGAAGTACTGCATCCAATGTTGCCACTGAGTCTAACATGGCCTATCCAAGCTCTATTTCTGAAAATTTGTATGGTTCATCAGATATAACTCCCGGTGAAGATAACCACTATCATGTTGTGAGGCCTTTACAGAGTGACAAATGGTCCAAAGGAAAAGATGGTTATCTTGTCACTGATTTATGGGGTGCAGAGGTTGGTACCTGGGTGTTTGCCACTCCTACAGTTTTGCTTCAACAGACAGGAGAGAAAATGTATCTCTGCGTTTATCAGCATAGAAGCCTTACGTTGATGCTTCTTATTCCTGTATCCTCCATACCTAATGGGGAGCAAGGTGTGTCGGCAGTGAAGCAGAAAGTTCTTGAAAATGTTAGTCTTCTATTATAGTCACTTTTCTGTTTCCTAATGAATTGTGACAAGCTTTTGCTCATAATATGAACTGATGCTTAACACTCTGGTGTTTTTCCTGTATTATTTTGGGTTCAACTTTGTGCATGCTACAATTCATTGACAGGACCGCTATTTGCTGTGACGTTATGCCTACAACTCTGTGCATGCTACAATTCATTCCTTTTCTCTTTTCCTGTAAAGAATTTCCAAACATGGGAGATTGAAGAACTTAACTTCTCATTTCCCTTCCTTTTGCTACATTCCTCTCTATCCAATATAGCCTTAATACTTTGAATTTTTTTCTGTCCCTTTGATCATTGAATTCTCTTTCATAGTTTTTTACAAGGTTTGTATGTATTCCAATAGTGACACCAACACGAAAAATATTACTTTGAGAGAGGATTATAGATTATTCTGCTAGTGTATTGGTGGCATTCTTTTGTTTTCTGTGTTTTTAATTTCTATTGCTTTATGTGAACAGATCGGACAGTATATGTGTACACATAGATCCTCTGTAGAATACAGCTTCATGCTTTACTGCATTAATGTCTCCTGTAATAAATGATGTAACAGTTTCATGTGACATGTTGAAGCTGTGGAGAACCACGGAGATAAGTGGCTGTTTGACAACCATTTGTTGATATTGATGTTAACTATACAAGGGTGGTAATATATTACTTCACACTAGAAAATAATTTGTATGTATTTATGTACTATTTTTTGTTATACTAATCATTAATTGAAGATCAAATGTCTGATACCCTGCTCAAGTGATGTGATGTTGACAATGCACTCTGGTTCTTTTTAGTTGAGAATTTCTAATTTAATTTGCTTGATGATCTGATAATCTCATTGTTTGACAGTGCACTCTGGTTCTTCAGTTGAGAAGCATATAACATTGAACTGAGATATTTAGCAAATGTATCTTTTTCTCTGATCATACTTTTTTTTTGCTGAATACATCAGGCATCACTTAAGATATTGAAAGTTGAAGAGAAACTATCCAAGGGCTGGGGTGGTGAAAATGCATATCACGTCAGTGGGTACCGCTACTTATTAGTAGACGGTGATAGAAATGTATCCAGGGCTTCTCCAGCAACAAAAGTTACAACTTTAACCAAGGTGGTGTTGGTATCTGGCTGTGTTCTGATATCCTTTTTTCATTCATTTTTTTTTTTAAATCTATACATGATTTCAATTTTATAAATTTAAAGATACATGTTATTCAAGCTCCTGATGGCAATTCTTGGTGTTTGGCGCTATAAAGTTCTTGTCACCAGTGCTGTCGTTGCCTGTGAACTGCTGGCATGAAAACATTTTAAAGTTTGGTTCATGTTTGTGTCTGGTGCAGGAGTCCTTACTTGCTATGAATAGGCTTAGGCAAGAGGTTGAGTTGGAGAAGAATAGAGCAAAACTGGATAGCAGTAATTGTGAGAAAGATCTAGAGATGTGCATTCGAGCAAAAAATAACGCATGGGTTATTTCTCGAGTCACAAGAGGGAAGGAGCTTTACATGGTTCTAGAGAAAGCCAATGAAACGGTTCTATATGCCTCAGATGCTGTTGAGAAGTTTAGCGACAGGTATGCTCTTGGTTTCCTCTCATTAGTGTGCTTAATAGAGTACTTCATATGCTTAAATTGTTATCCGTTTACGATGAGGATGATGCAGAGAAAGAAGAGGAAAGGGAAAAAAAATCTTCCGTTAGTGCTTTGTCCAACTTATTTGGAACTTCTCTTCTTAAAAGGAGTTGGCCCGAACGGATTTTAAGAAAAATAACTTTTAAAAAAAAAAATTTTAATGAAGAAAACTTTGAAAAAGGAGGTTTTAGAAAAGCTATTTTAAAGAATTTTTGGCTTCTATTTCTCCTTTTCCTTCTTTATTATAAATCCTGAAATCTAAGAATATACTACCCGAGAAGTTTTAAAATAATCAAATTATCAATCAACTTTAACTTCAAAGTTCTTATTTTTAACTTTAACTTTAAAATATATTTTAAGCTTTAAGAAGGTCAGGCTTAACCCTATCTTAAAATATTTTATATTTCATGCCAAGAACTTTTATTTTACCTGGGTGAAAAATATTATACACTGGTATTATCTTTCTTTTTTCTCTCAGATGCTCATCTGCAAATTATGTTGTTTGACAGTAACAAATTCCCACTTAACCAAACTTGACAGATCCAAGTATCCCTAAACCTACTGAAAAGACGAATTGTAATTTTCTTTCTTGGTTGAATATGGCAGGTATTGCAATGGAACATTTTCACTGGACTGAAAAAAAAAGAAAAAAAGCAAGCATGTCCGACTCTGTAATTAGCACGTTAGGTCTTCTAACCTTGTTTTCCCAATAAGGTCGGAAAGTTTTCCACTTTTGAATTTTCTCACCAGTAAATTCAAGCAAAGAAGAAAGAATAATACTGTGTGTATATCTGTATATTAAGTGTAATTTATTTATACTTATTCACAGGTGCTAAATCAAATCTTGTCATCGATTACTTTTTTTTTTAATAATCAGAAATTTGTTTCAATTCCATGAGAAGTTGTTTTCCGAAAAGTTTCATTTATTTCACATTAGTCTTTGAATTTTTAAAACTTAATACTAAGCCTTTGAAATATCAGTTCTGGTTTCAACTTTATTTATTGTATATCAATTCTTGCATTTTTTTTTAAAAAACCCAACACCATCTTCAAATACTGATCTAGTTTTGGACAACAAATTTATCAATTTTTTTACAAATATATACAAATAACTTCCAAGCATTTCTAAGGTTTTTTTGCCAAAATAATCTAACATTAAATTTAAATTATTTTCCTTTTGATTTTTATTTGTTATATCAGACTAAGTATTGTATTTATAAGAATGATATTATTTTTTTCATTATTTTTTAAATAAGTATTATTTTACATAGTATGATACTTAATATTTTTAATTTTTTTTAAGTATTGCCTTTAAAAAGCTGATACTCTGCAAAATATATTATTAGATTTGTTTTTTCCGCCTGAATGGTACCCCTTTTCGCGTCGTGTCATGTATTTGTATGCATGTGTGTATACTATCATTTGGCCTCATCTATGATTTATTAATCACGTAGATCTCACATATTTATTTGAAGAAATATAATGCATAAAGATTCTAATTTCACTTTATGGATGCTTTATGCGCATGGGTATGTGGGGGCATGTTATTTTTGTGAATGTATATCCATGAGCATGATGGGTTAGGGGAGGGTGTACGGTGTACCAAGCAATGCAACCACGCCAGGGGTGTCAATCCCAATGGCGCCAAACTTGTCAACAAAAGCAGAAATGGGCTCATTGTGGTCTGGGAGGGACTGCTCAATGGTATTGGATTTGTTTTTCGCCTGAATCATTCTCATTGAGCATAGCTGCAGACGCAGTAAGTTTTGCTCAGTATTTAAGGGAGATATTTTTCAAAAAAAATAATAAATTACTTATGATTATGATGTATATATATGTGATTCTTTAAAAAATAATAATAAAAAATTAAATATCATACTACGTGAGTGAGACGATATTTATTTAAATTATAAAAAAAAAATAGTATCATTCTTGTAGGTAAAATACTTAGTGTAATATAGCAAAAAAAAAAAGAGTTTCATACAGGAAATAGTTTAGATTTGATTTTAGTTTTTGATTTTTATTTATAAAATTATTTCTTTATTTAATTTTGATTTTAGATTTGTATGAAAAATAGTGAACATATTTTTTATAGTTTTTTGGTACAAATATTTAAAATTTAAAAAGAAAACAAAAATAGGATTGAAAATTTTGCTATTTAAAAAAACAGTTGTTTTTTAAAAAGCAATGGCTCCTAACAGTTTCACTGTCAAAGTTGGGGTTTATACCAAAATGTTACATTCTACTTACTAATGTAATCAAAAGAGTTACAAATTTGTAGAGATACAAAATATAGTGAGTATGTAGCTCAAAGTACATAACTCTTTATTGCCCTAATTTCTTAATTATGATTCTGGACTGTTTGACAATGAAAAATAATATGAATGACAAGAGTAATATTTTCAACTACGGGTGACTTATTTAATATGTTGTTTTTAAATATAATATAAAATGTGATAAAACAATTAGACAACATTTAAATATGTAATGTATCCCACGTAATGCATGGATATATATATTTAAAAATGTGAAAATTAGATTTAAAAAAATTATACAAATTTTATTTAATTGATAAATAGTTATTTTACTGGTAATAAGCATAAATATATCTAGATACTTATTTTTTATTTAATAAAATTATAGTTTCATGATAACTTACGGACTTGATATTATATTTAATGCTGATTAAATGAATATGAGTTTTGATTAATGAATATATAAAAAAGTAAATATTCTCTATATGAAGAATTAATTAAATAAATATACATGGAATTTATGCAAACTATAGTCATTTATTATCAAGTATATATTTGATTACTTTTGGATGTTTTATCAATAATACACCATTTTCTCAAACATGATTTGTAATTGCTGACTAAATAAATCAACAATTACATTGTATAGGCATTTTCATTTCAAAAATATTAATTATCCTGTCTAGTGCGCATATATACTTATAAAACTGTAAAAATTAAATAAAAAATACTGTGCAATTTTATTTTAATTGATAAATAGTTATTTTAATAATAAAAAATTAACAATATCCAAGAAAATTGATTTCTTTTGTTTTAAGCTTACAAGCATTTTGAGCTTGGGTGTCAAGAAGTCGTGGTAGTGGGCCAAATGGAAATGGGCCTAACCAACCCATGTGGGGTTTTGAATTGAAAACAAAACCCCCCACAAAAAATAGAGGAGGGAATAAAGTTAGGGTTTTGCGATTTCACAGTATAAAACGAACTGAGTGTGGTCTTCACTCTTCGCCTTCGTACCTTTCAACATTCAGATCTTCTTGGTCATCTGAATCAAGGTACGTTGCTCATGCCGGTCTTCTTATTTTCTTACAGATTTATGCTTCAGTTTTTAAATTCATGCTCCTTTGTGTATATTTGTGTAATTTATTCTGGAAATGCTCATGTCTCTGATGAGGATGCGATTCAGTTATAACTTTCGTTCTTCTGACTAACAATTCATGAAGAATGCTATTTTGGAGACCTGAACTGAAGAGACATAGTTAGGACTTTAGAAAAACTCACAACACACCTATCCTTTTTATACCTTAATTTTGTTGTCCTTTTAGGTTACTTGGTATTTCTCATGGCTCGTGCTTCACCATTTCTGTTTGCTTTGCGTTCGAATTTGATAAAAAAAATTGTGCACCTACTGCTTTCTTGGAATCCTAGGATCTGGGCTTCCCTTAGGATATGGTTGGGAGAAGCAACGCTCGGATGAGGATTTTGAGCTATATATCTTCTGAGCTACTTAAAAATCACGTGCCCTTGATTTATGGCTAAAATTATCTTCCAAGCATTGTGGTCTTTGTATAAACTTTATTTTTAAATTATTATTAAATTGAAGGATTTGGAATTGTTTTATTTTAAAGATACATTTTCTGTTCTTCCATCTTAAATTTCATGTTGATTTGATTAGCGTACATAGTCTGTCCTGTCATTTCCAAACCAGTCAAAAAGTCTCTGAGGATGATGAATTTACATTCGTTCTTCCGAGTTTTTCATGAGGAAAATACATGGAGACCTGAACTGAAGAGGCTTTCTTATGTTTTTCTTGACATTCCCTCTCTGTCCTCCCCCCCCCCCCCCCAACCCCCTACAAGGGTGATCTATCTTTTGTTAACAATATTCAGCTGTTTTAGATAAGCTTGGCTGTAGAGAATAGTTTATTGTTTGCTCACAACTTCATTAATGAATTATGTCTTTTACTTGTATGCACATTGTATGTTCTGTAAAAATGAAGTCTCTCCCTGCCTTGAAAGTTGAAACCAATCACATCAGCCTCTGAGGATGATCAGAAAATTACTTTCGTTCTTCTGACTTGCCCATGAGGAAAGTACATGGAGACCTGAACTGAAGAGGCATGCCGATGTTTTCTATTTCTCCACTTTGTGGCCCTCTTTGTTTTCTCTGTAGTTTATTATGATATTAAGCTTTTGGTCTTCAGTTTCTCAGTTTCATCTTTCAATTTGTCATTTGATTAATATGTTTTCTCCTATTTCAGTTTTAACGTGGTTTGAAGAGTTTCTCAACTGCCCTTCATTTTCTGCCAAAATGAGGTATTTATTCTCTTACTGTTTCCCAGGTGAATTCTATTGCTATTATTATAATAATAAAATTTTCACCTTTTCCCTCGTGTTTTTTGCCTTTTTTTGCTACTTTCTCTTCTCAAGCCGGCCAATGGAGGAAGATGTAAGTTCTTTTCAGCATATTTATTATCCAAGTTTGGCTTTATGATCCTTAGACTGTATCACTGTTTTGTTGGACGTCTGTATTTAAGTATTTATGCAGATTCATTCAATATTTGTTGTGTATAATTAGCTGATCTTTGGTAGTATCTTAACTTTTTTTCCCTTTCCATTTTTTGTTTTGCCATTGATCATGTCCCAGCTAGCGAAAGGCATTTTAGGCTATGATGTGGTGTCAAAATCCTTTTTCGTGAACTGGATTTTATGTTGTGAACACTGAACAAACTAAACTTATTCTGTTAAATTTTCTTGCTTGAAATTTCGTAGCCTAAAATGCTACAAAAATTTTGTTTTATGACATGTGATGATATTATTGTTGGAATAAGGCCTTTCTTGCTGGAATTATCTGTCATTTCTCTTTAGTAGGGAAATTGGTTTTCCTGTTGTGATGTTCTTTATTGTTTTATATTAGGGCTTTAGGCTGGTTTTCTTTGCTTCTAAATCTTTGTCAAGTTAACATACTTCATTTCAGACCACTAAGAATGAGGAAGAGGAATTCAACACTGGACCATTGTCTGTACTCATGATGAGTGTTAAAAATAATACCCAGGTATGTTTGATTTTATGTTGTAGTAATTCTGAAGCAGGGTCACAGGTATTTGATATACTGATTTCTTCAAATATGTTACTTATGTAGGTACTGATAAATTGTCGGAACAACAAAAAGCTTCTGGGCCGTGTCAGGGCTTTTGATAGGCACTGCAACATGGTTCTTGAAAATGTCAGAGAGATGTGGACTGAGGTATGTTTGTCCCTTACATTTTCTTCCTGTGCACTTGTTAAATCTGCTAAGGGATCTGTGTGTACTATCAGGTGCCAAAGACTGGTAAAGGAAAGAAAAAGGCCCAGCCAGTCAACAAGGATAGATTCATCAGCAAAATGTTCCTCCGAGGAGATTCTGTCATCATTGTTCTTAGGAACCCAAAATGAGTTAGTGTTGCGATCAGCGTGTACAAGTAATTGGCTCTGTAGTCTTGCCTTTTTCATTATGTTGAATTCTTGATAACCATATATGGTGTAGACGTTCCCCCTTTGGAATTTATTTACATGTTTGGACATCGGCGGGGGATGTAGATGGTATTTTGATGAGGACGCCTGAGAACGATTAAACAAATTTCCGGATCTCTTTTCAATTCTGTACGTATTAACGTGTACATCTAATGATTGTATGGAAGAATAGTTTTAACATGTAAAGTTCTTTCTGCTTTTGATGTTTTTTGCCCTCGTTATTTCACCCAAATGCGTAGTTGTGCAGGAATATAGTGTCCGAGTATTTTGATATTCCTTAATTTTTAAAAGCCAAATTGAATTCATTGTTTGCATCACAGCAAAACAATTACTTCATGAACTGTGCCTTTCAAATAGATTAGCACGCTTTTCTTTTTCGTGCTACAATAATGCTTAAAGAATAACTTCGTTTTTAAATTATTCCATACCTTTTCTTGTTGAATTTTTCATATTCTTTTTGTATAATTTATTCTAATTCCTTAAGGTTTTACAGTTTATACTAACTTTCTTTTGAAAATAACCTATGATAAACAATGTTCTTCACGAATTAAACCACGAAGGATAGAAGTGATTGCAAATTAAACGCCGCTACATTGTACCCATTTATTTTCTATGATCACTTTTGTGAAAGTTTTCTAAATAGATTTATAGCGAATTGAATTTTTGAAAATTTATTGTCATTTGCATCATTACCTAAACATACTCGTATAGTTACAGACACATCGACATACCAAATTGTCCCTTTCAACTTTTGAACGGCAATGTCTTAAAAATTAAATTTAACACGCATAAATAAATTGATTTGCGAAGAGTAACTAAATCGCTAACTAAATAGAATAGAGGACTGGATTTAGAAATTTTGATCAGGAGGCTGGTGGAGACTTCGTGTGAAATAAAGTAACACCAAATATAACTGGTCAACAAATTCTTAGAAGATCAAACATTAAGTCGTTCACCTTTGCCATAACCAATGCATGTTATTTCCAGTGAAAAAGACTACAACAATTACGTAATAAGACCTTAAAACAATTGTTTCAGGCTAGTGTACTACCACATCGTTGAAAAGATCCTTGGACTAACTAAATCTCAAAAGAAATGAATAACCTCATCCAACTAGCAGATACAAAACTGATTCGAAAGAAGCGTAATCTCAGGTACCACGTCCTCGAACTCATAGCAACATCTCAGCAATCTGGACTGCATTAAGTGCAGCTCCCTTACGAATTTGATCCCCACACACAAAGATGTCCAACCTGTTTGTACATCCACCATTTTATGTAAAATGCTCATGTGAAAGTGCAAAGCAAAGTGGAAAATGATAATATATTGCCATGAAAGAGATTTACCCTTGATTCCCATCCTGAGACAGGTCACGGCGAATCCTACCAACAGCAACATCATCCTTATTTGACACTTCCAATGGAGTAGGAAAATGATTGGCTTCACGATCATCAATAACCACTACACCTGGAGCATTCTTCAGAATATCTCTTGCAGTGTCCTGAAGAAAAAGATAAAAAAATGAACTCACACAAATGATATCTTAACTTTAGGACAGGTTCTCTCTCCCAAATGGAATTTCATATCTCTTTTCCAATATAACCATGATTTTGGGCATACAAAGAATGACAAGACCCTGCAAGTTCCAACACTGAATACACAGAATCATAAGGATTGCTGTTATACCACTGAAAAAACAGAAACAACAAATATTCTCAAAATATGACTGAATGCAAAAGCCAACAATTTAAAGTCAAGTTTTATCACTACAAAAGGAATGATTATGTCCAATAAATGACTTGTACATTAGCGTTATATTTTTCTTTATCCATCATCATAAAGCCCACATGCAGTGTCGCTACAGGACTAATCTATCAATTATACTCCAAAAGATATAAATAAAACAAAACTAGATACTTCAACATGGCATAGAACATGTGAGCTTTATAGGAAGTTGGGTTATCACAGTTACCTACATGTTGCTATTTTTTATTTAATTCAGATATTTCATATTTATATTATACCTTATACATATGTCATTTGATAAACCTAAATTTAACAGAGATAAGGTCTCATCCATCCTGCATCAATTTTTATGAGACGTGAAAAGTCAATCAAGTTATAACCCTAAAACTAATTCTAGCAAATTTCAGTATGTCACATATTTCAACTGTCAAGCCTGTGAGTTATCGAGTAAATTATAAACATTTTACATCAAACGCAAGTTATCTTTGACATTCTGAAAAATTAAAGTAAGGCAGAAGTCATCTGTGGGCTAGTTCTCAAGTCTGACCTTAACCTCCTAGGTGAATCAAACAGGAAATTACATGTCAACGAAAGAGGAACAGAATATAACTAATCATCAATCAACAAACTTCAATAAAGGAAATCAAACAGTTAAAGCATAAAGATGATTAAGCTTTATATGCATATGTTGCTGTATCACTTTGAAACCAACAAGAAGCTGTCAAACACCATAGAATGCAATTTTCATCTCTTTAAATTTTTGAAGGGGGAAAATAGTATTGAATTTGAATCCAATATAAATATTAAAAAGCATGAAATAAATTAGTTGCAAGCTAGGAGTACTGGGTCTGGGATAAAATTCTGCATTTAGTTTTGATACTGAAAAGCTTGTCAACTTTGGGTTTTGGCAATGGCCTAAAGACACATAGCATGACAACACTATGTACCTCATCAAGGGGTCTCTCAAATTGAAGATTCACACTCTCAGCATGAGCCCGCATTACAGGAACACGTATGCATGTGGCAGTTACTTTAACATCCTTGTCATTCTGTGGAAGTGTAAAGAGTGAATTTACAAGGTATAAGTACTCCATAATGAGAAACAAATACACTAGTAAACAAGATATAATGATTCAATTTCAACTTACCCAGATTTTCCTTGTCTCCTTGACCATTTTCATTTCTTCTTCGTTATATCCATTTGAAAGAACAGATGCATTGTGCGAGAATAGATTAAAAGCATACTGCAAAATAATAACATCATCAGAAAGTAGTTCTCAAAGTTTTAATGATGATAGAGGTGTATACAGAATTGTGCAAACCTGTCGTTTAAATATGTTACAAGTTGGTGATTTTCCTTCCAACACCTTAAAATCAAAAAAGGAAAAAAGACACTTGTGATTAACCAAAGGCTACAAAACCAGTTGCTCCTTTTCACACTTCCCAGTGGTAGAGTTTGTAGTTTAAACTTTAAATAAAGCCAACAAACAATACAGATAGAGCAAACCTCACGAGTTTGGAGCTCAAGCTCTTCCATTGCAGCAGCACCGGCACCACTAGCAGCCTGATATGTACTAACAACCATACGCAACACCTGCAATATTCATTAACAGTTCAGAAATGACTCAAGCAGAAAGACGTCACATCACACCACAAACATACCAACACATAACAATCTTTTTTGAGTAAGGATGTGTTTGGATAAACAACTTAATTAAGTGTTTATTCAGCAAGTTCTTATTAGTTTATGAAAAAAATTTGATCACCAACCTCGTTGAAATAAACTAAAAATAATTTATTTCCGTAAGTTATATAAAAAAGCTAATTAAAATAAATATTAAATACGAAAGACTATTTCATACGTTTCTAGTAAACTCTTCAAAGCTCCCTTAAATTTTATAGCCCAAATAATAATAATAATAAAGAAACATTAATTTTGCATGACACATAAATTTAGCAATTCGGCGATTGATTAAAAGGTGACAAATGAATTGAGATGTTAAACCTTAGCGCGTCGATGAAGAGGTGTAGCAGCCATTAAGCAAATGATAGTGGAGCAATTGGGGTTTGCAATGAGTGCACCTTTTCCCATTCCGAGCTTGATATTTTGCATCGCTTCAGGGTTCACCTCTGGAATCACCAACGGCACACTCTCGTCCATCCGAAACGCCGAGCTGTTGTCAACCACCACCGTTCCCCGATCGACAGCGATAGGGCCGAGCTCCCTGCTGATGGAACCGCCGGCGCTGAAGAGTGCAATGTCGACGCCGTCGAAGCTATCCGCCGTGAGCTCCTCCACGACGTAGTCCCTTTCCTCGAAGGTGATGCGGCGGCCGGCGGAGCGCTTTGACGCCAGCATTTTGATGGAGCGGTAAGGGAAGTCGCGGTCGGAGAGGACGGAGAGGAACTCTTGGCCAACGGCGCCGGTGACGCCCACGACGGCGATGGAGGGTGCGTCTTCTCGGAGCGACATTCGGATCTGGGCGGGCCAAAACGACCTGGGCTTGGGGCGGACCGGTATAGGCCCAACGAAGAGGTGGTTGTGGCGCGAAAGAGAGAGTGAAGCCATGGAAATGTGGTGGGTTTGTGTTTAGAGTGAGAAAATAGAAAGGGTTTTATAGAGAGAGAAAGTTAGTGTTGTCTTGGCGGCTGGTAAGTAAGTATCGAGAGAGCTCTTCGATTTTGATTCTCACTCTGATTTGAAAACAGGGGATCACCAAACATACCACTTTCTACTTTCATGTCTTAACCTTTTTGCTATAATGCACTTTAAAATCGATTCATTTAAATAAATTTATTTTTAATATTTTATATACAACTAAAATTATATCCTAATTAAAACACAAATGAACTCATAAAAGTTATTTAAATTTATCATATAATCTTAAAGATACATATTTTAAATAAAAATAATAATATCTTTATTGATAAAGTTAAAAACATAGCTCCAGCGTAAATACAATGTAGATTTTTTAAATTATGTTGAGAGTTTTTTTTAGATTGTAAGTTGAAATATTGAGTCTTACAAATTTAAAATTACTTTTTTAAATTGATATCAGAAGAATTTATATTTATTATTGTAATTTTTTATGTTTTTTTAATATAAATTAAATTAAAAAAGTTATTATATAATTGGATTTGTTGAAGAAATTGATCAGACATTTTACAATCATGAAAAGCTGATGGTATCCAATTTGTTGGATTCTGAAAACAGGGGAACACCTATAATCAGTGTCCGTACGCCTTAACAGACATGACTTAAAGCGATATGTTTCCATGTTCATTCCGACCATAATTTATAATTTTGTTAACCTTAATTTTTTGTTTTGTTTTTATTAACTTTAAATTTTTAAAGTCAAATTAAAGCACTTCAATATAATATTTTTTATTTTAAAATACATTTTAAATATTTTAATTCAAATTGAAGTTAACAAAATGAATAAATTAATACTACCGACCATGTCAGTTTAATTTGTGATTAAATGTGTTAAATACTAAGAGTTTTTAACATACTCGACTTAGAATAATATTACTTTTGGTAAAATGAAGAATTTTTGTTGTCTGAAAAAAATTGAATAAATTAATAATAAATTGCAGACGAGAGTGTGTCAAATGGTCAAATATCTTTCAAGAGTTAAAACTTAAAAGAATTGGTCAGTTCATATTCGTAAGCTGCAATATTTGTTTTTCTTTCGGGTTTAGAATTGGTCTATAATTCCTACAGCTATTTCAATTCAAGGAAACAAGTTTTACACATGTTAATCCATATCCCAGTCCCTAACTAAGATCTTAAAGGGGCATTTGAAAATTTAATTTATTTAAATACTTATTTTATAATTTTTTTAAAAGATCACTTATAACATAAATTTAATAATAAAAAACTGTTAATAAGCTCTTGAGGCCTTAAATATAATTTACATAGCAGTTGTTGTGGTTCTATCTTTATTGATTTATATATTTTTGCCGTATCTGGTGAGGGGTTGACAAAGAAACGTTCATCTAACTCTTCCTAAACACGTTTGGTAAACCAAGTAAAACATAATTTTCTGCATTGAACAAGTTTATATTTATACACATACTTATGCAAAGGAAGAACCAAAAGGGGTTCAAGGAAAAAAACTTGGTTACAATGTTAGGGAATTCTTCTTGTATTCCTCCAACCAAACACGATGTGTTCCTCAGCTTTAGAGGGGAAGACACAAGAAACGGTTTTGCTGATCATCTTTATGCAGTTTTGTGCAGCAAAAAGATTAAGACTTTCATAGATGACAGACTTTGTAGAGGAAATGAGATTTCACTATCTATACAAGAAGCAATAGAAGAATCAAATATTTATGTCATCATTTTCTCCCAACACTATGTTTCTTCCACGTGGTGTTTGGAGGAACTCACAAAGATACTTGAATGCAAAAGTAGATATGGAAGGGCGGTGATACCAGTTTTCTACAAGGTGGATCCATCACTTGTTAGGGATCAAAGAGGAAGTTATGGAGATGCATTTGCCAAGCATGAGCTGCTATTTAAGGACAAAATTATGGGGTGGAAGGTTGCTCTAACTCAAGCTGCTGGATTATCTGGTTGGGGTTCAAAAATAGTTGGGTAAGTTTTTGAGTTATTATGACTCTCTTGAGGTTTTTCTCACACTTAAAGTTTGTATTATCGAATAGAAATTAAATGTGAAATGAGTTTATTTGATTTGAAATGAACTTGTGTGTTAGGAAAAAATAAGATATAAATCAATATGAAGCTTAAGTTCTGGCATCCTCGCATAAATGGAATGAATGTTGGAGTTTATTTTAGGATCAAATGCATTTCACTGTTCATACGTATTAGCCATGTTACATTTTCTAACCTCATTTATGCACTGAGGGAATCCTCATTTATCATTATTTACACCAAAAGAGTGGTATTAATAAGATTAAAATGTAAAACTCAACTGGTTACTCGCGTGTTGAAGTTTGAGTAGAAGTGGTACGCACCTATGATCTATCCTTTCTCACTATTATTCTAGTACCAGAACATTTATATTAATCATGTACAATAAAGGAATACTGCCATAATGATTTTACAAATTTCAAAGCAATTGACCCTTATAATATACCGGCTCTAGGTACCCGACCAAGTTCATTTTTGTTGATTCCCTCTTTGCCATTAGGCTGGTTTTGTAGGTTGAAGACTAATGCATTTGTTTCTTTACTATGTACCAGACCTGAATACCTACTTGTCCAAGAAATTGTTCAAGATGTTTTGAGAATATTGAAAAACCGTTCTCCCATATTAGATTATCAAGGATTGGTTGGAATTTACAAGCATATGGCAGAAATCCAGTCCTTGTTGCATGTTGAGTCAGAAGCTGTTCGGATCATAGGAATGTGGGGCATTGGAGGAATTGGTAAGACAACAATTGCACGTGCAATATATCATAATCTGGCAAACCAATTCACTTCCTGCAGCTTTGTTGTAAATGTTCATGAAGAGGTAGAAAGATATGGAATGCACCATACACAGAGCAAATATTTATCAGAGCTTGTAGGAGAAGAAAACACATCCTCTGGTTTAAGTTTTTCAGATGAAAGGCTTAAACGGGAAAAGGTTCTCCTTATTCTTGATAACATCAACAATTCATATGAAATTGGAGATTTAATTGGAGGGCGTGGTTGCTTTGGTCCGGGAAGTAGAATCATTGTGACTAGTAGAGACATGCAAGTGCTAAAGAATGCTGAAGTAGATGAACTATATGAGGTCAAGGAGATGAGTTTTCAAGATTCTCTACAACTTTTTAGTTTGAATGCCTTTAAGCAAAACTATCCAATAGAAAACTATATGAACTTGTCTGAAAAGGTATTGAATTATGCTAAAGGGATTCCATTAGGTCTCAAAGTTTTGGGCTTATTGCTTTATGGTAGAACAAAGGAAGAATGGGAAAGTGTGTTAGAAAAACTCGAAAAGCTTCACGATCTTGACACTTTTGATGTGTTGAAATTAAGTTATGATGAACTTGATAATGAACAGAAGGATATATTTCTTAACATAGCTTGTTTCTACAGAGGACATGATATGAATACTGTAAAACAAGCACTAGATAGTTGTGGCTTCTCTTCTGTCACTGGAATGAGTGATCTCATTGATAGGGGCTTTATATCTATTTTGAAAGGTGAAATTGTGATGCATGATCTGATACAGGAAATGGGTCAAGAAATAGTTCGTCAACAATGTGCCAGTGAACCTGGAAAAAGAAGTAGGTTATGGAAGAATGAAGACATTTATCATGTTTTAAGAGAAAACAAGGTAAATCCTGCATATTCATCTATCATTTTACTTTCTTCACCCCTTGAAACCTCATTGGTTAAGATATAAGTAAAATGGACTGAATGACTGTGTCATAGATTTTGCCTTTAAATTCAATTTATTTCTTCCTAATTCCTTATTTTAAATTTTAGGGGACAGATGCTGTCAAATATATATTCCTTGACACATGCCAAATCAAAGAAGTTCAATTGCATTCTGGAACTTTCAAAATGATGCTTAATCTGAGACTTCTCCAGTTCTGTAACTCTAAATCAACTAAAGACTCGAAAGTGCACGTTCCTGAATTTCTTGTCAGTCTGCCGGATGATTTACGGTTTCTTTGTTGGGATGGCTTCTCTCAAAGATCATTACCACTGGACTTTTGCCCAGCAAATCTTGTTAAACTTGATATGCGTTACAGTAAACTTGAACAACTTTGGGAGAGAGATCAGGTATTGCAAGCTCTACATTAGTTTTCCTTGTGTTTTATTGATGAAAAATCTTTGTTCTTTATCTATACATGTAAGATAGGGAGAAGTTAACAAACTTTTCTGGTTTACTTTTTTGTGCCAGCATTTACCAAATTTGAAAAGGCTTAACCTTAGTGGTTCTAAGAACTTGATTAAAATACCAGATCTTTCCCAGTCTCCAAATATTGAAGAAATAATTCTTAGTCACTGTGTGAGCTTGGTTCAAGTGTACTCCTCAAGTTTCCTCAGTAAGCTCAACTGTTTATGGTTAAATGGTTGTGATGGGCTTAGGAGTTTAAATCTTCCAAGCAATATTCTTTCACAATCTTCTGGACTAATTGTTCTCTATGATTGTTGCAACCTTGAGATGTTTTCAATAGGTTATATCACTATGGGGACTTTTTTATACAGTTGTCCTCGTAGTAGATCAATAGAGAGTATATTCAGAAACAGTTTGCCTGGGCAAACAATTTGCTGTTCTATAGATACAAAAACTAGGTCCTTATTTGAGAAATTCTCAGATACTTTTGACCCCATAGATAGTGGTGCTGACTTCTATGAAGAACCAGAGGATAATATACACTTACTAAACTTAAAAATGTTGAGAGAAGGTTCACCATCATTATTTCCAAGTCTAAATGAGCTTTGTTGGTTAGACCTTTCTTACTGTGAATCCCTCACAAGCCTTCCAATTGACCTTTGCAAGTTAAAATATCTAAGAAGACTTTATCTCCGTGGTTGCTTAAATTTGGAGAAATTCCCTGAAATTAAGGAGACTATGGAATATTTAATGGTGCTCATCTTAGATCAAACAGCAATTCAAGAACTACCTTCATCTTTGCACAATTTGGTCGCGCTTGAAGAGTTGAGCTTGCGCCGGTGCCAAAGGCTTGTGTTTATTCCACCTTCAATTGGAAGTGTCAGCAAACTCTGCATGTTAGACCTTGCTTACTGTGAATCTCTTGAAACTCTTCCCAGCAGCATTTTCAAATTGAAGTTGACAAAACTTGATTTGAACGGTTGCTCAATGCTAAGAACTTTCCCTGAGATCTTAGACCCTGCAGAAAGTTTTGCTCTCATTAGCCTAACAAAAACAGCAATTAAAGAACTACCTTCATCATTGGAAAAGTTGGTTGGGCTTCAAACCTTGCAGCTGAACTTGTGCAAAGATCTTGAGTTACTTCCAAACAGCATTAGTAAGGCAACACTTCTCTCCAAGCTTGATCTTTCAGGATGTGACAAATTATCAGAAATACCAAGTAACATTGGCCACTTGTCATCATTAAGAGAATTGTCACTGCGTGAAAGTGGTATTGTGAACCTTCCTGAGAGCATTGTTCATCTTTCAAGCTTGAAATCACTTGATTTGAGTGATTGCAAAAAGCTTGAATGCATACCACAGCTTCCACCATTTCTGAAATACATGGCTGTATTTGATTGCCCATCCATTAGGAGAGTGTCAAGTTCACATTTAAATTTCTCATCAGATTCCAAAGAGGGTATCTTCAAATTTCATTTAACCAATAGTCAAGAACTGGATCCGAGTGCTCAAAGCAACCTTGCAGCTGATGCATGGCTTAGGATCCTCCAAGATGCATACAAGTCTGTTTTTTATTGCTTTCCAGGGAGTGCAGTTCCTCACTGGTTCCCTTACCGCTGCAAGGGACATTCAGTAACTATGAAAATAGATTCTCTTAGTTGGTGCAGTGATGATAAGTTCATTGGCTTTGCTCTTTGTGTCGTTTTGGGACTTGAAGGTATAAATGATGAAGAATGTAAATATAGTGTCTTTAGCTACAGATTCACATTTGAATCTGATGATGGCATACACATTATTCCTAGCCATGATCAGCTAAGATACTATTTTAATTGGAAGGGTCAACAAAGATTTGTTGTTAATGATCACACGTTCATGTGGAAATATTACTTGGATTCTTCAAGCATCAGCCAATTGCTATCTCGTGCCCACAACTTCACTTTTGAAATCTGCAAATATGATGTTGGTCACTTTTGGCTAAATAATAGGCCAACTTTCAAGGTAAAAGAGTGTGGGATATCCCTTCTTTTATAGAAAAGAAAATGATGAAAATAATGGCATTTAAAGATCCTCAGAAAGAGCAAAGCTCCATGATCTGTAATAAGAAAGCAAATGAGGAAAGAGAGGATGATTGTTGAAGAGATCCCTTATGTTAATGCTGGTTGTTCGATTATTTTGCAGCTTCCTAATACTATTACTTATGTCTTTTGTATATTGCAGTAACTTTCTAGATTTGAATAAGCTTGTAATGGTGACGTATTATGACACCTGTATCATGTTGGAATAACCAAGTTCTAATGATATTTTGAAAATAAAATATAAGTTTATATATAATTATTATTTTTTATTATGATAAATTAAGTAAACATAATAAATTAAGCAATTATTTATTATAACAAGAGACCAAATAGAATATTTATTAAAGTCTTGCTAAAAATACCCTAAGGATATTATCATTTAAAAATCAATATTAGAAAATGTTTACTAAAAATTATGCTAAAAGTACGTTGAGAATTTTAATTATTACATGAGTTTGATTAGTATTTTGTGAAATTTAAGATAAAAAATTAATTAAAAAATGAAAAAAAATATGATTATGAAAATATAAAATATTGATAATTAATAAATGTTATAAAACGAGAAAATATGAAATAATTACAAACTATGCATTTCAGAAAGAAAAATATAATAATTTTGTTTGATTATACATGCATAAATTCAATGTTGCCACTTAAAGATTTTTGAAAAAGAAAATATTTATTTTTTAAAAAATAAAAATTTTCCATTTCAAATAAATGCTTTAGTTTTATAATTTTTTATTAATATAATAAATTAATATAAACATAATGCATTAATTATTGTAATCTATATTTATCTTCCCCTCATCTTCTCTCTAAAAAAATTATCTCCCAAACGGTTATTCAACCAACATAGAATTCATAATATATAGAGTATAATGCAATAATTAGCCGTTGTGGTGATTCTATAATATTAAAATGGGGAAACGTTATAGGAATAATAATTTTAAAAGGAATAAAATGATAGTAAACTAAAATGTTAAATTTTTAAATTATGTAACACTCAACATAAACATATATATAATTTTTTATTAAAAATTATAATATTTAATAATATCATCATATTTAGGCTTTTTTATACAAAAAAATAAAAAATTACTAAAATATAATATTCTGAAGAAAAATATAAAAATATTGAAACTTTTCAAAAATCACCTTTTTTTATACTTTAATTTTTAATTTTATACTTTAATTTTTTTAATTTTTTTATACTTTAATTTCAAAAATATTGAAATTATTACCAGAAATTTTTAATTTTTAAAATTTATGATTCTTTAAAAAACCATTAATGAATTTTGAATTTTTTAAATTTTTAATATTTTTTGAAAAATTGTTTAAATTTATAATTTATCGTTATTCTGTTTATATTACAAAATATCATTGTCGCGATGTTTGAATACTATATTTTAATATATATATATATATATAATTAATTAATTTTAAAAAACCATATATTTTATTATATTTAATTTAATATTTTTAATTAAAAATATTATAGATAACTTGTTATTGATTGAATAGATTATTTTAATAGATTTAAAAAATATTTATTATTATTATTATTATCGGAGAAAGTAGAGTGGAAGGCTTTCCACTGGAAACTAGAGGCCCTGTATTTATGTATATATAACATTCTCAGTTTCTCACGTTCAAATACGTTTAGAGGCTTCAAAAAATGGCTCTCACCGAACACAAACTGAGCCTGGAACCTGAGAAACAGGGCCTTCTCAACCGCCACACCGAGAAGCACTTCACCGCTGGAGAAATCGTCCGCGACATCATCATCGGCGTTTCCGACGGCCTCACCGTTCCTTTCGCGCTCGCCGCCGGCCTCTCCGGCGCCAATGCTACTTCTTCCATTGTTCTCACCGCCGGCATAGCCGAAGTCGCCGCTGGGGCCATCTCCATGGGTCTCGGCGGGTACTTTAACCAAACCTCACTCACAAACACTCTTTTTTTTTCTTCTATAATTTTCTGTATCATTTCATGTTGCTCAGAAAACTTCTGAAATTTTGTCGTGAACCAAACGGTGCTAAATCTAATGTTGCATCGTGTAGGTATCTGGCAGCAAAAAGTGAAGCTGATCATTACGAGAGAGAACTGAAAAGGGAGCAAGAAGAAATCATCGCAGTGCCAGAAACTGGTTTGCACTGGTTTTTCTAAGAAAAATATTAAACAAATGACAAAATTTTACCAAAAAAAATATTGATTATATCACGAATATAATAAATATTATTTTTATGTGTTTGAAATCATTCTTAATCCATGAAATTAGCAATTTAAAAAAATATATAATATTTTTCAATTTGTTAACATTTTTTTTCCTTTTTTCTTGTGTGTGTGTGTGTATCAATTTACAAATATATTTTGTGAAAAAATTCAGAAGCAGCAGAGGTAGCAGATATACTGGCTCAATATGGGATAGAGGCACATGAATATGCACCTGTGGTGAATGCTCTAAGAAAAAAGCCTCAAGCATGGCTTGATTTCATGATGAAGTAAGTTCCATTCTCACTTCATTAAGTAATATAACCTGGTTTTTGGTTGTTGAACGTCTTACTCATAGAAAGTGTGAAAGTTTTGGCAGTTTATGATGGGCTACATTGTATGTATATATAGTGAATGTGGTATAAGGGCAAGTTGAACTGTGACCACTCAGTGATGGGAATTTGTTGGCAATTCCAAGTTGAAAAGTGGCACCACCCATAGGAAAGTAAAGTAGGTTTTAACTTTTTTAATGTGGGCATGGTTATAGGGTCCAAATGTTGAGCATGCGCAGACACTGTTACAGACAAATTGAGGGTTCCCATTTCCAAGTTGACATATTCTACTTGGATTGGTAGGTGCAAACTTGGGGAAACAAGGGAAAAGGGACATATCGTAGGGGACACATTACACAGAACAAATTGGCATCGTTTTTGTGGTTTTGTTTTTATTATACAACTAGTTTGGATGGCTAAGGGTTAGTACCATCATGTGTTGCTAGGCTTCCAATACAAGTAAATACATTTCTATATCCTTGGTTTAAATTATTCTTCAAAATTCCTATTTCTTTATAGGAAAATGCTGGTTAGGATGGAAAAATTTTCGTAAAAACTGCATGAATGATCTGGATGTGGAATTCATCCTAAAAATTACTGTTTGTATCGCTTTGCTCTTTGCTAAATTTCTCCTTTTTTGCTATCCTGTGAAACTTTCTAAACTTCTGTGAGAGATAAACAGACATTAACATATTCTAATAACTAAACTTTTTAAGATTTTTAATCAAATTATTCGTACCTTCTACTTTAAACTAATCGCACTCAAGGCAAAATCTCGTGAACTATAAGAACAATTTATCAACACAAATTCTCTTTTTGTATGTGAACTTATGCTGGAGATTGATGAAATTTGATGCCAAAGTGTTGATTTAATTGAAGCATGTAAGTTGTTCACATGAAAGACAAATTAGCATGACTGTTTGAGATATTACTTAATTTATTAATTATCTATTTTAATTGGCCACATAAGTACGAAATCGGTTTCGTACTGAGTAGTGGTGCTATTCTTTATAATTGTTTTAAGATATTATTGAAAGCAAAGTGTAGTAATCGATGTACAATGCTGAGTATCTGGTCATGACTTTATATTGAAAAAATATTATAGCGCAATCATTTTTGCTTAAAACCATAAAAAAAAAAATTCTTGCTTTTAGATTCTTAAACTCAGTCCTAAAGGTTAAAATTAACAAAATAGGAAAATAAATAGAATGGAAACATGGACAAAATAATCAAACAACTACTTTTTGAAGCATGCATCCAAATTGTAAGCATTCCCCTTTTGAATGTTTTTAAATAAGTTAAACGATGACTTTGGAAATTTCAATGGCGATCAAATTAACTGGTTGCTAGCTTGGGCTGACAGATTTGAGCTGGGACTAGAGAAGCCAGATCCAAGGAGAGCATTCCATAGTGCAGTGACAATTGCCATTGCTTACATATTGGGTGGTATTGTTCCTCTGGTTCCTTACATGTTCATTCCAAGGGCAGCAGAGGCAGTTGTGTTTTCAGTCGTGGTTACATTGGTTGCATTGCTGATTTTTGGCTATGCCAAGGGACACTTCACAGGCAATAAACCTTTCAGGAGTGCTTTGGAAACTGCTCTCATTGGTGCCATTGCTTCTGCAGCTGCTTTTGGTATGGCAAAGGCTTTCCATCCATAGATTCTTGCTTTGTAGTTTGATGGCAACAAAGTTCTTCTGAGCACTTTTATCTTCAGTTTCCTTGCTATTAGTTGTTACTTGTTACAGCTTTTTATTTATACTTTTTTTATCAAACAAGTAAAAAACCCTTTTATTAACTTTTGATATGAAATATCACTTTGCATTAGAATCGTCTCTCTTGACGTATATTCATCTCGGTGATTAGTTGTTACTTGTTACAGCTTTTTATTTATACTTTTTTTATCAAACAAGTAAAAAACCCTTTTATCAACTTTTGATATGAAATATCACTTTGCATTAGAATCTTCTCTCTTGACGTATATTCATCTCGGTGCAACAATTTGTCGTATGTTAAAATTTGATACGAATTAAGCTAAGCTAGAATATTTTAAGTTGAAGAGCTATAATTAGCTTTAAGCGATTGGAAAATGGCAAGAGATTAAAAAGGTTATTAATTTCAAGCAAAAAAATTTTACATAACATTTTAAAATACTTCAAAATTTTGTTACAACATCGTAACTAGAGTTTATTATCCAACTAGAACCTGATGAATACTTAAAGAATATATCTACAATGAAAAGCGAAATTATCTGTTTAATGGGTTTGAGTCTAAATATAAATATTTAGCTGAAAAAATTAATATTAAAAAAAGGCATAGATAGGAGTATTTAGCGGCAAAAATTAATAATTAAACATAATATATTTTGAAGACGGGTTCATGTTATATTTTGGCTCATTCCAACTCAATCTCATATCTTCTATTGATTTAAAATTTATACTTTTTAAACAATTATATATTAATTATAAGACTTCTAAATTTAATGAATGACATTTTATTTAATGTGATATTATATTATATTGATATTGTTTAGTTTAAAATATATATAATAAATAAATATTAAATTTAATCTTATCTTTCTTTATAGTGTAATTTTGTAATTTAATCTTAAAAGAACTGTACGTGTATGATGAGTGGGGTTTTGGTAAGAAAAAATGATTTCGACTTTAAATTAAGAGAGTTATATTTTTTTAATAAAGAAAATAAAAGATTGAATTTTTTTTAATATTCTTATTTTAAAATTTAATAAAATAAAAAATTATTTTATTACTATCAAATGCATGAATCAATTTATACAAAATTATTTTAACTTAATGATTTTAAGGATATCTATAGTTTAGATAAAATAAATTATTATAAATTATTTTTCAAAAATCAATTTCAAAATATGCTTTTTAGATTTTCTATCCTATTTAATCTAAATCTAACACAAATCATACACCTGTATATAGTGAGTGAGTCTATTACTAGAGATTTTTTTTTTGTATATACAGGAACTCAAACCTAAAATCTTACTTAAGTGATACTAAACTGTTTGATACTCAGATTAATCTCTATTGTTAATATGTTTTTAAATCTTAGAACCTGGTACCAAAATTAATAAATCCAATAAACTGATGATCGAAATTACTTTACTAAGCTGTCCATTGTTAAAAAGAAATATCATTTTCCAACATTTTGGCAAGTGCAAATCAGATTCTGGCTTGATTTGTGGGTAGGGATATCCATGCGGACTTAAGTAAAATATTACAGTATCTGTTTTTATATCTATATATTTAAAAATATATTCGTTATTATAGTTGTTTTCTTATTTCTCTTCTTTCATTTTTTCCGACGGTTACAAACGAAAGATTAATGTGCATGGAAGCAAATTTGATAAGGTGGGTTCAAATTTTCTTTTTGGTCAATCGGGGGTTTACATTATGGATCTCCTAAGTTGCCAGCCTTTGGGGAGAGGGGGTTTAGGCCCTGTCCAATGAACTTTGGACCCAATAACCCATGCAAAGTATAAGGTAATCTCCCTTTATTACCTTTTCAATACTTTTTTTAAAATTAAAAGGTAAAAGTGATTAATACATTTTGAGATTTTAATTTCCAAAAATTAAAAGATTAATACATCTAAACCTTAAATTATTTATTCAAAGTCATCCTTACATAATTAAAAAAAATTACATTACACCCAAAAAAAAGTTTATTCATGCCATCTAAAGTGTAAAATTGCTACCATCCATTTGCTCATGAACAAATTCTTAAATAAACACAAGTTGTACAATCTACTAACAATTATTTGAAAACATTATTTTTATCATATTCTCTACTTAAAGTTAAATTTTTATCTTGTAATAAAAGTCTGCATATATTATCAAGTTAAAATTTCAATTTCAATTGAAGAATAACACTATAAGCATCTATGATTCTACAAATAAATTTGGGTAAAATAATTATTTATACAAAAAATTATATATAAGCTACTTGCTAAGCCTAGATTACAGAACTAGTCTTCACAAGAATTTATCGTGCATTGTCACTAATACGTGTTACCAGACCCCTAGTGAATGCGTTGAAGGGTACTGGGGTTGGGAAGATCACCCAGCGAATGATTTATAGTAGTACCATGGAGCACCCGAAAATGTTCTGAAGTGCAAAGTCCAACTTAGATTAGCAAAGCGAAAAAAAAAATCATACTATGATGACCCTCTATGGTGGGTCAACAAAATCTCTTAGCCGCCATATCAAACACAAACAAGAGTAGAAGAATTAAGTTCACAGAGGAATGGGAACTGCGGGAAAGAATATGCAATGAAGCACAGGCTTCTGCAATAATATGCAAAAGAAACTGTGATTACTATGAATTATATGAAATTTCATAACATATATGAAGGCATGAGCCACTGTTTAATGTGGCAAAAAAAATAAAGCTCCCATTTCCCCCCTACAATTCTCCAAATAAAAAAAATATTTGACCCATCATTCATAGATAGCCCGCAATACCATACAACTCCCTGTACTCGGACACCGTATCGAAGTGCCAAAATCTGTCAACGAGGAAAATCGATTAGTTTTCAGACACAAGTTGAACTTACAAGCAGCAGAAAATCAACAGAACCTTCATAGTCTAAAATATGTTCAAGATGCTATCTAATACCAAAGAAAAATAGATCATCGCATATATTTAGCATCAAAACAGGTGCAAGAGAGGAGACTTACACTGATTCTTGTTGAGGATCTAACAACTGCTGGAGGAAGATGGAAGAGAAAATACTTATATTGCGACTTAATACTATGACATAATTATAGAGTGAGGAAATCAGTGAAAACAGTCCAGCTGAAAAATATCTGGTGGACATTATTACTCCTTCTCTATATATTGTTAGTTTCAGAAGCTAGAAGTTCCATTTGCTCAGTTTGGGGTTCCAAAATCTATGGACATTATTACTCCTTCCCTATTTTCTCCATTTCTACAATCATTGATTCAAAAGTTCGACAACTTTCATCAGGAGTCTCAGATATTATGGGTTCCATCTCAGTTCCACTAACAGGGCAGCCCTCACTGTCATTATTAGAATCTTGAATGTTTGCCAAAAAAGGACTACCTAAAAAGAGCTGTTCCCACGAACCATCATCAGGTAAATCTGGTAGGAGAAATGGAGAATGATTTTCCAAAGGACACAATTTTTCATCCTGAAGTACTTTCAAGAATTCAGAACTGATGCACAAGTCTTTTAGCCCATCTACAGAAATCTCAGGTTCTGGTTGCTTGTCGAAACCAGGAGATAGTGGAACCACTGGCTTTAGCTTTTCACCTACAGGTGGTTTATACTTTATTATCATCCCATCAGAAGTAACTGGACGATCATCTTGTTTATCTTGATCCAATATATTCCCCGGTTCAGCCAAACGCCAATTATTTTCCTTGGGCTGAAGCAGCTGAACCATGAACCCAGGGCTTTGCACAACCATGACTAAGAATGATAACATCTGCTGCTGATGCTTTTCCATTCCTTGAAGGCGATCACTCAGGAGTAGCAACTTATTATCAGAAGACTCCTGGTGCTGCCTAAGTTTGACCAACTCCTGCATGAGGGAATTTTTATCAGATTTGAGATTCTCAACTTCTTTCCAAAGGCCATGATGTGGTGATTCATGTGATGGTTCCTCACAATTGTCCTGCTGCGGCAATGCTTTTTGCTGATCCACCGTGTGTGGATGTTTCCTTCTACGTATATTCTTCAACAAATCCTTTTGACCCCTAACAAAGTTTTCATTGGCAAATTCCCAGCGATCCGTATCAATTTTCCTGAAACCCTAATAGATTTTACAGTTACCAGTTAGTCACTTTCAAAAAAGACTCACCTCAACCTTGACAAATGACATAAACATAACGAAACACCAAACATGCACCCAGATATAAACAAACTGATACTCTCCAGATGTTATAGCTTCTCACAAGATCAGGTATTATTTAGGCCCTATTCGGATGAGCTAACAGAAATACCTGACAACTCTCATAAGCTTTTTTCAGCTTACTTACAACAACTTATCAGAATAAACTCTTTTCAGCTTATTCTAAAAAAATTTATAGCCAAATATATATAGCATAAACCCTTATGTAACAAGAGATTATTAAATAAGCACTTAATTAATCGACGGTCGTTAATACAATCCAAAATGAATGAATAGGACAAACTAAGGAATAGAACGAAAACTTATAAAAATTTAAGCTACACAGTAACTGAATAAGAATATGAAATTACCAGAAACAAAAGCAAAAGCGTTAAAAAAAGAGAAATTGAAATAAGCGAAAAGGAAAAGAAAAAAAGCGAGAGACGTACATAGATGTTGAGTTGTCTGATGAAGCTGGAAAAATTGTTGTGCTTGAAATATGTGGGAAGGAGTGTGACGGAGAATTCAGTTATGTCCAAAATCACGAAACTATCACCGCCTTCACTCCAAGAGATTATGGACTCGGTTTTCTGGTCCTCCACCATATCGTAACATTTCTTCAAGAAAGGAGCAACCGAACCAGAACCAGAACCATTATCGTTGGATTTCACCATCGCCAAGAGAAGACTGAGCACAGGGAAGGGATGACTTATTTATGAGATGAAATTTCCATGCGCCTCCTTTTGTATTCTAAACTCATCACTTTCCAACCTTTTTCTTTTTTTCGGGTTTTCGAATCCAACCCCATCTCAGATATTTTCATTTCTATTTTTTCTAAATATTTTTAAACTTCAGTTTAATTCACTGTTAGTATCACAAAATTTTATTATTATTCGATTAAAATATACCCTGAATATAATTTTTAAGTTAAATGTTATCAAAAATAATAATTTTTGTATATTGAATAATTTAGAATAAAAAAGTTTACATTAACAACACATTTTCACTTAAACTCATTTAAATCTAAAAATATATTGTTTTCCTTGATTTTAAGTTTCGTCTTTTTCTGTATATTTTAATTTAATACTCGAATTGTTTAATTTATTTGGATTTATGTCGGTCCAAATCTCCCCAGTGAAAGTGAAAATGCAAAAGTGTCATCGGTCTAATTCCAAATGAAGTGGTCCAATTACAAAATTCCAAAAGCACTTTATATGCAAAATATTTCATATAATGAATAAATAAAAATCTGCACCCTCTGGTTTCAAATGAAGGATTACTGATACACTAAGACCTCAAAATTGGATACAAGTTAAGAGCTAAGATCAAGGAAATGCTCTGCAATCATCAAAGGATGTAAAATTATCTCTTGTAGATTTTCAGAGACAATTTTTATTCTCTTTATTTTGCCAATTAATTAAGAAGAATTAACACGAAATTATATAATTTAAGTATTCTGCTTTCCTTAATTTTCTTATTATGGCCATCGAGTTGCTGATATTCACATAAAAACAACATTAAAAAAAAAAAACATATCACTTAATTTAGAATTCGAAAGTAAAAGTTTAGTTAAGTTTTTAGTTTTTTGAAAAAAGTATAGTTTTTTTAGCAAATAATTTTTTATTTAGTCCATTTAAATATTGTAAATTTTTATTTAATTTCCTTAAATATAAAAAAATTCTCATAAACATCATAATTTTTTCATTCAGTCTTCGTAAAATGACAAATTAAACAAAAAAATCATAATATTTCGAATAATTGAATAAAAAGAAGAAGAAATGACCGTTTGTAAAAAAATATATTTTATTGAAGACTCATTTGAAAAAATAAAATAAAAACTAAATTAAAAAAATTAATAATTGAACTAAGTTTTGAAACACTGCTTTCATGTTTCTCAAGCATAATTTCGTGGGAAGGAAATGCGCAACCGCAACGAAATATCCTTCTTTGACCGCTTCAAAAAGTTATATTCGTAATTTAAATATATTAATATGCTAATATTTAATATTGAGCTTTCATAGATTATTGAAACTAAATTTTAATTTTAATTAAAAAATATTACCAATAATACGCGTAACATAGTCTTTAAAATTTGTCGCAAGAGAAGCACAAAAGATACAATTTTTTAAAAGTCTATTTTTAAAGCATTCCTAATAATTAACAAAAATTTATTAAAAATATAAAAAATAATTAAGAATAAAAAACATAACACTTACATAACTTTTTAGTAAATTGTAGTTAATAACTAAAAATTGTATTTCTAGTCAGTTTAATTCACCATCCACTTTCAAATTTTCTGACCACACGCTTTCACCCTCATAAATTCATCTTTGTAATGTAGGCACCTCTTTTCTCTTAACCAGTACATCTTCAATATAGCAGCCATTTTTAACTATTAGCAGAAATTAAAAAAATAACTTAACCAACACAAAGGTGCCCCATGTCTGTTAAGGGCCGGTCCAGTGGCTGGTGGATTCCATTGATGCTACTTTGTGTTATTTTAATACTCTCTTCATCCTGTGTTGCTGGTTTTTCTAGGAATGCTCCATTGATATCTTCTGCAGTTTATAATGAAGTGAATGGTCTTCTAAAGTGGAAAGCCAGCTTTGATAAGCATAGCCAAGCTCTCTTGTCTTCTTGGAAAGGTAATGATCCTTGCAAATGGGATGGAATTCTTTGTGATAAATCCAAGTCCCTCTCTTCAGTAAATCTTGCAAATTATGGACTCCAAGGTACACTCCACACTCTCAACTTCTCCTTATTCTCCAACTTACACACTCTTAATATATACAACAACTCCTTTGGTGGAACCATTCCTCCCCAAATTGGTAACATGTCTAAAGTCAACCGCTTGAATCTTTCTTTAAATTCTTTTGATGGTCCTATTCCTAAAGAAATGTGGACATTGAGGAGTTTACGTGGCCTTGATATTTCCATGTGTCATCTAAATGGAGCCATCCCAAATTCTATAGCAAATTTGGCCAATTTATCAATTCTAAATTTAGCAAGCAACAATCTTTTTGGTTACATTCCTCTGGAGATTGGGAAATTACAGAAACTGGAATATCTAGATATTGGATATAACAGCCTTTCTGGTTCCATTCCTCAGGAAATTGGAATGTTAACAAACCTTAGGTATATTGATTTGTCACGGAACACCATCTCAGGTACTATCCCTTCAACAATTGGTAACATGAGCAATTTAAAAGAACTTTACCTTGAAAGAAATACCCTCTTTGGGCCAATCCCACCCTCCATGTGGAACCTAACTAATTTGTCCTCGTTCTTTCTTAATGACAACAAACTTTTCGGATCAATCCCTGCTTTCATAGAAAATTTGGTCAATTTGGTTTTCCTTGAATTTTATAACAACAACTTTTATGGACCAATTCCTTCCACTATTGGAAACTTAACAAAGCTCACTGGATTAGGCTTCGGCTTAAATAAATTTTCTGGGTCAATTCCTGCTTCTATAGGAAATTTGATCAATTTGGATACCCTCACTCTCCAAGGAAACAATCTCTCTGGTTCTATTCCTTCCACAATGGGAAATCTGATTTTGCTCACCAGGCTTGGATTGTCCTCCAACAAACTAAATGGAAGCATTCCAAAGGAAATGAATAACATAACCAATTTGTATAACGTACAATTATCTGACAATGATTTCATTGGCCATTTGCCACCTCAAATATGCATTGGTGGGTCACTAGCATTCTTGGCTGCCGATAACAACCATTTAACAGGTCCAACACCGACAAGTTTGAAGAATTGTTCTACTCTAACTAGACTCAGACTTGAAGAAAACCAAATAAAGGGAAATATAACAGAAGATTTTGGGATATATCCAAATTTGAAATATATCGATCTGAGTGACAATCAATATTATGGCCACATTTCACCAAACTGGGGAAAGTGCCTTAATCTTGATAGCTTTAAGATATCAAACAACAATATTTCCGGTGGTATACCACCTCAACTTGTTGAGGCAACCAATCTAGGCAGGCTTTACCTTTTTTCAAACAACTTGAGTGGGACTCTCCCCAAAGAACTAGGGAATTTAAAATCATTAGTTGAGATTAAGATCAGCAACAATAATTTTTGTGGAAGCATTCCCACAGAAATAGGATTGATAATGAATCTTCAACACTTGGATTTGGCAGGAAATGAGTTTAGTGGCACAATACCAAAACAAGTTGTGAGGTTACCAAACTTATTGGAATTGAATTTGAGCAACAATAAAATTGAGGGGAATATTCCCTCGGAGTTTAGCCAATTGCAGCCTCTTGAATCTCTTGATCTCAGTAGCAATCTTTTGAGTGGAACTATACCAACTATAATTGGTGAATTGCGGCGCTTACAATTGTTGAACCTCTCGCACAATCATCTTTCTGGCATTATTCCTTCTAGTTTTGATGAGATGTCAAGCTTGATTTCCGTTAACATTGCTTACAACCAATTAGAAGGGCCACTTCCCAAAAATCAAGCCTTTCTTAAGTCATCCACAGATTCACTGAGAAATAATAAAGGCTTGTGTGGGAATGTTACTGGTTTGATGCATTGCCCGACCAATCACAAATCAAAGATTCACAAAGTGATGCTACTGGTGCTATGTCTTATCTTACCCACTTCTATATTTTGTGGGGTGGGAATTTCAATATATATTCTTTGTGGAAAATGGAGAGAAAAACAAACTCATGTTGAACAACAAACAGGAGAATTATTTTCAATATGGAGTTATGATGGAAAAATAACTTTTGAAAATATCATTGAAGCTACAGAGAATTTTGATGATAAGTATCTCATTGCGGTGGGAGGGCAAGGATATGTTTACAAGGTTGAGTTGGCTGTTGGTCTCGTTGTTGCAGTGAAGAAACTTAACTCTGTAACAAATGAGGACACATCAGATTTTAAAGCTTTTACAAGTGAAGTTCAAGTCTTAACAGAAATCAAACACCGTAACATTGTGAAGTTATATGGATTTTGTTCACATTCACGATTCTCATTTTTGGTTTATGAGTTCTTGGAAGGAGGTAGCTTGGATCAAATACTAGACAATGAAACACATGCAATGACATTTGATTGGAAAAGGAGGGCGAATGTTGTCAAAGGATTGGCCAATGCTTTATCTTATATGCACCATGATTGTTCACCTCCTATAATTCATCTTGACATATCAAGTAAGAATGTTCTTCTAGATCTTGAATATGAAGCTCATGTCTCTGATTTTGGGACAGCTAAGATTCTGAAGCCTACTTCATACAGTTGGAGCCCACTTGCTGGCACCTTTGGTTATATTGCTCCAGGTTAAGCCATTTTCCTTGCATTTCAAAATAGTAATGCTCGTACTTATTTTAATTTACACCACTTTTCTACGTTTGAGATTATGCATTGGGATTGGATCCCATGTAAGACTTCGCATCAATTAGCCTAATCTAGTGTTGAACTAAAACAAATGTCAATATTCATTTTTTTTCATTATGAGTTATCTCTAAATATTTGAGACATTTTTTGCATATTAGAACCGAACCACAATCTCGTTATTATTTATTTTATTTTATGTTATTTGCAGAGCTTGCCCAGACAATGAAAGTGAATGAAAAATGTGATGTTTATAGTTTTGGAGTACTTTCCTTAGAGATTCTTATCGGAAAGCATCCAGGAGAACTTATATCTTCACTATCATCGTCATTGGCTCATGATTTACTCTTGATTGATGTGTTAGACAAACGGCCTCCTCATCCAGTAAAATCAATTGTTGGGGAGGTCATCGTGATAGCAAGGTTGGCATTTGCTTGCTTGAGTGAAAATCCACATTCTCGCCCAACCATGGAACAAGTATCTAAAGAGTTGATGATGGGAACATCACCTATAGTAGAGCAGTTCCCTATGATGAGACTGGAACAACTACAGTAGACCATTCAAATTGTATTTTGTTTCTCGTTTTCTTTGCGTGTCACTTTTTTCTTTTTCTCGTATTGGCCTCTTTGCTTTGTCATTCTGTAAATTATGTACAATTTACTGGCTAGAATAAAAGTAAGTTTAAAGTAATATTTAACTTATCAATTGGTAAATTGATCCAAAGAGACCCGTGTCAAATATGTTTAGTCTCTGAAAGAAATTTATTTCTATAAAGTAAACTAAAGCGATTATATGCCCTCAACAGCGCCCCTTAACTCAAGTTGGTGTTGCAGAAACAACCTCACAGCTGACTGGAATAAAGTTGTGAAATAATTGTCCCGCCACAGGGCATCAAATGTTTAGAGCCTCGTGCATTAGGCTGCCCTTTTAGTCCTAAAAATGATGAAGGATTTTCTTTGATGAGATTATAGATCCGAGAACTATGAAAAGGTATTAATGCGATCTAAACGCCAAGATTTACCTTCTATTATAACATTGACCCTTAAATCTGCATCCTCTTTACAGCCACCAAGAATCTATTTATGAATAAAAAGTAGTTGAGGATCAGTAGCCTTGGTGATCATTTATGTTTCCTTCGATGAAAAATGGGGAGAAGAAACGGATGGCACAATCTCTAAGGACTCCTAACTAAACTGTAACTCAAAATAATTCATGTTCTTGAAGCTTTGTACTATTTTAGTTCCCTGTAACCTACAATGTTAATATGGGCACATAGAAAGACAACGGGTATTGTCAAGGCGCATCAATGACAATCAGAACTCAAATTGTTTCATTAATTGTTGTTGAATTACTATGTAGGGAGTCAAATTGGTAATAAAATACATAACATCAACTGGACCTTGTACTGAACCCAACAGAAAGTTGAAAAGGTATTTGAACACTCAGAGTGTTGTTTAAGGTGGGCAATCAGGACTCAATTCAAAATGCTTAACGTGAAATTGGACGTGTTATCAGGATCCCAACTCCCAAGCCCTCTCGTCACCAAGCTGAGAGCACACAGACTTCATCTCCAAAAGGAATTTTTGACTGCATGATTTTGCAAAGGCAGGGCAGCCAACATGCTCACCCTTTTTTTGACTTGACTATGGTGTGTGTGCTTTCTGCACTCATTTAGTACTAACATTTTAATCTCCGTCTCAGTTTAATACTGCTATGCAGCCAGAGTGATGATATGCATGGTTCCCAATTGTAGTTGTTATTTCACCAGTAATCTCCGCAAGAACAAGACCCACTCCTGAAATGGTGAAATCGGCTATTATCCCTCACAATGATTTCCCTGCCAACAATCTTTGCCATATATTTAATCGCAGTGTGGCAGTCCACACATACCCGAATGTTCTTTATTACCCGGATGGTCGTGCCAGCAGTAGTGCTGATGATGCCAAATGCTATAGCAAGTCTCTCGCTGTGAGTGCGTAATAATTCACGTTTATGTTCCTCATCGACATCATGGAGCACCTCGTTTGTGTCAAGGACATAACCTTCTTTCTCCATCTGCTCCAATAAAACATTCAAAGCCTCATTTATTTTGTCATAATATGGATGTGATTTATCTCCAGCCAGAAAAGTATGTACTTTGTTTCCAACTTCAATCCAGCTGCATGCCGGAGTCTTCTTCAAACCCTTGTTTCTCATGTGGATCCTCAATTTCGCAGCATCTTTCCATCTTTGGGCTGCTGAATAGATGTTTGACATTAAAACAAATGCACTCATGTTTTCAGGGTCAACCAAGAGTATTTTGTCAACAACCTTTTCAGCTAATTCAACATTCTTATGAACCCTGCAAGCAGCCAACAACGTAGACCACACGCTACCCGTTGGTTGTACTCCCATGTTACAGATAAAATCGTAGGCTTCCTCCAATCTTCCGGCTCTACCAAGCAGATCCGCGACAGTAGCACAGTGCTCTAACCCAGGAGCAATACCAAAATCCAATTGCATACTATTAAAATACCTCCAGCCTTCATCAACCAACCCAGCATGACTACAGGCAGTTAAAACAGCCATAAATGCCACATAGCAAGGCTTCACTCCATCAACCAACATCTTTTCAAACAAGTAAACTGCATCAAGAGCATGACCATGCATTGCACATCCCATAATGATGGCAGTCCACGACACCATGTCACGCATCTCTATTCTATCAAAAATACATCTAGCCATCTTAATGTTACCACATTTGGCATACATATCCACAAGAGAGCTGGCTATAAACTTGTTATCATCAAACCCAAGTCTAATTATACATCCATGAAGCTGCTTCCCCAAATTCAAAGCCGTCAAGTGAGCACAAGCCGGTATAACACTCGCAAACGAAACGTCCACAGGTTTCACTCTTTCCTTCAACATCCAACGAAAGAACTCAAGCCCCTGATCAAATCTCCCATTCTGCACACACCCTGCAATAATCGAGTTCCACGAAATGGCATCACGCTTAGGCAAGAGAAAAAATGCACGAAGCGAAAGCTCCACTCGAGTACATTTCGCATACATGTCAATCAAACTACTCCCAATGAAAACATCCACATCAAAACCATGTCTAATAGCATAGCCATGAATTTCCTTCCCTTTGATAACATCAACATGCTCGGCGAAAATAGGAAGAACGCTAGACAAAGTGAACGAATCAGGTCTCAATTTAGCATTGCCCATTTCCCTAACCATATCCAAAGCCTCTTCATACATCCCATTCTGAGCACTCCCAGCAATAACAGTGTTCCACGAAACAACATCCTTCACGGGCATTCCATCAAAAACCTTCCTAACACAGTCTGTTATAACGATTCGGCGTGGCTGAGAAAAACCGTCGAGCGCGTGGTTTGCAGAAAAGCGAGGATTCAGGGGAGCACGAAACTTGGAATACATATTCATCAACGCATTGGCGGTGTACAAATCGGAATCGAAACCGAGACGAATAACGGAAGCGTGGAGCGACAGTGCGAGGTGGAAGTTGTTTAAGAGCGTGGCAGCTTTGAGGAGGGAAGGGAACAGGTGGCGATTGGGGGGAATAGCGAAGGCGCGCATGTGGTTGAAGGAAGAGAGAGAGTGGCGGAGGAAGCCATGGGAAGTGTAGCATTTGATGATGGAAACGAAAGCGCGTGGTGAAGGGAAAGGGAGAGAGTGGAAGATGAGAAGGGAATCGTGTAAGAGATTGAGGTGAGTGTAGAGTGTGAGGAGTGTGGTGTTGGTGTGAGAGTGAAGGGTTCCTTTGGTTTTCAGTATTTGGGCGTGGAGTTGTTTCGTATGGTATGTGGATACCACCCTGTTTGGGTTCCCAAGAATGCTTCTCGTCGCATTTTGGAGGGAACTCATTGAACAATCCATTAACTCTTGTCTCTCCTCCCATCCCATTAAGTATTTTATCACTTTCAAACTCATGGTAAATACAAAATAAATTAAATATCTCACTTTTTTCAAAAATTATTTTTTTTAATTTTTTTAAAAATATTATTTAATAAAATTTTAATATTAATTATTCATATATTTTTTTCATTTTATTATAATAAATTTTGTAATTAAATTTATAATATAAGTTATTATATAAAAAATTATTAAATAAATACATTAAATCGTGTATCTAAGTATGTTAAAAAACCCGGAGGAAGGGGTTACTTCATTCAATGTGATTGGAGTCAAGGCCAGTGTTAAACAAACAATTTTTTAAATGTCCCAATTCAAGAATAAAAATATAAATTGATATTTTTTAAAAGAATTTTCAAATACTTTTATTCAATTTTAATATAAGATATTTTATTAAAAATTTAAATATTACTCTCTCTGGTATTTTTTATAAAAAATAAAATTGAACTTTTTTATCCTATTTATAAAAAACATATAATATATTTGAGATGTAATTGCTTAATTTTTTTAAATTTTTTTATAAATAAAATGAAAGGGAATATCATTTAATATGGATGTTGTTTCATGTTATGATTCAACGTTGTAAAAGAAAGTTGGGAACGATGACCCACTGAATCCGTAGTCTTGGCTCGTAAAAGGATCTGTGATTAATTTCTGTGATTCACACTAGTTGTTGACCATGTCCAAGTTGTACTTTCATCAGAGGACACTGCAAAGTGTTTTCACAGGTCAACTTAAAGTCTAGGTTCCTTCTCATTTCATGCACAGCTTGGAGAAAAAGACAAGTGCTTCAACTTAATTGATGCCAATAAAGTTTTGATCTCACTAAAGAAATTTCACAATTCACAGAGTTTATGTTATTCCTTTCTAATTTTCTTATGAATTACTCTTTTATCTACATAGTTTTCAAAGCTTAATGATTACAAGGAACGTATGCGCAAAGAGTTTTGGATAATATACACTGCCTTGGTCTTAATTTTCAAGTTTTTTTTATGCTTATAAAGAATGTAATAAACCTTTCACACTTTTAAGTTTTCCTTTATTGAAACCTCTTTTGACTGGCTATGAAATTGAAGTATTGAGTGATGTTATAAACAAACATAAAAAAATTAGAAGATGATTCTAACAAATTTCAAATGCCAAATATTAGCCAAATCATTAGTTTAGCTTAAAAGTTAATAATATTTCTTGGTTACATGAAAGCTAATGAATTAATTGATTATCTAATTAAAAGTATTTAATAAAAGAAGTTAAATTAATTGATAAATAGATAGATAGATAATAAATTTAAATTAATTGACCATTCGAACCCTCGTCTTCACACACCGAGTGTGTTATTGAAACGTTGCCGCGTAATTTAGGCAAAGATCAAACATAAGACACCACATGTTACCTTATGGAGTGCCTTTAATCGAAGGTTGACGTTGCAAGCCACAAATAAGGTAACAAAGTCTTTTGGGTTTTAAATAAATTATAAATTATTAAATATATTTTAGTCACCAACAATATACATTTTATTTTGTTAGATAAAATAGCTTAAAAATATTTTTTTAAATTGAAAAGTATAAAAAATCTTTTGAATTAAGACACATTATATTTATTAATATATGACGTATAAATTTAAAATATAAACTAATCAACGATTATTTGTACAACTTACGAATGCCATTAAATAAAAAAATACATTGTTTTTTTTTAAAATTCAATACATTAAAAATATCTTTTTATTAGTTTTAAATATTATGTTACATTAAATAAATTAAAATAAAAAAATCAATGCAAGAAAAAACTATACATTTAATATAGGAAAGTAAATCAAATACTTAATAAACAAAATGGCTTAATAAAAACTAATATCAATCTTTAAGACAAAGAGCAAGAAACTAAAAGTGATAATTTTTATTTAAACATGACAAGTATTTTCATTCATCATCTTAATGGAATTTGTTTTCTTAAACAAAGACACCATCTTATTATTTTTAAAAAATATAAAACAAAATAAAAATCAACCTTGAAGACTGATATTAAGGGGGGGAAAACTACTCAAAGTTGTGTATTAAAAGTCACCAGGGTTGGAAATCAAAATCTGTTTTCAATGACAGAGAAATTTCCGATCCAAGTCGCAAAATTGATGCATATTCCCCCTATAGTCAGGGTGATATCACACAAAATATTTTTTGCTCTTGGCTAGTTGCATGGACAAGACAATACCACCTGTGCCGTCTAAATTTCCTTTCTTAACCTCAACCAAATCACAAAAACATGTCTCGTGTGTGAATGCATTATATGTTTCCTCTATTCCAGGAGTGACCAGAAAGAACCGGTTAAACCAGAATAACTAAGATCCTCTTGTTATTCAAACGTACATGTAATCACAGTCAAACCTGAAACTTGTAATAAATTATGACATCAATGATATAAACAAGAAAGAAAACTCACCGTTTTTAAATAAAACGATAATGTCAATCGTAAGGCTAAATTTAAACAATTAATGATGATACAATTATATAATAAATATATAGTTTTTACAAAATAAACCATTCCCATTTCCCACCGTTTCCATTCCACTTTCCACCCGTTTGAGGAGAAAAACTCGTTTATATTATTAGTGACACTTTCATTGGGTCAAAAAACACAAAAGATGGGGGAAGGCGTAGTTGAGAGAGCTCTGAACAGCTTAGGAAAAGGCTTCGACTTGACCTCAGATTTCAGGCTCAAATTCTGCAAAGGCGAAGAGCGTTTGGTTCTTCTCAATGAAACAGAGAGAAGAGAGCTAGCGGTGCCCGGTTTTGGACCTATCAAAGATGTATCCGTTGACATCAAATGTGACAAAGGAGATCGCACCCGCTATCAATCTGATATCCTCACCTTCACCCAAGTAAGGCATTTCACCAAACACTTGGTGGAAATTCAAAATGATTTAGTTTTTAATGTGATTGAAATTTGGTTTCTGGGTTTTGATCTTAGATGTCAGACCTCTTCAATCGTAAGAGTTCAATCCCTGGGAAAATCCCATCTGGGTACTTCAACACCGTGTTTGGCTTTGATGAGGCTTCATGGGCAACTGATGCAGCTAACACCAAGTGCTTGGGTCTTGATGGCTATTTTATCAAACTTTTCAATGTTCATATTGATCGGTATCCTCTTGTTCTGTCCAAACAAGTCCTTGAAGCTGTTCCTTCTTCCTGGGATCCTCCGGCACTCGCAAGGTAATAATTATTTCTTCCCCCCCTTTTTTTAAAAATTTCATTTTGATTATACATATTAATGCAAATAAATTCCACATTAAGATTGAAAGCGAGGTTAAAACTGCTGCACAATGAATTGGTCTAGCTCTTAGACCAACCATAGAAATGTTTGTGGCCATCTCACATCCATTACTGACTTTCATCATGTAGTGGTTGACCGCTTTGTGTAAAACCAAGTTTTACCATCCAGTAGTGGACGAGGCATTTCATAAACAATATTTTTACACATTTTTTACTGATTTAATCTAAATAATTCGGTGATATATTAGTTTTATTATATATTTTTCAATGATTTAAATGAATTTATTCTGAGGGATTTTTTAGTATAACATTTGTAAAAGTATTACTACCGTATAGGATTACCATTATCTTCTAGTTTTTAAAATTGTTGATTTTCTTAAACGAATATTGTTTTTGTTGTTGAATTTCTACAGCTCCAATTTACATTCACTTTCCAATAATAAAAAAAAAACTAAGTATAAAGGCCATAGTTTTGGTTATATAGATATATATAGTTGGGAAAGTAATTGGCGAACTGTCACATAAACAAGGTCAAAGAAGTAGTTTGGTTGGGGCAAACCTGTAACGTTACACTTTCATTGCACACAGCATTTTTACGTGGTGTCAAACATGGAGATGCTTTACTTGTTGGAGACGTTAGCTTAATAGAATGGTAAAGTTTAATTATGATAAAATAATAATTGCATTTTGAAAAAAAGTCAGTTTTAAAAAATAAATGATTATATTTTAAAAATAAACTGAGTTAAATAAGCACTTTGTTTAAATAGTCCATTTGATATTTTTCTCTCTTAACTGTTTCTTGACTGGGTAGTAGTCAACTCCATCATTGCCAGAGAGTTATAATTATTGATAGTTCAATTGTTTAAAACTTTAAATTCTGTGTGTAAGGATTGAGAGAATTAAGAATCAACACGTAAAAAGATAATTGAAAAATAAAATAAAAGTTATGTTTTTTATTGTAACTTTGCCACCGAAACAAAAAAGTGTTCTAATTAGTAAATTAGCATTGATGATTTGTAGGAGATTTGGAGGGATAATATAATAGATCTTCTAAGTATAATTATTTTTAAAAAGAAGCTAATTAGTAGCGTGGGTTTGCATATTAAAATCAATTTTCATTTAAAATTTGTTTTTTAAATGAAGTCTCTTGCTTTGATGAAATCGGGAAAGGGCTTCCGTGAAGTTATCGACTTAACGTGCATTTCATCCCACCTAACGATCCCTTCATCAAACGCTTAGCTCAATTTTCCAAAGTGGTTTATAATTTCAGCTATTTAAGATTTTTAAAATATTTTTAAATAATGCTTCATGTTCCCTAAAATGTTTTATTAAACTTCAAGTTCTCATTTATGTCTATCCTTTTTGGCTGGATGATCATAACTAGTTATTCATTCTAAAACAAGCTTAGAAAATTAGAAGTAAATAATTTTTTTTCAGTCAATGGTACACATCAAGAGCATCTACAAACAAATAATTTAAACTATTGAGTATATTGTAATATTTTTTTATTAAGAGGCTAAGTTAGAATTTTCATTAACAATATATGTAGTGATGTTTATAGAATTATTCAAAATTGTGTTGAATTTATAGGCTGCTACTTGGAAAGTGAAAGGAAAAAGCACAAAACATTATCTCTGAATTTTCCCACTTCCTCTCAAGCTCAGGTCTTTTTCTTACAGCCATAAATATTTTAAAAGAATGCGTCATACGGCATAAAATTACTTGATCAAACTTAAATTTCTCATGAATGGTTATCCTTGTTCGGATGATCAAATTTTATTTAAATTCTAAATATAAGCTTAGAAAACTAGAATCTGATAGTTATTTCATTTTCGGTCAAAGATAGACATCAAGAGGATCTAGACAATTAATTTCAAGTATTGACTAAATCATTATTTTTTATATGAAGCCGGGTTAGAAATTTTCACAAACGATATACTAATAGTTACGAAATTATAATAAAAAATTGTGTTGAATTTCCAGGCTGCAAGCTGGAAAGTGAAGGAATAAAACAAAATATTGTCTTAATTTTCTTTCCCACTTCCTCTCTTACTCAAGTCATTTTCTTACAGCCAGAAGTGTTCCCTTCTCATCCTCATCGACGTCTTGCTGTGTATTATTGGCAAAGCCTGTTTACACTATCATATATTGTTATATCCAGTTCTTATGTGTGGATAGGAACAAGTCAATCGTTTACCATATTATAACAATAATGATGATGGCGACATTGCAATGATTTTGGCCATTTTCTAAAAGAAAACGTAGGATCCAAACTAACTTAAAATCATCCCTGTTTGTCCGATGATTATATTTTTATTGTTTTCAAAGCTCTAGGAATGCACCACAACATACTTATAACTATGAACAGTTAAAAGTTAATTTTTTTAATTAAAAAATTAGACTTTATTTTAAATGATTTTTTCAACGTGTTTACAGGAATATATGATAAAATAAATAATAATTTTGTTAAAAATTATGGTACTTAATGTTATCAATATATTTCAATAAAGCGCTCTTATACTTACCTTGGAAGATTGATATTTTAAAATACTAAAAAGATTTCTACAGTTGGCTTAGAAAACTTGCAGAGCCACAGTCAAATAGCAGCAATTTTCCAGCCTCGAAACTTGAAATTATTTAAGATTTTCAAAGATGTTCTAAACTTTTTTGGGTGGGCTATTGACTATGCATCTTAGTATTCTAGCAATTTGACTTGAAATCGCCGATATGAAAAACTGGGTCTCAATTCAATTAACTATTCTTTTAAAAAAATAATTTTCAATTGAATGTAACTATGTAAAGAGACATAAATTTCCATTCAATTCCAAGTATTAAACTAAGACAGCATCCTTAGACATTCTAACATTTGATAAAGTTGGGAAATACTACTGGGCATTCTTGATTCTCTGCCACCTGATAGATAAGAAGACACTTTAAAATGTAGAAACTAAACTTGGTTTTAAGTCCATTGATTGATGTTCTTTAAAGGTCAACATTTTATCAGATTCATTGAGAAATTCGGGACACACATCCTTGTGGGGCTTAGCATTGGTGGCAAAGATTTAGTGCTAGTCAAGCAAGACGTGTCTTCCAACTTGGGGCAATCAGAGCTCAAGAAGCACTTGGATGAGCTTGGAAATCAATTATTCACTGGCACGTGCAATTTCCTTCCCAAAACCAAAGAGCAGAAACACAAGGTTTCCTTCATATAATTAATTAAGCACCGTTTTGGATATCAGAACAATTAATAAGCCAATATAGTTTTCCATTCCATAATTTGATTTTGTTCTAAATAGTTGCATTGTGATATGCTGAAATACAGGTACCACAGGCTTTTGATGTCTTTGGTCCGCAAATCGTTGCCTTCAATAGCTCTACTTCCGTTTGTGCAAAAGATGTATGTAGGTTCATCTTCAGTCCAGACCAATCTTCATTAATAATTAATATTATAATTTGAAAAAAAGTTGAGAAATTCTTAAGAATTTTCATTAAGTAGAAAAAGATTGAAAATATATCTGAAACAGATTTTCCCCGAAAAGACCAAATAGGTTAATTATAATTAATAATGACAATAATGAGTTTTAGAAATGATATTATAGATAATGGAACTTTTCAGGGAATTACTGTGATATGTGCAAAGAGGGGAGGGGATACCCAAGTGAACAACCATAGTGAATGGCTTCTCACAGTTCCAATAAAGCCAGATGCTGTTGATTTTACATTCATTCCCATCACTTCTCTTCTTAAAGGTGCTCCTGGGAGGGGCTTCCTATCCCATGCCATCAACCTCTATCTCCGATGTAAGTTTATTTTATTTTCTCCTCTTCTTGTCAAAATGAAAACAAAACAATAACTGCAAAACTTGGATCAAAGTCACTCTTCAATCACTTGAAGAGTATAGACTCCCATGTTTGCAAACCAATAAAATGCATGCCAACAGTAACTTTGTGTGTTTAGATTAACTTATTTGGGTTGAGCATTTTGAAATTGCATCCTAGTATTGCAATTCTTTTAGGATTCTAATTTTCATTATACTTCTTTCTGTTATATTCCTTTATTTCTTTAAATTTTTTTATTTTTTTTTATCTCTCAATTTCTTTTCATTTTTCCAACCTCAAAAATGGAATGCACATTTATCAATACCTATTCATAAAATAGTATTCGTATAAATTAGCATATTTGAAAAATTAACATCATTATTAATTAATTAATATTTCCATGTATTCATATACTGTACTATATATTTTTGTCCAGAAAAAAAAATACTATTTAATTTTTTTAAAAAAGAAATTGAATATAATAAGCGATTAATTTTTTGAAATAAGCTGAATCAAATATAAAGCGGAGGTTTTTCTTCATTCATCTAAAATTTAGGGAATGTAATTGATAAGAAATACTAAGGTTTTTCGTTTCAAACTTAAAGTGCGGTCTCGTCACTTGCAGCATGCAGGAAAAATATTATGGATAACTTCTAATTCTCTTTTCTATGGCTTGACCTGATACAGTGGTTTAAAATTGATTTTTGGTCTTATGAACATCAAAACGTTCGTAATAGCTCGTTTTTTTATTCTTAGATCATCACATAACTCCTGTTGCACATGTATATTATGGGTGAAAGTCAATTTTATCACATACAATAAATTACTATATAAATTTCAGAGAGAGTTGAAGTTTGACTTGAAAATTGCAATAGCAGTTTTGATTTTAACAAATTTGGACAAATGAGAACGAAATAAATTCCTATAAAATTACAGATAAGCCTAATATGTCAGATTTGCCATACTGTCTTGACTTGGAAGCACACAAGTTTTGGGGTCCCATTCACAATGTTTAACCATTCTTCACCAGGCTGTCACGTTTTGGTTGTTGAGCTAAATTAGATTAATTGAATTCATATGAAATGCAGATAAGCCTCCTATGTCAGATTTGCCTTATTTTCTTGACTACCAAGCACACAAACTTTGGGCTCCCGTTCACAATGATCTTCCTCTGGGCCCAGTCACAAACAGAACTACCCTTTCTCCTTCTCTCAGTTTCAACTTGATGGGTCCCAAGCTTTATATAAACACAGCAAAGGTACATTCAAGGCCTTCCCTATTAGTAATTATTACATGTTAGACTTTAATGCCATGTTCTTATGTCTAAGTAAGTATCTTACTCACAACAGGTAACAGTTGGTAAAAGGCCAATCACAGGGATGCGCTTGTTTCTTGAGGGGATGAAATGCAACAGGTTAAAGTCACACTACTATTAATTATTCTTTCATGTTGTGACTAATCATCAATCTTAGATAAGATTTTCTGGCCAATTAACAGTGGTGCTCACAAGGATGTTGGTGACACAGGTTAGCCATACACGTGCAACATCTTTTAAACACCCCATTAATGCTTAACAACAAAATAGAGGATTCCCCAATATGGTCAGAAGAAATCATTGATGAACGTTTCTTTGAAGCAATCAATGGGAAGAAATTTTCCCATGTATGTACAGCACCAGTGAAATACAATCCTAGATGGAGTTTTGATAAAGATGCGGCCTTTATTGTCACAGGAGCGCAACTTCATGTGAAGAAACATGACTCAAGGAGTGTCCTTCATCTGAGGTTGTTGTTCTCAAAGGTTTCTAATTGTGTAGTTGTAAAATCAAATTGGACACAGGGCTCCTCTGGGTTATCCCAGAGATCTGGCATTTTCTCAGCAATAAGCACATCAATTTCGGGTAATAAAGGCCAGAAAAAACCAGCTCTAGTAGTGTTGGATTCAAGTGTGTATCCAACAGGACCTCCTGTGCCTGTGCAAACTCAAAAGCTGTTGAAATTTGTAGACACTTCACAGTTATGTAAAGGCCCACAAGATAGTCCTGGCCATTGGTTGGTCACAGGAGCAAGATTGGTGTTGGACAAGGGTAAGATATGTTTATGGGCTAAGTTCTCTTTGTTAAATACTGGTTCATGACATATCAATGCACAAGTTCAAATGAAAATTTGAAAAAGGGATGAATTTTTTTTCAAATTATACATTTTTATGTAAATTATCACATATATATCCCAACAATGGATATGTCCTTGTCTACTTAATATTTCTAGTTATCTGATGTACCTAGTTATAGGATCAATTGTTTCTTCCATTTGTTTTGTAAGTAGCTTCCCACAAAATCAAGGATTTACAATATTGTATTTAGATTCCTTTAAGAGAAAGTGAATGAAACTATAGAGGACTCATTTCCATATATATATATATATGCTTTCGTTGAGATCCTTCTCAAGATAAAAATGGAGGGTATAATAGAAAAAGAAAACATGCATTTCTTTAAACGGATCAATGATTCAGTGCTTTTTTTGTCCCTCATAAATTATATTTTCTTTATACTTTGATTTAATGCTTTTAAAGAAATAAGTAAATAATTACTTTTGGCTGAAAAAATAAGGATTCTTTAATTTATTTATTTATTAAAAGATTTGGTTGTGAGTTAATTAGACTTGAAATGACATTTACGTAGACTTTAATTATAATTTACGTCAAGGATATCTCACCCCTAGAACTTAGTTCCTTTTAAATATAGATTTTATAATTAACTGTTCAAATGATCTCATTATCGATTAAATATCAAACTTCATTGATTGTAATTTGTATTTTATACTCACTAATATCTATAGATAGAAGTCAGAAAGATACAGAATTTTTTTTTTTAAGACAAATATATAAATCTTTTCTGCTACTTCTTTACTACAAATTTCATAGCTGTAATATAAATAATTTTAACTAAGTATTAATTTTTTTATATATTGCCTTAGATAACTAGTAATATGAAATTAGGTGTAAATATAAATTATTAGTTAAAAAACTTTATAGGTTTATTTTACTTTACCATTTATATGTTAATATTATATATAAATAGGAGATTTAATCTAGTTTTGATAAAATAGTATTATTCTTAATAATTAGTAATTCATAAAACGCCCTATTTAATTAAAATATAAAAATTTTCATATTTCGAATGAATAAATACACATAATCAAATATCAATTCTTGATCATATTTGATCTTGAAAAAATATTTTTGTAAAACCTTTTTGGAAAGTTTACATTTGATTCCTTCCTAAAAAAAAAATAAAACTACATCATTTCAATGTCAAACAAGTTAATTCAAAGCGAATTACCAGTTTAGAAAACTTTTCATTACACCCATATTAGATGGTAATTAAGTAAGTACGAAATAAAATTTTATTTTCAAAAAGAAATTTTATTAATATATTATTTTCATAATTATTAATTATTTTCCTAAATTAAATAATTTTAATTAAAATATTAATTATATCAAAATAAAATGTATTTAACATTTTTAAAATAGTGAAAAATATTTAATAAAATGATAGTTTTTTAATAATTTTTTAATGCATGTCTAATAAGTTAAAATACAATTATAAAAAATTTAATACATACTATTGATGATATTTAATACGATAAATTTAATATTTTTAATATATGTTTAAGATATATAAAAAATTAGTTTTTAAAAGCAAATTTTATTTTATTTTTTAAAATTTTGTAACTTGCGTTTTTAAAAATATGATAAAAAAAATAAAAAATAAATTTTAAAAAGTATAATAATTAATGTTATTAATATATTAAATTAAGTCATGTTATATAATTTTTAATAAGAATATTTTTTATTTTCTGTTAGATAAAATGTTTTTTAGTTATTAGTTTCCGTACACCTGTCCCAGCGCATTGATGACGATTCAGATTCAATGAGATGGATCAGTTACTTGACGGAATCGTGAATGATTGAACGTACGATGCGAACAGAGCACCGTCACATTTATGTTCACATGTGAACGTCGTGACGTGCATTTCTGTTCTACATATGAAACCTGAATAATAATAATATTAATATGTGGTATAAAATAATTTGAGATTTGATCGATTGTCATGAACTGGTTGACTTTCTGGAACTGTATATCGATTCTCTTGCTGCCTTTTGCTTTCTTCTTCTACTGTTACACATACCCATCTTCTCCTTCTCCTTCTCCTTCGCTCATGGCTGAAGAAACATCCAAATCCATTTACGATTTTACCGTCAAGGTTTCTTTTTTCTTTCTCTATGCTTAGAATTGTTGCCTCCTCATATCCATTTGTTGTTTTTCTCTAATTGATTAAAAGATTGTGACTTGCTCGGGTCCAAATGTTTTTGCATTCGGATTGCTTGATGGGTGTGTGAATGTAAAATAGGAAATATCAACTAGATTAAGAATGGCACAGTTATATTTAATAGGTTCATATTTCATATATCTAGTGTTTCAATTTTTTAGGAGATCAATGAAGCATGCTAATCTACTTCGCTTTTCACCTTATGCCTTTGCTGCACATTTGCTTCAGCTTGTGCTGAGACCAAGACTGCAATATTTATATTTATTTTCCATGATGATTTTTTTTTTTACGATATTGATGGAAAATGAATTGGGTTCTGGGAGTTTTGGTTGATTATTGGTTTGTCAATGCTCATTTCTCTTCCTACCAAAATTTTTGGGACAGGGCTGATTTATTTTGTGTTGCTGACTTTATTGTAAATGCACCTTTAACCCTGCTGATCTTTGGTTACTTAATTGCTTGACTATCGATTTACTTTTATGATTTATTTTTGTTTGTGGTATGAATTAATATTGCAGGACATCCGTGGAAATGATGCGAGTCTCAGTGACTACAGGGGGAAGGTTCTGCTGATTGTGAATGTTGCCTCCCAATGGTAACATTATTTGATATATACTTGATAAATTATTTTTGGGTCATTGCTCACAGCCATATATCGGTTTACCTTATCTATGTTTTTTTATTGCATCTCAGTTGCTCATGTTTACTTCAACCTTGATTATCTTTTAATCATCATGCTTTATATTACTCTGCCTTGTTTCGGCTCGATGTCCTCAAATTCCCTTTCATCTGGTAAATTTCTTGAAGTTTTAGGAATCTACACGCAGTTTAGACTTTAGACCATAGGAAGGTGTTCATAATTGTTAAGGTAAAGAAGATTCCTGGAGTTGACACATTTAGAGTATTGTTTGATTTGGTTCTAAAAGAGTTCTATTATTGCTGCGTTTGGTGTTTGAGAAATGTGATGCGATAGCTATGTAGAAGTATGATACCGCAATTTCTCTAACATGAAACAAGAATGCTTGTGAGATTCCATCTGTTGGTGAATCCTTTATTTAGTGCAATTCCAACTAACAAACATAAATCTTTATTCAAAAACTTGATTTTACAGTTGAGTTTGAAAAATTTTATGTAAGATTGAACTTTAGCAGGTGAGTTTTATGTAAATGAATCACTAAAGACATTGAAAAGCCATCGACTTTCGGGCTATAGTATTGAGTTCTGTGTTGGATGATGCTAAACAGCATCTGATTTCTTATTAATAGATACCAGGGCTTAAGAAGACAATATATCATTAATGTTATCAAAATCTGTCCGATGAGTTTTACGGATGATGTTGTGATTTTTTTTATATTAGTAGGAATAAAAATAAGATCAATAACAATTGTATTCAGGAGAGAATTGGAGTAGCATTTACTGATGAGAAACCAACAATGGTTCCAGTAAGAAAAGTGGATCAAAAGATTGTTCAATTAAAAGGGATAGCAGATGACCAAAAAGAACTTTAGGATAACCTATTAAAACAAATCTCACTTTAAATGGATTTTGGATGTGTTTAGATATAAGTGCTTATTTGATAAACACTTTTTAAAAGATGATTTGTCATATATTTAATAATGAAAGGTTTTGGAATAAGCTGAAACAACTTATTTTGATAAACTAAATCAAGAAGCTTATTTATGGGAGTTATAAGTTGTTTTCCATAAGCTGTTCATAAACTTTTTCAAATAGGTCCTTATTGAAATTTGGTTTTTGATAGAGTCCAATGATGTTGTTGGATTCATTTTTCTAGTTTCATCTAGTGGGATAAGACTGGTTGTTATTGTTTATATTAGAATTAGCTAATTGCAGCACATTATTGTTCCCACTTTATTATTTTTAAAACTGTACTTATAATTGTCTACTTTATTGCTGCAGTGGTTTGACTCAATCAAATTACAAAGAATTGAATATATTGTACGAGAAATATAAGAATCAAGGTCTGTCAATTTTGTGAAGGATAAGAAAGAAATATATGGCAACCATACTTTATGAGGTTGTGAATTTGTATTACTGAGACTTCTGAATTGTTTCCAGGGCTTGAAATCTTAGCATTTCCATGCAACCAGTTTGCTGGACAGGAACCAGGAACCAATGAAGAAATTCAGAATGTTGTATGTACAAGATTCAAAGCTGAATTTCCTGTCTTTGATAAGGTGATTTCTTATAAACACGTTGTAATTAGCTAGAGTGTTTCTCCATTTTTTATTTGGAACTCTCTTTCTTTTTTTCCTGTTTTTCCTTTTACGTGTACCTTTCTATCTGGGTCTGGCATGCTGTAAATTGTCCTGCATCAATGTTATTTATGCATGTGGAGAATTTGTTTGAATACTGTTCCTTATCCAGTTTATATGGAAATGATCCTAAACTAATTGTAAATCATAGGTTGAAGTCAATGGGAAGAATGCAGCACCACTTTACAAGTTTTTGAAGGACCAGAAAGGGGGAATATTTGGAGATGGTATCAAGTGGAACTTCACAAAGTTCTTAATTAACAAAGAAGGGCAGGTTGTGGACAGATATGCACCTACCACCTCACCTCTGAAAATTGAGGTTTGTTACAAACTTGTATAAGATTTCTATATGTAGTGGTTCCGGGCAAAGAGGGTCAATTGTACTTAAATGTTGGACTACTGTTTGGGCTATTGGCATAAATGGCACTTGTCTCTATAATAGGAAACCAAACATTTAATCATAGCTGAATTTATCTTGCGTCAAATAAGATTATTGTAAGTTATATGTTTCCTCTTGCAGAAAGACATCGAGAAGCTCTTACAATCTTGAGTACTAGGATTTGATTCTATGGAATACCTAATGTTGCAGAGGTTAGTTTTGCAGTCATTAGTTTTTCACCTCTCTTCTTCTTGACTTTAAATTCTCAATCTTGCATAAGAAAATGCACTCATTCATTTGTTCAAATGTCTAACATTTCATCTCTCTTTCATGGAACATGCAATGAGCAAATTAATCTTTACCCTGCATAAATATTTTGACCAAAGTTCATTACTTCAGGTCAGAGTATCTCATAGATGTTAGTTTTTAATCAGTTTTGTTGGATTTAAATTGTATGAGATATCATCTTCTAGATCAAAGTGCAAAAAGAGAAATCATAATCTGATTTCAATTTACTAAATCAAATCACAAGAGTATGGTTTAGTTAGATATGATCTTAAAATACTTTATGTCAAGCCAACATACAATGGCAAATGGGTTTACATTTTTACATAAGTCCCACCAAATTATTCTTATTGGTTTACCACACAAACTTTAGTTACTTACCCAGTTAGTCTACCTTAAAATTTCATTTAAATTGTCATGATACATGACGGCTCTTAATCGACCCTTTATTTGGACGTAAAGTTCTTTTCTCTATTTATGTATTTGTAACTTTTTTCCTTGAAGGATTGAGGGTTTCTCCTACAACTGGTTCTGACTATTTAATCTTAAGAAAGTTACATCAGCTAATGGTCAGTCCGTATGTTCTTCTGTGCAGGATGTAGGCAATCTGTCTGGTGCTTTTAAAGGACTAGTAGCAATATGTATATCCCCAGTTAATTTATGAACTGGAATATTCTCAATACATCTTCTGTATTTGGATTGTGCAATAAGTATAATTTGGTGTTCTGAGTCTCTTACTTTTTAATAAAATAATGTATGTTATTCTGTGATTCATACTACATCTATTAATGTGCATTACATATCTAAGTACTACATAAGTTTTAAATGGCCCTCGTAGGTTTAGTTGGAAGCTTTCTATGAGAGGGAAATGATTTCTTTAGTCAAGTCATTCTCATTGATCACAAAACTGATGGTAAGGAATAACCATAAAATGCCTGATCGAAGGGAATATTAATTTTATGAGTTATGGATTTCACTAAGTTTATGATTCGTTAGATCATTGCTTGGAGTAGAGGGCTATAAGATAACAAAAAATCGAGGATCTTTTATGTCTTGTTCTTTACATGAAATGATCTTCAAATATAATGACTGATGGAATTAGAACAAGCTGGCTTTCTTGTACCATGGTGGAGGCACCATTTTTGGTGTTACCACTTTTATAGAGATACCAATCACACTAGCATATCTTCGAACCGGATAGTAATGGTGTATTCATTCTTAAGTTGGATTAAAGAGGTTTAAACATTTAGCCTACTTTAAATGCAGGTAAATGCTTTCGTACTTTCTTAGGTTATTCACTTTTTCACTTTAGAAGAGTAGTGTTTTGTATTGTATTGAAAAGTTAATAGCCTTTCAAATTAAAAACAATGTTAAGTGTGGGAGTAAGACTGACATCCTTATTTGTCACTGAATTGGCACTACAAAATTTAATTTCTAAGACGGAGTATTTTGTACGAATTTGCGTGGGAGACCAATTGTAGAGGTTTATGTAAAATAAAAACTATTTTTATTTGAATACAATTATATCTTTTAGGATAAAATTTACACTATAAAGTAAGATAGAATAGACTCCTGCTAACAAAATGAGCTAATAGGTTTATTTGGATTGGCTGAGTTTTATCGAGTTGAGTAAAAATAGATAAGATCTAATTTGGACATTGCATAAATGATGTCAAGTAAATGGTTTTAAATTTATTTATTTTTTACAAGATTGGCTCACATTGAAGTTTAGATTGACCTGATTGGACTGATTTATTTTGTTAACATTGAAACAAACTTATAAGATAGTAGTTAAACAAATAATGAAAATATGATAAAATAAAAAAAATTATTTTATTATATCTTTTTTCATGTTTTGTAAATAAAATATCTTTAAAATGGATTTAAAAAACATAATAAAAAACTCTTCAAGATGGATTTTAAATAAATAAAAAAACATCTAAAAGGTATAAAACTTGAAAATTTGATAAAAATTAAAAGATTATGTCATATGTGAAGTTAATGTTTTCAACTTGGTTCCTTTTAAATAGTGATAATTTTTAATAAGTTTACTTTTGTTAAATAAAAATATTTATTAAGTTCATACATAGTTAAAGTTTTTAATTAATCAAATTCTTATATTCAACAAAAATATAATAAAACCCTAATAAAAATATGACTATGGTTTTAACTAAAAAAAATTAAGGACATGTTTACAGACTTATTTAAAATTTAAAAATTAAAGTATATAAATTTAAACTAAATTAGAAGATTGGTATTTTAATTTTTAGTTTTATTTCTATTTTTTTATTTTGATCTTTTGACTTATTGGTATTTTAAAGAAATTCTTTTTCATAAAAAGTGTTAACTTTTTTTTTAACAAAAAGTATTAACTTTTTTAAAATTTATTGGTCATAATTGTTTTTCTTACAAACTCTAACAATAACATAATATATTGCAATAAATATTTAAGTTACCTTTTTTATTATTATTATATATTTTTTCTTTTTTCTCTTGCCTTTACTTAACCTAAAATCTATTTATGTTTATCTTTGAGCTTCAATAAATTTTTTCTTGTTTTTATTCATTATCTTATTCTTCATTTAATGTTGATTATTTTGATTGATAAACTTTGTGTGTGAGACGGTGTATATATGTATATATAGAGAAAGAAAGAAAGAAAAATAAAACTTTTTTATATATGTGATTACTTTTTTAAAAAGTTAAATCTAATAAATTCAAATCTATATCATTATCATTAGTATTGTGAAACTTAAAAAATATAATGCGTTACTTTTAAAAAATAAAATTTTGAGTGAGAGATTTAGAAAAGCTGAAATTTTTTAAAATGTTTTATTATATTTTTGTTAAAGAGATTAAAAAAATTTTATAATAAAAAATTTGAATATTAAAAAATAATGACAAATTTTAACAAGATTAATATTATTTTTATATTTCAAATTTGATTATTTTTGGGATAAATGATCGTATTATTTTTTAATATTTATTTTATGTTTCTCCATTTTTTTAGATTATTATTAGTTATATAATTTTTATTACTTTTTATATTTTTTACATTAACTCCTCATTTCGAAGCGTTTATGGTTGATAATGGGTTTATCACCTTCGTCTTCTTCCCTTCAGTCGTCGATGGCCAAAAACGCAGCATTACTTGTTAAAAATGCAGATTGATAACACTGACACACAACTTCTTCACCGTTGAGAAACAAGACAATATTTGTGGCTATAAAATTTGGTTTTTAAGGTTGTTAATTCCTGTCTACTAAAATGGCTTCCACAATTTTCAGAAGCCTTCAAGTTCACTCCTTTCTGCTTTACCCATCAACATTACTCAGACGAAGAAATGGGGTTTTTCACTTCACAACCAAAGCCACACAATCCCAAACAGACACCCAACAGAGACAACAACCACAACCACAAACCAAGGTTTCAACTAGCACACAGTCCAAAAAGCTTGATAAAATCCCGAAAGACTATGAAGCTATCATTGGCATCGAAACGCACGTTCAGCTCTCAACTCTTACCAAAGCCTTTTGTGGTTGCCCTTACAATTATGGGTCTCATCCAAATAGTAGCATTTGTCCCATTTGCATGGGTTTGCCTGGTGCTTTGCCTGTTCTGAATTCCAAGGTCATTGAATTTGCTGTGAAGTTAGGGCTTGCTCTTAATTGCAACTTGGCTTTCAATTCCAAGTTTGATAGGAAGCAGTATTTCTACCCTGATCTTCCAAAGGGGTATCAGATTTCTCAGTTTGATGTGCCAATTGCCTCTGCTGGTTATCTTGATGTGGATATTCCTGTTGAGTTTGGTGGAGGCCACAAGAGGTTTGGCATTACAAGGGTTCACATGGAAGAGGATGCTGGGAAGCTCTTACATACAGAAAATGGAAATTACTCACAGGTTGTTTCTTTACCCTTCTTTCAGCTTGCGAGTTGCAATACTCTATTATGTTTCTTATTTGTCTTTTGTATTTTTAATATTGTGGACCACTGAAAGACTGCAATTGTTCACTAATACGTTGATATTTATTTGAGCAAATCCTTATGCTGGATCAGTTTTCTCATATTTCTTTGATGAATAGCACATAAAATGGCCTGGTCCATCCAATCATTGACCTAAATAACTACCACAGGGTTAAGAACCTTTGTCTATGGTATAAGAATGTTATAGTTGGTACTCTTTCATGACAGGTTGATTTAAATAGGGCTGGGGTGCCTTTGCTTGAGATTGTTTCTGAGCCTGATATGAGAAATGGTATCGAAGCAGCAGAATATGCAGCAGAATTACAGAGGTTGGTTCGGTATTTGGGAGTGAGCAATGGCAATATGCAAGAAGGTTCTCTTCGTTGCGATGTAAATGTATCAATACGGCCCATTGGGCAAACGAGGTTTGGAACAAAGGTATCTAGCTATTCCATCTATAAAAGTAATTAAATGCTTTTAAAACGTTGGATTGGCACTTCGTACACTATTACGTAACTTGTTCAAATTGCATGAAGATTTTGTCGATACTTCTTGTTATCTGTACTCTAATTAGTCCTTAACACTTTGGTGTTTTGATATCCTGTGAGATAGAAGTCTTTTTAAGCAGTAAAAATGAAGCATGTGAAATTCTGGGTGTTACTTAACTGGATAGCATGACATTTTCTTAATAAATGTATACTTGTATCTTATTTTACTTTCTTCCACTTTGGTGGGAGGGGAAGGTATTGTGTGAAATTATTAATATGGTTTTCATTCTCCAAGAAAACAATTAATTGTGAAGAATTTTGGGAATCTATTACTCTCAAAATTTAAGTGAAGAGTAATTGCCACAAGCAGATCTTGTGGATGAAATTGACTTGTATTATCTTTGGGTTTTTACTTAAGTAGAAGTAAGACAATGTATATACATTATAAATTTAACAAAAAACAATATGAGAATCATATGTTGAAAGTTAAAATTGGAGATTATATTATACAACAACTTTCCAGATTTAGGTAATTAGGATGAATTATATAAAATGATGAAGAAAGTAATGAAAATATTACTCATAAAATACAAGTTGGGTAGTTAAAGTAACAAAAGACATCATGAATTATTTGTGACCATTGATTATTTATCAAACTAAAAGAAAAATTTATCATACTATAATACCATTAATTACTTTATATGTTAGTGAATATTGAATCTTAAAAGAACAATATGAGAAGAAAATGAGAATCACAAAAATAAGAATGTTAAAGTGAATAAGTAGTCATATAAGAAAGGACATGATGTGAAATAATAGTATAGGGAGAATATTTGAGTAACACTTAAAATAGAAGAGACAACTGAAAATCGTTTAAAGTTGCTTAGTCTCGTGTAGAAAAGACTTTTAGAAATACTAGTAAAGAGAGTGAATTTCATAACTTTTAAATCGGTAAAAAAGAGTCTAGAGAGACCCAAAAGAAACGTAGACAAAATTTTTAAAATAAACCTTTTTATTAACTAAATTTCTAAAAAAAAATTTAGTTTTTGACTGAGTTCAATAGTGCTGTGGAATTCATGTAACCAACCTCATCTAGTGGGATAAGACTCGGTTGTTGTATTAATAATTTAGCAGCTGATATGGTCAATTGTTACTGGCAGGTTGAAATAAAAAATTTGAACTCCTTTGCATCAGTGAGCAGAGCTATTGATTTTGAAATTTCAAGGCAGGTGCAACTCCATAGTCAAGGCCAAGAAGATCAGATAGTACAAGAAACTCGTCTATGGGAAGAAGGCTCTCAGGCTAGTGCTATATTATGATCTTATTGCTCTTTTCTTTCTAATGTAGTGTAAACTACAAGATTACATTTTCTTTCTTCAGACTTATATTCTTAAATAACTTATGTTATTCTGTTTTAGAGAACAATTACAATGAGGAAAAAGGAAGGGCTTGCTGATTATCGATATTTTCCAGAACCAGACCTTCCAGCAGTAATCCTTTCTCAAGAATATGTTAATGGTATAAAAAATTCTTTACCTGAGCTTCCAGAGATTAAGCGTAGAAGATATGAGCAGATGGGCTTAAGCATGCAAGATGTTCTTTTCCTGGCTAATGATAAAAATGTGAGTTCTCTAATATTATTTGTACTAATGTGGTTCATATGACTGAAATTATCTGTATTTAACAATACAATTTACTAAAGATTAAGGTAGAAATACTTGGAAAGAAATACATAAGTAAATACTATCTTCTAGATGTCCTATATTGCTCTACTGTATTATTATTGTTTAGAAATGAATATAAGATTTGAAAGCATGCAAGAAATAACATATAGGCCATGCAAAAATTGAAACGTGATAAAATTCCAAATATTGTACTTAATGGCTTTTGCCAAAAACTTGATAGTAAATTTCACTCTGTGGTTCATAAGCCCGTTATACTAGGTTCAAACATACTAAAGATTGACAGATTAAGAAATATAATCTCTACCCTTTTTAATGTCAGAAAGACCTATAGATTTAGGTTATGGGGGTAGTACCTTATGCCTGAAAATTGGTACAATTCAAAATGAAGTTATAAAAGTGGACTATAAAATAGATTCAGGTTATAGATAATGAAAAGTATTAACATCAACTCTTAAGGCTGATTTTAAGCATCTAAATGTATTAAGATTTTATTGAAAAAGTATTTATTACATAAAAATACAAAAGTGTAATAATACTGTATGTAGATTTTCTTTTTCGATGAAAACTTACTATTTTTAGATGTTAAAATTAGCGTTAAAGATCAAAGTTAATAAAACTGATAAATAGTACTGTATGCCAGCACATTTTCACAATACAAAATACAAACTCATAAAATCTGACTATGAAGTAGATATCTGCAAATTGAAGGCCACAAAACCATTCTATACTATAGTGTACTTTCCTTTTTGGGGGTGCAATGCTTAGTGCAAACACTTGCTTAGGTGCAAATACCAAATAATTTTTCAAATGTATAAATACATAATGCTTTGCTTTGAAAATAATATACAACAAACCAGCAAATGTAATTCCAGAAAATGAAAAATACTGCATAGCGTAATGAAGGAAAACTTAGGGTGTGTATAGGTGTAAACAACTTGACAAGTTCTTATAAGCTCTTACTACTGTAACATGAGAGCTTATGTCATAAATTTGGTCACAAGGTTTATTGAAAAAGTTTAAAAGAACTTAATTTGACAAGTTTGACTAACAATGTTATTAAAATAAGTTAAAAGAGTTCATAAAGACTATAACTTATAAGCTATTTTTATAAGCTTAAATAAGCTCCATTAAAGCTCTTTAAAAAACCCCCTTGATCAAGTACAGTGCATTAGAAACCCTAAAAGTAAGTGTCAATAGAGTGTATTACTGCAAATGGTCTAACATGATTTTTACTTTCTGAATTGTTGTATTAGATTGCAGGATTTTTTGATGCTACTCTTGCAAGGGGTGCTGATCCAAAGCTTGTTGCCAACTGGATAATGAGCGATATTGCTGCCTTCATGAAGAATGAAAAATTGACCATAAATGAAATAAAGCTTACACCTGAAGAGTTGTCTGAGTTGATAGCTTCCATTAAAGGAGGAATCATCAGTGGCAAGATTGGGAAGGAGGTATGGTTTGATTTGGCTCTCATAAATGGCACAAACTTAGTGTCTAAGTCTAACCTTTCCTGACTCTCATACCTTATTTTGAAACATTAGGCTGCACACAGCAGTTATAGTTTTATATTTCTAATTATGTCTTCTATTTTTCTCATTTATCTTTTCAGATGCTTTTATACAGTGGGTAGTTGTGTGTGTTTTTGAACTAAGGATGAATCCAAGGGCATTCATTAATGCTGACCTATAAAGTCTAATTCTCCATCATCCTCAATGATCAATATTATTTTGTTCCCTTTAGAAACAAAAAAATAAAATAAAATTTAATAAAACAGTGAAATTTAATTAAAAAAATCTAAATTGAAAAATAAGACTTCGGAATTTGAATGTGATTAAGAGGAAGCAATTGATTTGTTACTGGATTTGAAATTCTGTATATAACTGTTATAAATTTATTATATTATATTATGTGGATATGGGGTGGATTGGGTACCAACATCATTTTTTGCAAATATTTAACTAGACCTATACTCATTTAGCAATGAATTCTTTTCCTCGCTGTGGATAATTTTTATGAGTACTCGTTGGATCTGGGTCCAATTGTCCTGTTGGGTCTATATGTAGTGTCAGCTTCATCTATTTCCTCAATGAATTGGAAAAGAAGAAAAGATAGACAATTGTAGCTGAATTATATATTGTGGACATATTTTGTATTCTGTATTTTTACAAGTTGTTAATGTGTTTATAGATACTATTTGAGCTATTAGCCAAGGGTGGAAGTGTTAAGGAACTCATAGAGAAAAAGGACTTGGTTCAGGTAAGTTGTAGGATCAAACCATTCATGAAATTTTTACAAAAATGGATCTCTCCAGTCGTGCTGCCCTCCAGCAAAAAAATTTACTATTGTGAAATAATATGAGATGGACTAACTATAAAGTATTATAAATTTTTATAACCACTGGATGTAAATTTAATGACACAGATCTTTGCTGTAGAGGCTGGACTGGTAGAGAGGATCCAAACCCAATTTTTACCTAATTGTATGTGAATCCGAATTCCACAAAAGACAATATAATTCTTTAATTTATATGGTTGCAAATTTTTAACAACTTTACTGGATTATTGGGATTTTGTGATATTTGGGATATTATTTATTGAGTTTTTAAAATTAAAAGAATCCTTTAGTTTTGATGCTGAAAAAGAAAGAAGATGTCAGAATGCACCTTTGGTATTGTTTGTTCATGCTGAAAAAGAAAGAAAACGTCAGAATGTGCTTGTGGCTATGAAAATGACAGATAGTAGATCCTGTTGAGATTGAAAAAATGGTGGACAAAGTGATTGCAGAGAATCCCAAACAGGTAGAGCAATTTCGAGGAGGCAAAACTAAACTACAGGGTTTTTTTGCTGGCCAGGTATGAACTTGTATACTTTGTTTGGATTCAAGGATTTTGCCAGGAAAGAAAATGAAATGGATAATCTAGTAGGGAAAGTGTAAAAAACTTAGTTGAGTCCCACAACAATAAAATCACCTCTTAATCAATATTTTACGTAATATAAAAATAAAAATTATTAAGAAAATATTAATTTTTTATTAAATTAAATTTTTTATTGTTATTGTGAAAATATTTTTATATAAGTTACTTATTTTATTTATTAAATAATTTTTATATAATGTAAAAAATATTTAAAAAGTAATTTTTTAAGGTAAATTATTATAGAAAAATGTTTAGTTTTCTTATTAACCTAAAATATTTATAATTATTGTAAATATTTTTTAATAAATTTCTTTACTTCTTTTCACCCTATTTTTCACTAATCCAATCAAGTAGAAGAATCTCTTTTTTCCCCCTTTTTTTACCTATCCAAATAACATCCCTTTCATTATATTTCTATCCTATTTGTCACACCCTCCTATTTTTTTCTCTTTATTTCTTTCCTCTCCATTTCATCACTCATCTATATATACCCGTAGAGCTCAAAGCAATTTATATGTTTTGTACTCTCTAGTTATCTTGGTAGCATGTATGTTTTGTCCAAATGCAGGTGATGAAATTATCTAAAGGCAAGGCAAACCCAGGTCTCCTAAACAAGATCCTCTTGGAGAAATTGAATTCAAAGAACTGATGCTTATAGATTGTTATCTACTTGCTAATTTTGTCATGCATTTCCGATTGAATACTGGCTTCTTGCTGGGTTGATCATAAGTGCTGATCCTTGATAATCTGTTTCCAGCCATTAGACAAATTGCAAATGAAAAATAAGGGTGAAATATTACTGTGGTGCCAATTGCTAGCCAAAATGATTGGTTCTATTGGCTAAATGTTTTAGCTTATTTTAGAAATAAACCTTGTATATTTTGAGTTCTAGAAGTGCTGAACATTTCCACTTCAGCTGTTGAGACTGCAATCATGTCCTTATTTTCTTGTGTGGAGGACATAAGCATTATATTAAAAGGAGAAGTAGCTTTCCAAAGGATGTGATTTACATTTACATCCCCATTAAATTTATGACCTTAAAAGTTTCTTGATGCATCTCGTGTATTTGGATTATATAATGAGTATTTTGTGTTCCTTCTCTTGCCAAAACAATAACATGAGAGCAAATGTATTTGGCTTTGTTTGTTATTGGGTACAATACATAGATTGATTGATTTACCCCAATAATTTAGATTATGTAACGAGTATTTTATGTTTCCTCTCTTGCCAAAACGATAACGAGAGCAATGTATTTGGATGCTTGTTTGTTTTTACATTAGAGCAAATGTATTTGGATGCTTGTTATTGTGTACTATCCATAGATATACGAGGACATATGATTAAGAAACCCCGTTTTTTTAATTGAGGTCGAAACTCTCGCCATTAGTGAGTACACGTTCACCCATGCATAAAATAAGACTGATAAAGCTCCACTTGTAGATGAATTTACATTTATGAAAAAGATTAAACTTTTTAAGTTTTGCTATTGTTTTTATTATTATTTTTAATGAGTTACTCATTACACTGGCGCGTTTAATGATGTAACCAGTTTCTTCTCCAGGCTATTTGTATAATATTAACATCAATATAATTAATTTTTGACGTACATAATGAATTTTCCCACATCACATAATAGTTATATATATGTTAATTATAACATTTACTAAGTTTAAAAAATATTGATAAACTTTTCCATGAAATCAATCAAAATAAGCGAGTTTACAAAAATATCCATATATAAAAACCATTTTTGTAAACCCAAATCTGTAAATACTCCTAAGCATTCCCTTATTTTATAGTAATCTATAATATGCTAAAGCATCATACTACAGGAGTCTACAAGATTTTATTGCTTACTATAATCGTAAAATATAATGGATACTTAGAAACTAATCGTATTTATAATGCGGCAGTTCCTCTCTGTTTGTGTTTGTACAACTTTGAAAATGGCAAATCACTCTCAGCATCACCTTCCGGTCATAGATTCATGTATGTTTCTTGCAGTGCGCCTCACATTCTACATGTCACGAGCAGTTGCCTAAAGAGTGTTCAATTTTTTTGGTCAAAGGATTATTGATTTAAAAAAATGTCCAAACATACTTTCAAAATAAAAGATGCTAAATTTAAAAAACATTACAACAATGCACACTCAAATACAATATGATAATACTAGGCAAATCTTAAAAATCACATCTTGTAAAAGAACCTTGAATTAGTCACAAAAAAGGGGGTCTTTTCCTTTTTCTTGTTTTCTTCTTCCGAGTCAGGAGGGAATCCGAACAATAGTCAAACCAACGAGGCCCATAAACAACCCAGAACAGCATCTTGAATCACCATCTAAGATCAAAAGAAAAACACACACACACACTTTCATAGAATACAAGATTTTGTGCTATGTGTGCGCCAAACTCTTGTTCAAAGCGAAACCAAGATGCTTGTATAGAAGTAATGGGGAAATTTGAAAAGTAGTTGTTAAATCTAGTTAAGAACGAAGCTAAAGAAAAAAACAAAACTAACATCAGAATAATGAGCAACAAAAGCGATCTTAAGTTTTGGCCAAAGAGAAGGAAGGGGGGAGGTGTGTACCGTGTAACAACAGAGGATTATTTTTAGAAGGGGATTATTAGTAACTAATAATATATATTTTTTACTTGTGATAAATTAGGATACAAAAACGGGCTTAACAAAGTGAATTAATAACCAACATAAAATGTGCCAGAATATTCACTATAGCCTTTTCTATAAACCATTCGAGGGGGACCGTACAGAATCAAGTAGGCTTGACATATGTATTGTCCTCTCTAAACTTGGCAATCTGACTTCGTATCATTTGCTCAACATGAGGTTGGACAAACATGTGGGTATTATCCAAGATATGTATAATGAACTTATCAGAGGCAGGCAGTGAAGCATTCATATTGATGATATATTGGGCCATGGGTATATCACTGCACAAGACAATATAGCTGAATTGTTATGCAGATAACTGAAGGAACACATAACTGAAAGTGAAAATTAATTATCAGTAAATCAAGTCTGCTCAAACTTTTGGAAATTCGATGCAATTAGTGACTGTATGTGGAAAAAAGAAATGGACAACTGTGACTGTTGTTAACAGTAACACAGTTAACTTTTAATAAACCACAACTTATGACAAAAAATTCTTGAACCCAAACAGAAAGAAAAAAACAGTCCTACACTTATTGTAGAGGTTCCAACAATTCCAAATAAAATTGCTAGAACCTGTAAAGCTTTGAAAACAAAAAATTTGAATATTCGACATACAGCAGTCCATGAGTATATAACTTTCAAACAGTAGAGTATATACGAAAGAAATTCAAATAGGAACAAGAATGCAGGAAAAACGAAAGTGTTACCAGGAAATGAATACTCCTTTAGTGGCATTGACCATGATGTATAAACTTCCTGGAAAGAAGGCAAAACAAGTTACACAGTGGACGCCGTATCATTCATCAGTCATCATCACAGGAGATACTGAATACAAAAACTCAAGCATAATTTAGTGGTACTGAAATCCTGCCCATGTGACAGTAGTTATTTTACAACATAGTAATTCATGGTTATCAAATCAGAAGGTTTATTTTTCTTTCCTTTAAAGGTCAGCACTAAAATCAATTACCATAGTTTCCTTTAATCCATCTCTTGTTGTCAAATCAAACCACATGAAATATCTAACCCAACATAACATCAATTCCAACGAGAATGAGTACAAGAGATACCACTAGATAGATCATAGATCTAGCAGTCTTGTTTGCTAACAATTTTCCGGCATAAAGAAACGAGTGGGGAAGGGAACAAACCTGACCAAGGTTCACTCGGCAGGGACCCTAAAGCACAGACACCTTTTTTTTCTTCCATACAATACATATACCAAAAATATATATATATATGAACCAAATTCTTTACCGCAATATGTCATTCATGTGTCAATAAATACAATATTTTATAATAGAATCGTAATTACAGCTTGCATTCGGAATTTTGCAGCATAGGCTAGTCACAGAGTCAGTATTATGCTCCCTTTCTCTATCCATTAAAACATCCAATATCAAACTCAGCACTTAGCTTTTGTCCATGCAGAAGGGGGAAGAAACATTAACGATCTCTTATTTTCTAAGCACAGTACTTGCAGAAAAAGAAGCTTATAGGTTAAGAAACATCATCTTAAAATCAAAGCGATAAAACAATAAGAATGCTATCGTGGTGCATGGGGAAAATGAACAAGAAACTAAATTTATACATAAATACTCAAGCAACTCATTTATTTTTGCTTCTCCCAACCCTTCTCTATCTTTTTTCATCTTTTCTTGCTTTCTCCCCTTTTCTTTCTATCCGCTATGTTCAGTTCAACGATTAAAAGCAGTGAAGCGTACAATGCTACCTAAACCTACCTAAGCAAAAAATCATCCCATGGAGCAAAAAAATTCAAACCTGAAGATATGAAAGATAACCGAAAGTCGTTACTGTTAATCGTGGGTGATGATGAAGAGGTCACAAGTGAGTTCCAAGGAATGAAGCTACATTAGTTCATGGGAGACTCCAAATTGAAATCACAGAATACAATGAAAGACACGAAATTGAAGAAAACTGAAAGTGAGAGAGAACAGACTACCTCCCGGAAACAGAGATGAAGCTTCGTCGAACAAGGAATTGCGAACGAAAATGGGTGACGTAAAAATAGCGATCTGCTTCAATTTGAGCAACTGAGTGACGCCGAATTAAAAAAAATGGATTAGGGCTCATTAACTTAGGGTTCGGGTTCTCTTGTTTTAGTTTACGATCAATTTACTTTTTCCGAAACTACAAACAAACGAAAAAATTTCCCAATTTTTAAAAATGTATTATTTAATTATTCATTAAAATTATAAAAAATTACTTTGAACATTAAGAAGTGTTGTTTTAGATTTTAACAGGATTAAATTAATAAAATATTTAATATAATTTTAGATTTTTTTTTCTACGACAGATTTTGAATATAACAGGTGATATTAAGAAGTAAAACTTTCACAAACATTATACACTTTGAATTTATTATAAAAAATAGTTTTTATATTGATAGAATATTTAATGTTATTTAAAAAAAAATTTCATGCATTGTGCCCTCCTTCTTACACATAGGTGATGTTTGTGTGGTGCAATGTTTATAAAATTCACTTAATTTAAGCAAATCGAAAAAATAATACTAACAAAAAAAATTCATTTAAGCTCAAACTAAATTGTTTAAGCCAAACAAGTTTTATTTAAATACAAATTTATATGCTTAAGTGAGTAAGTGTTTGCTAAAACAAGTAAGAAAGTGGTGAATTAAGCAAAATTGGGATTTAAAAACTTTTACAATATATTCACTTTTTTACTTAAGCTTTTATAATATATTCTATTCAATAATTCTTGTTAGTTTAATTTATATGTTATTTGAAACTCTATATTAATTTATCTTTAATAACATTACCGATTCAAACCAACATAAATACAAGTAAAAAAAAAAAAGTAAAATAGAAAGATAATAAATTTGGTCCCTGAAAGAGAATTAGACTCAGTATACAAACTTAAAGTCATTTTTTCAAATTAAATTGGGTAGTTAAACTTAGAAATCAGGGATACTGTGAGAAAAAAATATGATTGAGTAAAAATTGAACAACAAAGATATAATCATTTAAAATCGTTATTGATAAATTTTGTTATATTAGTTTTAAATATCTTGCTTCCACTTATTATAGATATTTAACAACTATACTCTTAACTTATAAGATTAATAATTGAGAAAAAATTATTCCACTATTTACCTAATTACAAAATATTATTTTAAGAATAAAAATTAATATTTAATTAAGTATACTGTATAACAAAAAAAATATTTTTATTTTTTATTATATATAAACACGCATAAAAAAAATCTATATCAAACCCAAAATTTGGAAGGGTAAAAGTAGTGTTTGTGCAATGTTAAAACGATACATGTTAACTTAGTAGGAGTAAAAAGGCATTAAATGTCAGAAATAATTCTCATGGCACTCCTTGGCAAAATTGAGTTTCGAAGATGGAATATGCCTCCGTTTTCACCAGGAACTTCAACAGCACCAAGTGAACTACTTAGTTGAGGTTGAGGTGACAGTAAGCCATGGTCAATCAGAGTGTTTCGTCTAAAGTTGTAATTATGGATAGCAGAAGAAAAGCTTCCAGAAACCGTTATGGGCGGAGGTTGACTATGGACATGATGATGTAAGAGTGATAGTTGATTCTCTTGCCTTTGATCTGCCAATAATGTGCCAAAGTTTCCAACTAAATTATCAATTGTATTAGATGGAGGCCATGTCAGGTAACTTGTTGAATCATGGTCTAAAGGCATGGCCATGTTAAGAGGAGCATGAGCATATGCGTTAGTTTGTTCTGTATTGTACTGGTTGGACCATCCTATAAGTGCATTTTGGGCCTCTGTTAGCATCATGTTGGGAGGAAGATTTGGCAGTGTTTCATAGGAAAGATTAGTAGCAGCAGCCAAAGCTTGAAAGTCATCAGCACTGGTTTCTGTAGAACTGGGAACGGTGTTTGGCATTGACATCTCTGTAGAACTAGGAACGGTGTTTGGCATTGGCATCTCTCGTGGGGCTTCAGCATTAGTTTCTGTAGAACTAGGAACAGTGTTTGCCATTGACATCTCGTTTTGTTGCCGGGCAGCTTCATTCTTGCTTTTCAAATGAAGTCTATGTTTCTGTCAGTCAAGGGATAACAATATTAACTATTATTTAAGTAGCACACCAAAACAATTCTGTTTATATACAATATATATTGCGAAACAAGTTCAACACGTTCTTCGTGCTTCTTTTCAAATTTCAATTAAATATGAAAATTTAATGCATTTTTCAAAATTAAATTTAAGGTCCTGTATTGATGATGATTACCTTATAAGAAAAAAAAATCATCATATTTGAGGTAAATGGTTTTTTTAACATAGAAAAGGTATTTCTCATACATGTTTATTAAAAATTGTAACGTTTAATGTTATAAACGCATTGGATCTTACGATTTCTTGTGATTTTCAATAAAAACTGACTGAATATAAATTCTTATGATGACTCACCTTAAAAAATCATACAATACACGCAAGAATATAACTCAAATGCATAAAGGATCGAACCTGCAAATGACTAGCAACATTCTCTCTTGTCAGACCAGGGACATTCATCAATTCAAGAATTCTCTTTGGCACAGCTTCTGAAAAAATAAGGAAGAAGAAATCGAGATATGCTTAAAATATTGATAAATTTAAGTGTGATTATATATCAATACCACCAAAGAAGTATTAGTCATTGGATGAATAAAGAAAAGCATATAGAAAGAAGAATCAAAATTGTTGAAGAATCGTACTGTCAACCCCAAGTTGGTTCACAACAGCAACAAAATGATTATGCAATGCTGATGTCCACACCAGACGGGGCCTCCTTGCCGGAGGTTGATAATTATTTTCTGATTCGTTTAAATTGCTATTTGTTTGGACTCCTTCAGTTGCATTGATAACAGAAGAATTCACCTCAGAATCGCCATTCCTCTGATTTTGGCCATTATTATTATCCAAACTGCCAAGTTTCTTTTGGTTTTTTTTATCATTCAAAACTTTCCTTGCAACATGCCGCCACATATTCCTAACATCATACTCACGCAGTGGTTTAGTCCATAAATCACAAGCCCCGTCATTCATTGACTTTAATATCGCACTTTCATCATCATCATCATCTGACATCACTGCAAATTGCACATCATTAATAACACAAGTCTAAAACTTACACAATAATTAATTAAGTGAACAAGTTTAGTTTCATACTGATAACAAGAACGTCGATATCTTGGATAACACGGCGAAGAAATTCGTAGCTATCCATATTTGGCATGTGAACATCAATGAGTATGATATCAAAACACCCTTTTCTTTCATGAACAAGATTCAAAGCAAGTAAACTATCGGAGCATGTGTCGACTGAAACATATAAATACAATCGTTAAAAAGAAATAATTATATCTTTCTCTAATAAAAATATTAATAGGGTATACTTGACCTAGATGATTACAAGCAATGCACAGTTGCTTGATGATTTCAAGGGAATTGATGTCATGGTCAATGGCAAGGACTCTAAGACCTGTTTGGAATGTAGAAGGAATCACGTCTCCGTTGGCCATTGAGAACCAAAGCAAAGATACCGAGTCTTGTTACAGACTGATGATGTGTCTTTGTTTAAAGACGCAGTGTTTCTATTTAAATTTAGAGAGATGTAGTCCAGATGAGAATGACAACTCACAATCTATCTAAAAAACATGGTTTGTTATTTTCCTGTATTATTGAATTTAAATAAAATATATTTGTAAAAAAAAAAACTTTAGGGTAATTTAATGGTAATATCTACCATATCTTAGGTAAGTAAGAGAATTTGATACCCTCTATAGATAAACAATAGATTAAGTGATTTAGTTGAAAAAAAATTAATACTCTCTCATATTTAAGATGTTAAAAAATTTATAACCGTTAATTTAAAGAATGTATAAAATACTTTTCAAATTTTTTGGGTGTCACAGCAAATATTAAACTATTTATTCCATTAGGTCCTTAGCTTAGTAGCTATTTAAATTTGTGATTGAATTTTAACTTTTAGCCATCAAGATTGTGGTCGTAAATTGACATTTTATCTAAAAAAATATGCTTTCTATATACAAATTTTTTTTTAAAAAATTAAATTTAGACTAAAGTTTCAATTTTTAAAAAATTGAAAAAAATAAATTTAACACAAAAGAAAAACTGAAATTTAAATTTTAAATTTATACAAAAAACTGAAGAGTGAAATACAAATTTTGAATCTAAATCTTAATTAATATGAAATTCAAATTTAAAATTTAAGTTTTCATATTAAAAATTTATATGAATAATATATCAAAATTAAGTTAAATATTATTTTCTCAATTTTATGTTAACTTTTTCTTTAATTTACGCCTTTCAAGTTCCTTATTATAAAAACACAGAAAAGAAGGACTCAGAGGATGGATCATAAGCAACAAATGATAAAAAATAGGATTTTATACTTGAACAGTCCTTAGTTCATCGTATCTCTAATAGAATACACCAGCCCAACAGTGTCATAGTTCTTGTTTTAGAAAAAAACCATGCTACCTTACCTTTAATAATAAAGTATCATAATAAAAAATTGTGTATAGTTCATCGTGTCAATACAACAATAGCTTATATTAAAATATCTAAAACGAAATGTAATAAATTAAGTTTTCCTAAATAGTGTTAATGGTTATGATAATTGTGTGCTCAATAAGTTAAATGCAGTGATAATTATAACCATCATAATTATAATATCAATACTAATTATACAAAATTAAAAAAGAAACTCTTTACGAAAATTAATTAGTCACATCGTTAACCTCACTTTTATTTGGACCTGTCATATTAATTTAACAAGAATTTTTATTTTGGTAATAATCATGCTATGTCATCATGCAATAATTTTGATGCTGATAGATATTTATGTCAAGTGAGAAGATAACGTGACTTAGTTGAGGCAAAATGCAGTATTGAAGATATTTTAAACAGAGACGTTTAAGATGAGAAGTACATCCAAATCCATTGCCTATGTAGAACAAATATTTTATTATTTAAATATCTCTGACACATACTAATAATAACTTCATAATTTATATTAAAAGAAAAAAGCAAATTTTTAGAATGAAGTAAAAGAAAATTTTAGTTTAAGTAAATTTAATTTAATTATTTTTCACTTATTTCTAATATAAATATAATAATTTTTTGCGGCGAAGGAAAAATAGTTATATACTTTGACGGGACAATGATGCGATAAAGGAAGCAAAGTGCCATCGAATGTATGGCGTTTGGTGGACACGCGCTTATATGAAATGGAATAAGAGGGAGTTGCAGATAGCATTGCATTGCATTAACCGCCAAGTAACAAAAATATCTTCTTTCTTCCATTCCTATGACGTGGTCGGAATTCACTTCCAGATATTTTCCACCAAAATATCATCCTATGGCAATTGGCAAGTGTTGTTATGTTAGTGTTGCCCACGTTGACTCCATTCTTCTTTCATGTCACCCTTCACTTCCCACTGAAACTACGAAAATGCCACTCGTCTCTCTATTCAAATCCACGTTCGCAATTTGTGCTTGGAATCGGGGCATTTCTGTCACAACACTCCAACATCCTTATTATTGTCAGAGAAGAGAAGTGGGTTGTGCGGAAAGACAGAATTGGTTTTACAGTTGAAGAAAACATCATGGCTATGGCAAAAGAGAAAGAGGAAGATGAGGAAGAGGTTCAGAATTGTGGGAAGAGACTCAAGTGTATGAGGAATGAAGACGACGACCAAGTTATAGCCGAAGATGAAGAGGAAAGTGAGCTTCCCCTTCAGCCTGGGCTTTTCTTCTACCCAACAACACCTACCTCTTTTGTTGTTTCTGATGCACTTGAACCTGATTTCCCAATCATATATGTCAACAAGGTCTTCGAAATCTCCACTGGGTATCGTGCTGATGAGGCCCTTGGTCGCAACTGGTCAGAATTTTTTTCTTTCTATCTCTTGTTTAATGAAAATTATGATTAGATAAAGTATGTGCTTTCTCTCTTTTGTGGATTTATGGCTGAACTTTATTTAAAGTTTGCTACTTTACTTGATTTGGTTGAAACCACCTTCTTCAAAACAGAACTTTTTTTTTTCTTTCTATCAAACGGTGAAATGATTATGTTCCTTCAGATCTATGTTCATTTGAGATTTTGGATTGGTTCTATTCTATCATTAAGAGAGTAGAGACAGTGTTCTGATGTAGGAAAGCTGTCTAGGGCCGACTTTTGCAAACCACATTTCCCCAAGCTTCCTTGCTGGCAAATAAATGTTGTTTCATCACTCTTTCAAATATTTTACGGCAATTTTGTCTTTGTCATATTCAGTTCTTCTATTCAACTTCTTGATCTTGTTTTTCGATTTTTATGATTCACAAACTGAATTTGTTTTTACTATTTCTTCATTCTATCCTTCTGGAACCCTTGTTTCTACTTTTTAACAATATAGTTGCTTGGTGGACGTTGTGATCGGCTGAGTACATCTAATTTTCCTTGTTACAGTGTCGGAATGAGATTGCTAGTGTAACATTTTCAGCAAATATTCTGAAATATCCAGAACAAAATATTAAAAGTTTGGTGATGTTTTATACCATTGAGGAGAGTAAATTTCTATCTAATTTCGCGAAATGATTATTCATGGTTAGTTAGGGACACCTTTTCTGGTTTAATTAATAAAAAAAACATCTGTTTATCATCTGGCTGGGCTTGTGCTTGTGCTTCAGTGGCTTCTGAAAATTGTTTTAATTGGGGAGTATAGATTAAAGATTTTGATGCCAATGATAGGGAAGCAAGCTAGTTAGAGTGTATTTTCTTGTAAATCCCACTTCCAATTATATATACTGATTGGGTCACCTTCAGAAAAATGTCTCAATAATGACTTTGAAATTTCTTTTGTTCCAGCCGATTCTTACAGTACAGAGATCCTCGAGCTCAAAGGAGACACCCTTTGGTAGATCCTGTTGTTGTGTCTGAGATTAGAAGATGTCTTGAGGAAGGTGTTGAGTTCCAAGGTGAACTTCTGAACTTCAGAAAAGACGGTACTCCTTTAGTGAATAGGCTGAGACTTGCACCAATTCATGATGACGATGGGACCGTGACACACATAATAGGTATCCAACTCTTTTCTGAGGCAAATATAGATCTGAACCGTGTCTCATATCCAGTTTTCAAAGAGACCTGCAATCAAGATTTTGATAAAAGTGGTCAATATTCTCCTAAGAGTGGACAATCACTGTACAGTCAGCACCAAGAGATGTGTGGCATTCTTCAACTTTCTGATGAAGTCTTGGCTCACAACATTTTGTCACGCTTGACACCAAGAGATGTTGCATCCATTGGATCTGTATGCAGGAGAATCCGTCAATTAACCAAGAATGAGCATGTGAGGAAGATGGTATGTCAAAATTCATGGGGCAAAGAAGTGACAGGCACATTGGAACTGATGACCAAGAAGTTAGGATGGGGTCGTCTTACTCGCGAACTTACAACTCTCGAGGCTGTTTGTTGGAGAAAACTGACAGTTGGAGGTGCAGTGGAGCCTTCACGCTGCAACTTCAGTGCTTGTGCTGCAGGAAACCGACTTGTATTGTTTGGTGGTGAAGGTGTGGATATGCAACCTATGGATGACACATTTGTTCTAAACCTTGATGCTAAAAATCCAGAATGGCGCAGGGTTAGTGTGAAATCATCTCCACCTGGAAGGTGGGGCCACACGCTCTCGTGCTTAAATGGTTCTTGGTTGGTGGTTTTTGGTGGGTGTGGTAGGCAAGGATTGCTCAATGATGTGTTTGTGCTTGATTTGGATGCTCAACAGCCAACATGGAAGGAAGTCTGCGGCGGAACCCCTCCACTTCCCAGATCATGGCACAGCTCTTGCACCATTGAAGGGTCCAAATTGGTTGTCTCCGGCGGGTGCACAGATGCCGGCGTACTTCTTAGTGACACATATTTACTGGACCTCACAACAGATAATCCAACATGGAGAGAAATTCCAACTTCATGGGCACCTCCATCTCGGTTGGGGCACTCACTCTCAGTCTATGGGAGGACAAAGATTGTCATGTTTGGGGGACTTGCCAAGAGTGGACACTTGCGGCTTCGATCAGGCGAGGCTTATACAATTGATTTAGAAAATGAACAACCGCAATGGAGGCAGCTAGAATACAGTGCATTCACGGGATTAGCAAGTCAAAGTGCTGTTGTTCCTCCTCCTAGGTTGGATCATGTTGCTGTCAGCATGCCTTGTGGGAGGATTATCATATTTGGAGGTTCAATTGCTGGTCTTCACTCACCATCTCAGCTCTTTCTATTGGACCCTTCTGAAGAGAAACCGTCTTGGAGGATCCTGAATGTTCCAGGGCAACCACCTAAATTTGCATGGGGTCATAGCACTTGTGTTGTTGGAGGGACAAGGGTGTTGGTGTTGGGTGGACACACTGGGGAGGAATGGATATTGAACGAGTTGCATGAGTTGTGCTTGGCAAGTCGACAAGATTCTGAGCTGTGAAGTGCATCAAATCAGACCCTCTTCTCTCAACACAGATTTTGGTTGCAAATAGGTTTTGCTTTGCCTGGCTTGGGTTTCCTCTAGCAATTTGGTCTTGTATATGAACTATCCTATTACTGTTTTAATATGTGACGTGTGTATTACCAATGTTTTTGTTTTTTAATGATATGTGACGCCATTTTGGCTCCTAGATCGTCTCTCACATTAGGAAACATACCTCTGTACGTCAAAGAGTTCTTTGCTGTTGTATCATCCCTCCTTTTTCTTTCACAATTACTTTTGTTAATAATTAATTCTTTTATTATTATTATTATTATTATTATTATTATTTAAATCAACTTTGACACCAATAATCATTGTATTGTCAGCAGATCAAAGGACCAATTTATAAACGATTTTTTTAATCTAGGAATTAAAATGTACGGTATTTTGACGAAAAGATTAAAATGAAATAGTATCGTGTGAAAATTAAAATTTTAATATAACTTTTTACTTACCAATTTACTTCTCTAAGCCTTTATAGTTGTACCAATATTTTTTTGTAAGTTACTGAATAAATTTCAAGAATTTACTTACATTTTAAACTAGGTCCTAGTTAATTATAAGTGTTTACAATTAAATCATTGAAATATAAAATAATTTAAAAGCATAATGTGAAATTGTAAGTATATGTTAATATTCAAATGGCCATTCTATTTATCAAAGTTACCCCACTAGATAAATAACTCAATTTAGGTCAATTAACAAAGTTAAGATATTTTATTAAAAATTATAACACCTTTTTATAAATAAAATTTTATTTGTCAACTTGAAATAAAATTATTTATCTCATAAAATAACTTAGATAAATCCTTTTGAAAGGTGTATTTTAAAGTTTTTAATATATTTACACATGGTTATCAAAAATATTTTTAAAATATGTAATAAAATTACATAAATTAATATAACTTATTTATTTTTATCAAGTTATTAGCTTGATTATCATCATGCTATAGATTAAATCTTCCACAAATTAATCTTTGATAATTGTAAGTGTCAAATAAATTAGTTCAAAATTAAAATGAATTTATAAAGTCTCAAATTTGTTATCATAGCATTAATTTTTATTATTATGTGAACTTAAAATGTAAAAATATATTGTTTCATACAATTTCAAGGACTAATATAATTAATGTTTGTTATTATTGGTTTTTTTATTATTATAGACAAAATTTACTAACAAAATATCAGAATAGGATACTTTTGAAATAGTTTATCAAAATGGGTAAAATAAACAATAAAAATAGTGAAAACTCACCTTGAATCGCCAACACTGTCCTATGAAACAACAAATGTGACGGGTATCAGTAACTCCCACTACACAGGTGTCACTTGGTCTGCGCATGACGTGTCACATACAAAGTTGCTCGAGTGGAAGAGGTGATACTTAGCAAAAGCCTTCACACGCAAAAGCCTCTCAACACTTTCTCCTTTCATTTGAGCTTCTTTAACAAAATAAAGCATTGCATTGATTAGAAAGTTAACTTTGAGAATTACCGAGGCCAGAGTTGATGCTTAGTATTAAGAAAATAGAATAGGCATGTTGTAACCTACGTGCTTCTACCTTTGGTAGAAAATTTGCTCCACTCAAATAACATTAAAAGAAAGATGTTAAGTTCTTTTATGGGCTCGAGGCAAGACACAAGTGCTTCCTCAATTCCTCAAGGAACAAGATGAAATAATGTTTTTGTGGAACATCTTCTGGCGAGACTCGGGAATTAAACCAATATTTTTCCATTTGAATCAGTGTGTAATATGTCTTCTATTCAACAAGCATACGCTAGACAGAATAGTACTGATATTTTTGTTTCTCTTTACTCTCGGGATATCCTCACGTCATTCTCCTTAAAGGTTATACCCAAAAGTGATTTACTTGTCCAGTAGTACTTATCGCTTTGCTCTTGAGGCTATTGAATTAAATAAATCTCGTAGGTGACGGTTGTCTAACGATATAGGTTGTCCATGAATTAGCAAAAACATACTCAGCATAAAGCTTTGGTTGGGATGTAGGTGATCATGGCAAATAGACTTGTCCTCTGATATAAATCTTTGGAGTTGTTAAACAAACTTTCATTTTAATTGAAGACTTGATTGTAAAAATTTTAATAATAAAATAAAAATAACATCTTTAAAATGTCGTTGTATTATTGGTCACTAGGAAAGGGTTTTTAAACCCTTCAAAACGTGAAGGTACTAGAGAAATTTTCTGGTACCTCCCTCTCACTGTCACTCTCTCACTGCTAGTAATAAAACTAGGGAAAAAATGTTGTTTGTCTAGCATATAAATTCAAAAGCTTCTATTGACCAGCTGATGCATGGCAGAAGTAGAGAAGGTGACACCTCTCTCACTTGAACACCTCTGAATACCTGACTCGTGTCATGTGTAGAATAAGTGGGGTCAGTCCAGCGGGGTGGGTCCAATGAGAATTACTATACATATGCACACATGTCAATTCCCAAGAGAGTGGTCCATTGTTCCTTTTATTCATTTCAGTAAATTGTTTCAAAATATCATACTCCATATTTTGTTGCTAATTTGGTATATACAGGGATTGTGACGAACATCAATCAAATTAGTCTTTAAAACTGTGTGAAACAGGATTATTTAACATAAATGATTAGTTAGGCTAAAATATCTTACCTTTTATAAAGTCAAAAATTAACTGGTTCATTTTAAAATCACATGTAGGCAAACGATGACCTTGGTTGTGAATTTGTACTTGTCTCGGATTCAAACGTATACACATAACAAAACTATACGTAACAAAACAAAGCATGCGAAACTTATGAACTCTTTGCCTTGAAGCTTTTCAGTTTTCACGAATTCTTTCACACCCATTTTGAAACCAGGCATGATCATAATGTTCAGTCCTTCGGTCACAACATGGGTCTATCCGATAAGGACTGAAAACCATTTGCTCCAGATTGAGAAAATATTTTAAATCGTTCTTAGCGAGCTCAATTTCATGCCAATTACCAACAGTCTCTCAATTCAATAGCTTTGATCTCGTCGTGTGAGAAAATACCATAATCTTGAATATCTCTTTGATTTGCAGATAACCCTGAACCTATTATCTACAAAAAGTAAAATATTGAAATTTATTATCTGAAATTGTGTTAAGCCCATTCTGAAAATAACTTCTCAGAAGTATTTTCAAATAATATACTATTTCGAAAATTTATTTTCTTATAGTATATACAAATTAATTCAAAAACAGTTTAAAAAAGATCTACTATTTATGAAATAATATTGCAGAAACATAATTTCAAATGCTCTTAAAAACATAATTTCAAATTGAAACTTCTGAAATCTTATTTTATTAATTTTGATAATTAAGTTTATCATACAAGGGTATTTACAGTTATACAAATTTTTTTACAAGATATTGAATAAATATCTAAAATGAACTTACATTTTCAATTAAGTTTCTAGTTAATTATAATTTTTTTATAATTAAATCATTGAAACATATAATAATTCAACACCTTAAAATGAACTGCAATTGGTTGTAAATACCTACTAATATTTTTAACAAAATGTAATAAAACTATATAGACTAAATATAATTTATCCATTTTTTATCCCTGTTATCAGCTAGATTTTTGCCATGTTATACCAATGATCAACTTGATTTTAATTTTTGACGCCTCTAATGCAAGTATATAGCAGAATGCAAAAGCGTGAATGAGAAATGGGAAAAGACGAAAAGCTCTTGAAAAATAATATGCGTTCGTAAAAATCAAACATATTAACCAACAACTCGTTAGTTACATAGAATCACAACATATACACTGGGGCAAAAGAATTATATGCGGGTGCAAATTCAACTTCTTGCCGTAAACGTACCTTTTCTGTTCGTGTTTGATTAAAAATTAATAAAAATTATAAAATCTATGACAAATCTTCCTCATAACATCTGTCGCAAAAATCTGGGATCTCGTTATTTCCAAGCCACGGAATCAATGTCATCCCTAGCTTGCTTGTACAATTCAAGCCTTTTAGCTATTTGATTTCTCCTTTCCATAAGAGCTGGGTCTTCATCCAACATAGCGCCTAATTTCTCCTTCTGCATAATAGCTCCCACAATCAGTTACAATTATCACAATGTTGCAATATATGTTCTTTCATCAAAGTTCTAAACCAATAAAGCAAAATAAATCCCAACAATATTAACAAGGGAAATAGAAACCTTCCGCTGTCCTATCCATAAAACCTTCGTTAATTTGCTTGTATGAGCTAATATGCTCCAACAGGTATTCTACAGTACACGTATATAGTTGTGTTCTACACATGGTTTAATAGTATAAATAAATACACAGCCACGGCGAGCCTCTTAATTGGAGTCCAAAACCTCTCCATTTCCTTCTCACCAATCATGGCTATCTTCAACTTATCTTCCCAAGTCCATATCATTATCAATCTTCCCAACAATTTAGTTAGATTCATCATATCCAGCATTTGTTACACGTACTCCAGGATATTTACAAACAATCAATCTTTGTGCGGATACTTGGGCCAAGTTCATTAAGTTTTCCACGGACATAAGAGGAATTTAAATTGTAGTAAAAGTAAACTCACACGAGCCCAACGTAATTGTAACTTGTATAAACCACGAAACAACATATTTAAGGAATGAGTGGAGATTGTGTCTAATATGGGCAAAAATTTAACCAAAAGATATAAAATCATACCTCCTTCCTTCCAACTTGAATGTAAAAGTGGTTCAACAATGATCTTTTAGCCTCTCTAACTTGACAATATACCACGGCCTTTGGAATAGTATTCTTAAGCGTGTCACAAACCATATTGATATAGGCATTTACATTTGATCCTGAAACAAGGAACATATTACATTTTAACGAACAGAATAATGAATGTCCAACTTGACAAATATGTAAGTATTGAAGCAAAATGCCAAATTAAGGGAGAAGACGACATTTAAATTTAAACCCGCCCTTAGAAAGATAAAAAAAAGGGATTTACACATTTTTTTATAACTTGGATAATCTGGCCAAACAATGAAAAGAAATTCTCAAATATTGCTTACAAACATACAATGGCTTATTCTAAAAGAAGTGTTTTAAATACTTGAATAAAAAGACATTTTTAATAAGCTCATTCAAATCGGCCCGTGGAGTCCTAGAATAATAATATACTTAAAAAAATACAATATTATACTGAACGTCGAGAGGAGACTCGGAGAAAATTATGTACCAATTTTGCGCAGGTGATTGTCAGTATAATTGTCCATGTTGGGAGGAGGACCATTCCGACTTGGATTTGGGGGTCCATTTGGATTCTTTTCTGGTTCAAAATTAATCTTCCTGAAAAATTCCACTGTTAGATAGCTCGACTCCATATCAACCAACCGTAAAACTGTCTTCCTGCTTTCTTCTCGGAATCTTTCCAGAGCTTCATTTGAAGCAGCTGCTATATCACTTTGAAGTGTTGGAAATCTTTTTAGTTCCTACATGAAATGAAGTAGCACACCTGTAAGATTTAATTCGCTCTTCCCATGTTCTTTTTCCAACCCAAATTCACCCTTAATTCCTTTCAAATCCTAAACTTAATGTTCGCAAGTGCTATTCCCGGGCCTGGAACGGCACCTTACATCAATTATTTAGTGCTTAGATATACTACTAAATATACTGCATCATTAACCCCTGAACATTCATTATCACACCTTAAAACGAACACTAATAGCCAACTCTGACATGTGAATTAAATGTCAAATAACAACAGGTGCATCCACCTTGCTTGATTTATATTTGAAAACAAATGCTTACCGGTGCTCTTACCAGTTAAAGAATTAAAGTATAAAACTTTTATGAAAAAAATATTAACAATGAACTTTCACTGTAATTTTTAATGCATTTCCAATATAAATATAAAAACTTTTAATTTTTTTATCATTAACCACTCACCTAATAACACTGGTTCACAAAACCCATATTTGAACATCGTGACTAGTCTGAAAGAGTTGTATCAACTTAAAACATTGCTTACCTCAGTTTCTGCAATTGACTTCCGCACAAGTTCCTTTAAAACAAAATGGACCTGAAGAATAGAAGAAAGCATGTAATTGTAAATGAACACAATCTCACTGGAAAATTTAATGAAAAAAAAAAAAAAAAAAGCAGAACAAACTCTTATTACAGAAATGTAAATGAGGAAGAATCCATTCCTTGTGGAGTAACTTTCTCTGTCATTTTTCAGTAACAAAAGGAAAATGACAACACAGGTTAAACAGTCATCATGTGATAGACTGAAGCCTGCCAAGTGCCAAGAAGTCCACAAAAAGGAAGTTTTCAAATTTATGGTTGTTGGAATTAAAAACAACAGGGTTTCCACCTTGGGAAATTATCTACATGACTAGAAAAGAGATATAGAAAGCAAAAGAATTCAGAGGAAGACAGATTAGTTGAAAGGTGTTAAAGCATTCTGTTAATATGTTGTATGCGAAGGATGCCTAAATAATCAGGTATTTGATATTTATATCCGGTAATTTTGTCAGAACAAGGAACAAGATGATAGACTAAAAACAAAATATAAAAAGTCAAGAAGATTACAGCATCCACGGAGGCTTCAGCTGGGCCTTTGAAATAGCCAATAGACCCTTCAATGAGTCTTCTATAACCCTGCTCTGGTGCAATTAGATGGGGCTGGTATCCATCAGCTTCAGTGACAACTCTCTGGACATTTTTTAAGGCAAGATGACGATCAAAAGGGAGCTTTTTTAAAGCAGCTGGCAATTGGTGATCAAAAACTCCATATATCCGGTCCCCACCAGGACGTCTGAAATCGAAGTTGGTTAGTTAATTTCTTATGAAATGAAAACAGAAGTATATATTAGAAGCTAAGTCTAAAACTTAACGACTGCAATTACCCTCCATCCAGGTGTTCTTTAAATACTTTATCAAATGCACGACACATCTCTAAAATAGTGTACAGTTGGGCCTGCATAAACAAGTAGCACAACTTAATACACTCAGAAATCAAATATTTTAAAAAATCTAAGGCGATTGATTTCAGCAAAGGTCTCAGTTCTGACCCCCGAGTCCACAGCAATTGGCCTGCCAATACGGTCCAACTCTGCATTAAGCTCATCAATAGTCTTGTTTATTAATGCAATGATGCTAGGTATCTTCTGCCTGATAACTTGCTCCAAATGCTGTAGTTATAAAAACCAGTGAAAGAAAGAAAATCACTCATCATAGGAATAATTAGAAATCCATCGAAGAATTACTGGTTTAGTAATATAATCAAAATGTAACCAAAAATAACTTCAATAAAATAGAAATGAGAATACCTGAGATAGAAGCTTAGCAAGATATTCTGAGCCCATTTTATGTGCCAAATGACCATATTCAGGACTTGTCTCAAAATATTCCCGCTCCTTTCTACGAGCAGCAATCATATCAACATTTCTGTTAATATCAGCTTGTGAACGGTTGACAATTCCAACCCATGGATGCTGCAACCTGTATTGCCTGCCCTCAAGAACCTTCAGGATTCATATAAAAAATGGTCATTTCGCACTCAACAATAAACTAGACGATGACATTTAAATGCATGGAAATCAATTTAAGTTACTGAACACCAAGACAGAAGATGGTTGCAGTTATTAAGAAATCATACATCAACTGCATTAGTTCCTTTATCCATAAGATCAAGTTTTGTAACAACACCAAATGTTCTTTCACCTGAAACATCATAAAAGAAAGGTTTTTGTCTAAGTGAACGCTGGCCAGAAAAGAAAAGAATTAAATAATCATTAAGAAAAAGCATCTACCCTTGGAATTCCTTCCAATATAAAGAGCCATACCTGAAGGGTCAACTTCTCTCGCAATTTTTATGGCATCTGAAGTTGCAATATCTTGATTTGCAGGAGAGATAGCTAAGATAATGCAGTTTGGCTTCACAATCAAAGAACTCAATTAGATCATTTAGATAAGTACCTTATATCATACTTGTTTAATAAAATGTAAATCATATCTGAAAACTGCATTCTTCTCTTTATAAGACTGTAATTACCTTTTCAACATAAGAACGGACCATGTTTTCAATATCTTGAACAATACTCTCTTGTTGTCCCTCTGAAAAAGAAGCCAAAATTTTCATTATATGTCAGATTCTGATGAGCCTTCTCAGAATACCAATTAATTTGTATAAATGTACTGGAAAGTATATTAATACTTACCAACAGCAACCTTTGTCAACCCAGGAAGATCTATGAGGGTTAAGTTTACAACTGCAGAAAAAGCCACATAAAATCATCATACATCTGACATCTCAAACCAAAGTCATATAGGATGACGGCATTATTAATGAAGAAGAAAATATGTCTTTCATATTCCCATTTCCAAAGAAGGAGGATGAAGATTAAAAGAGAGAGCTAATGTTCTTCAACCAAAATTAATTATGATTTCAAAAATGTTATAAGTAGCAAGTGCAATGCAGCAGCAAAGAAATCTTCAGACCAAAAAAGTTGTTAAGGCAATCTGAAGTGAACTAGAAACTATACCAAAGCTATCACTTTGAAGCAACCAATGCCCAAAACTAGAGACTATGTAGCATTTACACAATCTGAATCAGCAACCTAAAGAGCTTAAAGTTTCAATTGCAGTCAGAGTGCATGATTAAAATAATCAGCTTACCAAACAAAGCATTGACATTACAAGCTAAATAATTAATTTGTAGAACATTTCACCAGTAGAAAAGGATGAGAACATGGTATAAAGTTCACTATTGACGTTCATGAACACTACACTGAAGCAGACACAACAAAATTTAAAGAGTTCTGAAGTGTCCATTGGATCTTACGTGGGGGGCCAAAAATGCATCTATGACATGGCTGGTGTCCATAACAAAAAATAAAAACACTAGCTAAGAAAACAAAGAAGTGGATTTATATTTAAATATATATATATATATATATATATAGTCATCCAAAAAGAAGAAGAAAATGAATTTGTAGAAATGAAAGAGCTATAAATAATATTCATCATCCTGTAAACCTGAGCAGAACCAACTTTTCAGCAATCAATAATTAGATCATGGTAAAGTGACAATAGAGCTACAATTGAAAGTTTAAAAAGAATACAAGATATGGAGAATGCAGTTAGTAAACACTGATCACTGGCATCTTTGTCTGTACTCTAATTCTCCATAGAACAGTTTCTTCATTAAGTACAGTGTATACAAACCATTTGGAGAATAAATGCTGAGGTGAATTGGAATGTTAGAAATTTGCTTTGACTTCCCAGTTATACGATCTGTCTCATCTGCTATTTCCTTCCGCACAGCAGCTGCATGGGCATTAAAAGGAACAGTTTAGAGAACCAATCAGTTCAGACTTAACACTATAATAAACTCTTACTCCAACTGTTACTTATTAGCTACACTGATCAATGGACAATGGACACAGACAAACACAATAAATCCCCATGCTAAAAACTCTGCAAGGACCTCAATCATGCCCTCTATTTGAAGACTACAGTATTATCAAAATGGTTGACAATCAATTAACTCAATGTTGCATATCTGACTGAAACAGAAATACAAAAATTTAGTCAGAAACTTCATTTACCAAAATCAGTGAATCTCTTTCTTGGTAAGTGAAGAAACTCAGCATATTCCTGTGTCCCATCTTCCGTCTTATGAAGTTGCAAAACTAGTGGCCTCCGTGTAACAATACCTTACAAATAACAAATAACAACGTCAAAAAAAGCCAATCAAAGGAACGAAAAACTATCATCCTCCACATCCATCCATCAAAAGAAAAACATAACCACTTCCTAAACTCTGCAATCTGCGTATTTTCTCACCGAATAAACAGTAACCACTTCCGCCGTAACTTAACGGTATTCCTTTTCACACTTAGTAACCACTAACCAGCTAGCAATGCATAATTTCTCATAAATCTATAGCCATTACTCACAGTCTGAAGTACACTGCTAAATAGATCTCGAAAAACAGCGAAAGAGAGCATAAAAACGGTAACAAAGAAAACGAGGCTCACCAGATCCACGTGGCAGAAAATCTCTTCCAACAACACTTTCCAACACTGAAGATTTTCCAGAACTCTGATATTCCACAAAACAAATTTTAAATAAATAAAAAAACAGTTAAAAAAAACGTTATACTTCTGAAGCGAAACGGAGAAGTACCTGTCCACCTACGACGGCGACGGAGGGAAGAGCCTCCCAGAGAGACAAACCCTCGCCACCGTGATCGCCCAAGACGGTGCAAGCACGTTGGATCTTATTGATGAGACCGATCAAGCTTGTCATAGTCGCCATTTTGTTGGATTGAAATGGGAGAGATCGGATTCAGATCGAATGAGGAATGAAAGAGATCGAATGAGAGGGTTTAAGATGAGATGAGTTTGGGATGCAGAATGTGCATCCAAAGAGATGGGAATGGAAACGGGGAAACCAACACCAACGGAAGGTGATGGAATATTTTGGAGACGGACCAACAAACCAAACGGGTAATTAAACGGTTCTTTATTTTACGTGCTTTATGGGGGAAATCGTCACTTCACACCTTCCACCTTTGTGTGTGAGTTCTAAAGTCATTTTTTGAAATCGTGACATGACACCGACGGAATAAATTCAAATAAATAAATAATATTATATATGTCTGCCTGTCAACTGCCTTGCACGGGGACGTGTATATCTATTTTTATAATTGGATTATTTATTAATTATTGTATATTTTTAAAATAAATATATAATATTTTATAAATATTAAGAATAAATTAATTATTTTCATAAATACAACTTAAAATTAGTTTCGTTCTTAAAGATTTGTAATTTTTAAAAACAAATGTTTAAAATATTATTTGCATATTCCAATGTTTTCATTTTTATTAATGGAAAAAATAAGTTAAATTAATGTCAAACGAATTCATATTTTAATAAAACAATATTGATAATATATGTAATAATAATAATCTATTGGTTGTGATTAAAAATAATAATAATAACAATGTTATAAATTATAAATGATGTTGATATATTATAATAAATAAAATATATGAATAATAATAAATAATTATTTTAAATATGAGATAAACAAACATTTTATCATTTTTTATATATTGTAATAGTTCTTATGTCAATATTAATGTTTTTTTAGCAAAATAAAAATTTATTTTATAGTATGGAGAGTTAATATTAGAATATATATATATATATATATATACTCTCCAAATATTGTGAAATCATTGAGAAGTGTGTGAAGATTGATGGATATTCATATAAAGGTTAAAAACAATAAATAAACTGAAAAAAGTGAAAATATGTGAACAAGCAAAAGCTGAGCATAGAAGTAAATTAACAACTGGTTGACATATGCTTTGTGATCGATGCAATTGTACTGTGTTTTGTTGTAATTTATAGAAAACACAAAATTGTTTATTTAATTTTGTAAATATTTAGTTCACATCAATTTTAGTATTTGAAAATTTGTAATAGTAAGTAACCATTTTAAAAGTTTAAGAACACAGGAAAAGAACAATCCAAAACGAACAAAAATTACATAGCTAAAAAATGTTTTTTTATCAAGAATATCAGACAAATATGACAAACATAAAGATCGAAGAAGCATATTTTGTCTCAACTAGGATGTATAGTAAATATAGCAGTTAACTTAATTGAATTTAATTAATATTTTCTATTTTTAAATACTATTTGTTTAAATTTATTTTTGAAAATGTTATAAATATAAAAAATTCAATTTTAGATAATTTAAATTTCAAATGTAATTTTTTAAATGAGTTTTTTAATGTGTATAAAGACAAAAATATATATATGAATATTATTTTTATTTTAAAAAATATAAGATTAAATACATTGATAATTTGAATACAGTTTTTTATAAAAATAATAATATATTGTTTTTTACTATATTTCATTTTCCACTCATTAAATACTTTTTTTAAGAGAAATCTTAATTTTTTTTAAGGAGAAACTACATTGAGAAGTTGATTGCCTTAAGATTGACTTCTTAATGTGGTTATTTTAAATTAAAATTTTGTTTTATTATAACAAATATAACACGAAATTAATTATTTTTTTAATTTAGAAATAAGAATAAAATTGTCACAAATGTTATTACAAAATATAAATAGTTATTTGAATAACAATATAACAAAATGATTGAAAATAAACAAAATAACTTCTAATATTGTGATGTAAATTTATTTCATTAATCAATAAGCTAAAATAAATAATACTGCATTGGTGATAGGAATATAGTGTGCAGATGAATAGTAATAAACATATGTGAACTTGACAAAAAAAGATGAATAATAATAAGTATTGCTAAATTACTACATGATAAAAGTCTACGTAATTGAAAAATACATTAAGTATACATGGTTTTACATTACACTATATAGTTTAATTTAAACATAGTTTTTTTTATATATTTAAACACACTTTCCCTATCATATTATATTATATTTAGTAAGGTGCATGTATACTTAAAAAGAAAAATACTGATATTACACTTTTTAACACATTTATTGTGACATATTCTTACTTATTAGACATAATTAATTAAAAATTTTAAAAGTTACGAGAATCCAGACTTAATCTAATAACTCATATTCTTAATTTAACCACATACCTCGCTCAATCGCAGATAGGAATCCAAGTGTTGAACTCTCTGCTCTCTGGAGTTGTTCTTCTGAGATTAGTTAGTCTATTTTTTTACCTTTGGAGTTTCTGCCTCATCTGTTTTTTAGCAAAAAATTCTAAAAGGATTTATAAATGCTACTGCTGAATAGTTCTGATTAAATATTCAACCTTTCCAATGTATAAGGACAATCCTAAATTAAAATTTATCATTCATATCCCCGTATCAAAAACTTATGATCGAATCTTCTAAACCAAAAGCTCTTCAATTAGCAACAGTAAATTATCGTATCCAATGAAATTGTCAACCAAAAGTGGAAAGCCCATTATTGTTGGACCCGGCCCAACAAAATGGACCGGGCCACAAGCCCATTTCCATGTCACCAGCGAATCCCCATTTTCTCCTTCATTTCACCTTGGTCACTGTTGATAGCACACCACCGTCTCACCATTCTGCACTCTGTTTTAGCTTCCTTAGCCACCTGAACCAATGCTCACGAGGAGAAAATTCCTCAACTTGTTCTCAACCCTCAACTTTTCTCAACTCGTTCCTCACCCGCAACACCATTTTCCCAAACCTCCCAAACCGTTTAGGGTTTTACTCTTCTATGGAACCCAAGCATCCAAATTTCCGGAATACGAGATGCCATCGGTGACGTGGGGCGTGATTCGGGGTCGCAAGGAGATGCTCGTATCACGGGTAATCATCTTCGACTACCTCAAGGTTTTGGGAATCATCCCCGATGAGCTGCACGACCTTGAGCTTCCTTCAACGGTTGAGGTCATGCGCGAGCGCGTCGAGTTTCTTCAAAAATTGGGTGTAACTGTTGATGACATGAACAATTACCCTTTAATGTTGGGGTGCAGTGTGAGGAAAAACATGATCCCTGTGTTGGGGTACTTGGAAAAAATTGGGATTTCAAGGTCCAAACTTGGGGAGTTCGTTAGGAATTACCCACAAGTGTTGCATGCTAGTGTTATTGTTGAGCTTGCTCCTGTTGTCAAGTGCCTCAGGGGGCTTGATGTGGAGAGGGAGGATATTGGGTATGTGTTGCAAAAGTACCCTGAACTTCTAGGGTTCAAGCTTGAGGGTACTATGAGCACTTCTGTGGCTTATCTTGTTAGTATTGGTGTTAATCCTAGGGATATCGGTCCAATGGTAACTCAGTATCCTTATTTTTTGGGGATGAGAGTTGGTACTATGATAATGCCTATGATTGATTACTTGATCAATTTGGGGCTGCCAAAGAAGGTTTTGGCAAGGATGTTGGAGAAGAGAGCTTATATACTTGGATATGATCTTGAAGAGACTGTGAAACCAAATGTGAATTGTTTGCTCAGTTTTGGTGTGAGGAGGGAGAGTTTGCCTTCTGTTATTGCTCAATATCCGCAGATTCTTGGGTTGCCTCTTAAGGCAAAATTGTCCTCGCAGCAATACTTTTTCAGTTTGAAGCTTAAGATTGAGCCTGAAGGGTTTGCACGAGTGGTGGAGAAGATGCCGCAGGTGGTTAGCCTTCACCAACATGTGATTATGAAGCCTGTTGAGTTCCTCGTTGGGAGGACGATACCGGCGCATGATGTGGCTAGTATGGTGATCAAGTGTCCTCAGTTGGTGGCACTGAGAGTTGAGCTCATGAAGAACAGTTATTACTTCTTCAAGAGTGAGATGGGGAGACCCTTGAAAGAGCTTGTGGATTTTCCGGAATACTTTACTTATAGTTTGGAATCCAGGATCAAACCCAGATACCAGAGGCTAAAGACCAAGGGGATAAGGTGTTCATTGAATTGGATGCTGAATTGTAGTGACCAGAGGTTTGAAGAGAGGTTGCAGGGTAATTACATTGAAACTGAAAGTTTAGGTCCAACATTCTGTATGGGTGGGAAATTAGAGCTACCGGGGAATGCCATAGTGTCAGATGAGGAAGAGGAGAGTGATGATGAAGTACTATACAGAAGAACTGTTTCTCTTTAAAGTTTTTTTCCCCACCCCCACCCACTCACCGACCAAATTTTGTATTGTATTTGATTTGAGCCGCCAATAGTTGAGATGTGAAGTTTTTAATTCATTCGTTACGAACAACTATGGTGGGAGGCGGAGTAAAGTCTGAAAACCACGATAATATGCAGTACATTTTTGGTTATTTTGCTCGAAACTTGTTTGTAAATTATGTGTTTTGAATTCGGAATGTTTGAAGTTTCCTTCATTATTTAGTGATAGTGCCATAAAGACAAATTTTAAGTCTCTTTTTGGGTTTAAACCAGTTGCAACAGTCGATTAAGGCACTCTGCAACTTGTAAATCAATCCAAATACGGATTTGTTGAGGAAATTCATACGGTATTAGCACCTTGATGAGTGTTTGGATTTGTGAGCCTTGGGTATTATTAACTCATTAACCTTTTTTCTTTTTTGAACAAGCAGGGGCTTCCTTTACCGGTCCACGGCTTCCTTTTCCTTTGGGCCTTCATCAGTAGGCCATCAAGAATCACAAAGATCAAGGGAATCAAATATAGGCATTGCTCACGACCAAAACATATATATAGGCATTGCTTACGACCAATATATACAGGCATTGCTTTTGAAAATGATTTCTACAATTTAATCTCTAAAAGTGAATAATACCTTCAAAATTTTATTTCCTAAAGATACAAAAAATGTGGTGGGATTAACAAAATAAAGTAGTTCAAAAAGGAAAAACCCCAAATATTTCACCTCTGGGCCCAAGAAGCCAATGGCCAGAATATGTACAACTAATACAAACAAAATTCTTAGTATTGCCAAAAAAAATCCTATAACACCTTGTCTTACAAGATTTTTAATTGAAATTCATTTTATATAGTAATTCAATCATAAATTATTATATAACTAAAAAATATTGACTTTTATAATAACTTTAAAAATCATTACTAAAATAATTTATAATTAATTAACAATGTAAAAATTTGCACTAATTGTTGCTAAAACATTGTTAGCAAAACCATTTGACATCACATTCTTTTGACCTTTTAGCCAGGTGATAGCGGTACAGATATATTACCCTCTTAAGTAATTAAGATGACATGACTATCGTACTTCATCTTCGGTGATAATCTCTCAAACACGAGGTGGAAGGTATGACTGGTACGGCTATTACCCTCGTAAGTTTTAACAAGAGAAAAAAAAATGAAAAGGCAGCACTTCGTGCTTCACTCAAGCATGAACTTGTAATTATTGACCCAATAAAAAAAAAGCATAAACTTATAATCAACATTAAACTATTAATGTATAGCACAACCAAATAAGTTTAGATCTTTGATCTGATTACAAAGATATTAAAAAACCTGAGGGAACACAATCACACTATCTTCGTATTACAAATATCAACTGCAAAAAGGAGAAAGGGAGGGATAAAGCTACCTATACAACCACACAGCCACTCAAAGAAAAGCTGAAGGTTAGCTCCAAGTCAATTGTCTTCCTTTGCCTGGCTTATTAGCCGATCTCTCTCTAAGCAGGAAATAGAAAGGTCTATGTCAGATGCACACCGATTCCTCAAACACTCTTCCCACCATCAATCCATGGCCAATATCATTAACAATGGTCGTCGGAATGCCAGTTACAATCTTGTAATCAATTGGGGAAAAAGACGAAAGTAAAAGTAAAAATAAACAGTTGGGCAGATGAACGATGCTGCGGAAGTTTACTCTTCAGTGCCTCAGCAATAGACTTATTGTCATTGGGTGCTGCGTGTTAATCCTCCCCGTGCCACATTTCTGAGCAAATGTTAACATATCCCATCAGTCATCCAAGTTAAAATTATTGGAGAAAGCAGAAACATGTACAATTTTAAAATTTAGTCAGTCACCAATTCATGAATTTTCAAAATCGTGCAAGTTGAAGAAAATTTGACAAAGCATCTACAAACTAAATCCCATGCTTTATGGGGTATGGGGATTTGGACAATTAGATGCAACTGTAATTTAATTTGGGTAGAAATGACAATAAGTTGAAGAAAGCACGAGGTAGACAAAAGAGCGGATCAAACAGTCACATCAGAAGGAAAACATTCTCACTCAAGCAATAGGGTTACATGAAGAGAAATATGATAGAAAAGGACTGTACTTACGGAAGATTGAGAAAACCTGAAACAAAATAATATCTGGGTGATAACTTATGTAAATGATGCCAATCCATTGCCATGTTTTGATGTTGTGATAAAATGTAAGTTGTGATCAATAAAAATGTTCTTCTTTCTGTCAACTGATGTAGAACTTCTTAATGCACACCACTTGGTTGCATATGTTAAAAAGCCAAGATACTGGCCAATTACCAAAACAAGAGGCCTATTATCAAGATGTGAACTATGGTGGTATTTAGCACAAAGATAGACCATAAATAATGCACATCTTGTAACCTAAAATCCAGCAAATTCAAATAGTTCATAACCTTGAACAGAAACACTTGATGAAATATACCCAGAAAGCAACAATGAAATAAGGAAGATATTGAATCAATGAGATCAGCAAGGCTCCCAGTCTCAAATTCATTTATAGAAAACAGCAAGCCACTGTACTCCATTAAATAAAATTAACAAGAATTAGACAAAAAACAAAGGAAAAAAAAAAGTACCTTCCAGAAACGAGCTGATGCTGAGCACTGTTCATAGGGCCCTTTACATTGCTGAAACGCTTTGCCCTGCTCTCTTGTTCTTTCTCCACACGCATTGCAGCTACCTCCTTCTCCATGGCAGCTACTTCCCTTCTCATCTTCTTTGCCTCAACTTCCATGGCTTTGGTCAATGTATCTACTTTCTTTGCTAGCATCTGATAGATATCGATCATTGCCACAATTAGCTAAGATTATAATTATCAATTAAAAATCTAGGATTAGTATCCAAAAATAAATAAATACTAACCTCAATGGCATCATCTTTATCTTTTAGGCTTTGATCTTTCTCATGACCAGCTTTCCTCAAGGCTAAAACCTCCTTCTGCAGCAGATCATATAACACTCCAGGAACACTATCCTCTGTATCCACTGTTGGGAAGTCATTTGGCTTATCATCTGAGTTTCCTTTCCAATTATCATTTTCTTCTCTGTCTTTGGTGCCTTCAGAAGATTGGTTGAACGAGTAACTAGGAGGTTTTCCATTTAGAAGAATTTTACTTCTTTCTAGTGACCTTGTGCCACCATCAAAAGATTTAGATGTGCCCTTAGCATGCTTCAAAACTGTGCTTGAAGACACGGAGGTCCTCAGTTGAGAAGATGGTGATCTCTTAGATAGAAACCCATTAGAGGTTAATTTTGAGATGTTATCAGCTCCACCAAGGGATTGTCGTCGAGAAGGCCCATTGCCAACACATCTTCCCTCTGAGGTGCCGCGATTAATACTGTTAGAAGTTTCTCTCAAACTCTCCTGTAGCACTTTAAGCCTTAATTGATATTTATCCTGAAAATTGTAAAAGGTTTACCTTGAGTAACGGCAGAAGTAATCTCCTAAGCTAATACATCTGTAAAACCAGATTATTACTTTTAACTGCGCTTCATACTTTGCAGTGCGCTCAGTGATAGCAAGTTTGTCCCGAAGCTGCTGCATCTCTCCCTATAAGAATGTAGTTTGGTAAAAAGAAATAGGAACTGCATTAAAATGAAGCTAAATGTAGGATGATTTATACTAATTAAAAGAAAAGCCACAAAAGATTAAATCCAAAGGAATCAGAAATAATAATATGCACCTGCAAGAATCGACGTTCTTCAAGCCATTGTTTCACTGGCATCACTTTATCATTAGCATCTTTCCATTCATTAGCCACCACCACAGCTACTCTGTTTGCAGTTACCTTAGCGCGAGCTAATTCTCGGTCGAGAGTTTTTCTTTCTTCCTATAAAGTGTCAAACAAACCATGAAGTAAATATGATGCTCTTAACTAGAATAAATATAATAATCAAGTAAAGATGATGAATTTAACACATTACATTCATTTCTTGAACTTTCCGCTGATAATCTCTTACAGCATTTGCAGCTGCACCACCTGCAAGGACAGCCTCTTCTAGTTCTCTCACAGTTTGGGTAAGCTTTTCAACCTCAGCCACCTTCAGTCTATGCATTTTGTCCAAAATTTTATTTTCTTCCTGGGAGAGGTGATGATGATATCAAGTATAAGAAATAACATTATTATGGCTGATGTACTTGGAGTGAAATATTGTAAAAGACTGCAAATACCTGGCAAATCTCAATCTGTTTCATTAGTTCTTGATTTTTATTTTGGAGATCGTCCACCATGGAGGCCTTAGCCAAGGCGACCTGAACAGTCTTCTCAGCTTCAAGAAGTGCTGCTTCTTTAGATTTGGTAAGACGATCTAAAGCTTTGTTATCATCTTGAAGTTTAGCAATCTGCAAGAAGCAAATAGAAGAAAATCATCCCATAAACACCAATTATAAGTCAGCTTCAGTCCCCTACACCAGTCTTTTCTCATGGGAATCGCCTAAGTAGAAGAACAACGTCATAATACCTCTTGCCGAGCAAGCTTAAGTTCAGCCTCAAGAGGAGCAAGAATGGCTTCTATAGGAGGCATGTCATCATCCTTCTGGGCAGCATGGACCCTCCGGAGAGTGGCTTCAGCTGCAAACTGGGCTGCCATTGATGCTTTCTTTTCATCATTGATTTTCTTTATTTCAAGATTCTGCAAAAAATACCCAGTTCAGTGAGCATATCATTGTATCCTCAAAATATTACTCATCACTAAGGGTGATAAAGGCTTCAAGCAATACTTTGCTTTCTAGAAGAGATTCAGTTAACTTCAGCTTCCCCTCAACCTTTGACAATTCTTCAGTAAGCTACAGTGCAAAGAAAAAACAGAAAATTAAGTTACATTTCAAGTTGACAGAAAGATGAAAGTACGCAGGAGAAGCAGCAGGAACATGAATAAGTGAAATTTTGGCACGGACAAGTTCTCAAGTAACCGTGTAAAAACAATGCAACGAAATGATTGAAATCATTATTACAATACTATTAAGGTTAAAATACAAGACGGAACAAAGTAGCCCCACGCCCTAAACCAGTCAAAACATAATTACGGCATAAATATAAGGGAAAAAAAAAAAGCGGCATAATGACTCTAAATAAAAAGGTATACGGAATCAGCATCAGAAGCACTATAAGCAAACTCGAATCAATATTATCAGAAATAAACACAGACATATACCGAATGTTTTGTAAAAATAAAAAATAAAAATAAAACAAATCTTTCTTTGATAAGTAATCAAATAAAATCAGTAAAGAAGCATTGTCCAGTACAAATAAAATCCTAAGAAATTGCTAACAATGTTTTCAAAATCCTCACAGTAACAGCAATGATCCTTTTGGAAATTTGTAATTGAATTAATTTCACTTTAATTAAACGAAGGCAAAAATTAGAAGGTAACCTCTTCAACGGCCTTTTCTCTGAGCCGTTCAGAGAGCCTCAAGGCTTTGATCTCTGCTTGTGCGTCTGACAATTCTCTGTCCTTATCTGCAAACACAAGACATCAGAGTGAGTCAACAACGCGAAGCAAAATCAGGTCAAGAACTCGTCAGATCGAGTAGCATTTTCGCACCTCTAACTTCATTTTCCAACCGATTGAGCTCCACCTTTACCGGATCCGAACCGTGCAGCAGGTTCATGAACTCATCCGCATCCAGGCTCGGCCTCATCGAATGCGTTCGCCTCCGCGACGAGCTCTTCCCATCCTTGAACGATCCAGACACCGCCAACGGCGCCGGCGTGGCCATCGTCGCCTCCGCTCCACCGTCGCCGGAAACCTCCGCCATGGCCGATCTAACCGATGCCGAAACCACTCACATCCAAGTGCTCCTACCTCCGAGGATCCAGACACACAGAGAGAGACAAAGAGCGAGAGCGGAAGAGAAAATGCAGGTCTGAGAACGAGACGGTGGTTTTAGAGAGAGAAATTCGGAGATAGAAGGTTTCATAGCCTGTGCTTGTTTCTCTCTCTAGATTGTGAATTTAAATCTGGGCTTTCTTTTTCTTTTTTAATTATTTTAATTGTTGCTGTGTGTCTGGTTAGAAGGAGAGTGATGGTGAGATTAAATAAATCTCAGTAATCAGTGTATAGCTGGCTGTTAAGCAGACCAATACTGAGTGAGTGACAGGGAAACACAGTAAACCCTCTCATCATGCTAATCAATCTATTAAAGGGAGTTCCGGTTTAAGATAAACCGGTAGCGTAATGCGCACTCCATGCACTGCAACATCTTGAATATGGGTGTGTCTTACGCTGGGAGGCGTAGGATAGCCAATGGGACCCAGAAGGAGCTTAGCTGGTAAAACGTGTTTGGACAAACTCACTACCATTAACACTGACAGACATATATAATAGGGGATGAATGAGCTACTCGGATTAAATTAAATAAACCATAAAAATGGTGATTTTAGAATGTCTTGTGTGATTACCAAAGCAGAATGCCATGTCTGGGCAAGCTTGTTTTAGTAATTGATTTTATTTATGCTAATATGGCATGTTTGAGTGGTCTTAAATAGTTAATTAATATTAGGATTTATGGATGAGCTAGAGAATCATCAATGATATTCCAGTCTAGATAACATAATGTTAAAAAAAAAAAAACTACACAAACTGTCAAATCTCACAACTGGCAGAAGGGAGTTGTATGAATGCTCGTCTAAAAGTTAAAAAATACCGGAGAGAATACAATACTTCTAAATTTTGTATAACCAACAATAGACAAAAGTAGAAAAATGCTATTAACACATTTATTCATGATTTTTATAAAGTTTTACCGTAATTTTTAATAAAGTAAAGTTCAATAAACGTACTGATTAATAAAATCCTTAACAAAATATTATATTAGGCTTAGAATGTTGCTAGTTATGCATTTATATCGTTTTGTAAGTCCTTCCTAAAGACGTGTAAATGTTAATTATGCGCTCATCATCTAATGTTGGAAAGGTAATTAGTTTAGGATTATTATCCGAAGAGTTCTATTCGCCGCGGGGTTTTCTAGTAGTCGAAAGGAAATGCTCTAATTGAATAGCGTTTAGACTGCGCGGATCCCATGTCCTAATTTGTTCTTCTCATTGCCTAGTTTGGTTGGCTCTTACTTTATAACCTTGTAAATGTGATTTCAATGTTTGGTCCATGTTAACCCTTGTAGTAACATGGTGAAGTTAATATTTCGAGAGTAGCATCAAAGCAATCCAAAATCTATTAAATGGTCATTTGTGATAGCTATTGAAAATTAGAGGTTGTATCGTAAAGACCACTTATATTTTTCATAAGTTGTGTGTTGAGACTTACTCACATGGAGGATCCTTCCCACCATGTTTTAAAGTGGTACCACAGAAGTATAAAGGGGCCACTACTTTGGATTGGCAGAGCATCGTAGTTTGGCTTGCACAACAACCTAAAGCGGTGACTTGTACCGTTATCAATTAGTTTGATTACCTTTGGAGGATCAGGTCGTGATCACATGTGGGGTATAAACAAGTTTCTTCCCAATATTTACGCTCATAACGTGACTACTTACCTCACACCCTAAAACAACGCAGCTGGTCTAATTCTTTAACTTGGGCAACGATGACTCAATTTCCACCTCAAGCAAACCCCAGTCCCAAAATGTTCACTTTAAATAAATTTGCCCATCTGCATTTACATGATAAACTTGCAATTAAAAAATTAAATTATATATATTTTCACCATTAATAGAAATTCCCATTTTATCTCCCAACTTTTACACTTGCCAGAACTCGGGAGGGAAGCATAATTCATTATATGGCCCTAATTTTTCCCTTTCAAATGCTTATTAAAACACTTGTCGAAACTGATCCAAACTATAAGATCCCAAATGTATATTACAGCAGCGTATAACGTTTGATTTTCGTACCGCATACAACTAATCACGAGTAACAAATGTACAACTGAATTAAAGTATGGTGTAACCTTAGCGCCAATTCTAGGAACAAAACACTCTAGATTACATGGATCGTAGCCAGATTCACCACGCAACTAAATTTACAAGACGTTGACATATGGCTATGGTTAGTAAGAGTTAAAGTGACAACCAAATACAACTACTCTAATTTACGAATTTCAAAGATATGTTAATGTTTTTAATGTAATTTTTTCATATAAATTTAGAAACGACAGCCCAGTGATTCAGGCAGAAAATTTGGGTATTCAAAACTCAGTAAATATCCAATCAACAAAACTTGGAAAACAAATCACATGAAAATATAATGCGTCCGTCAATGGAAAAGGAAATAACAAAAGCATCAAAACATAAAATTACTGATTCCTAGCATGCTTAAGCCTCCACTCTTTCTTCCTCCAGGATCAAAGGCTTTCCTGTTGGCTTTGCCAATAGATCGGTGTACTCTTGGAATGGAGACTTGGAGAAGCGAGTCTCCCTCCAGAAATCAGGGGTCAGAAAACCGTAGGTTTTCAGAAGACATTCAAAAGTAGCCTGTAAAGACAAAAGCATTATGGACACACATAAATCGTAAATATCTAACAAGTTACATTTGCATATCATCAAAGTTTATATCCCGCAGTGAATAGTTATTTATGCAATTCAATTAATCTACACTGCCACGGAACAAAACAAAAAATAACGCACAACTAGTTTTAATTAGGATAAAAATAAAAACAAAGAATTAAATTTGGAAAGGGGCTTGTTTTGCGCCATTCACAACCCCGAGCAGCAAAATAAATCATCAAATAAAAAACAACTTAAAAGTAGAAGAAAAACCATCTTGCTATGCCACATGACCCAAGGTAAAAAACATAAAATTGTGCACGATTGCAACTACTAGTTCAATCAAATAAAAATCAACATCCAATACTACTATACATTGGTAAAAAGTTTTAAGTTATCAAGACAAAAAACAAATATGGCAGCATCAAAATAATACCAAAATAGAACATGGTGCTTTAGAATTGATCATGATTTAAATTCAAGAGTAACAAGAAGAAAAATTAGTAACCAAAAAACGAATGAAACAACTACATCAAGTACACAATGCTAATACATGAGAGAATTCAGCATCACATAAACATTATATTCATTTAATAATCAACCTGAATTCATAACCTAAATAAAATAATCCGAACAAACGAAAGCAAAATATGGATTAAATAAAAATGAGAAATAGAGAACGAGACCTTGACGAAATTTCCAAGAGTCTTGGTAGATCCTCTGGAGGAAGTGAAGACATCTTCGATTCCAGCAAACTGCAGAACCTTCTTAGGAACCCTAGCAGCGACAATCCCAGAGCCACGAGGAGCAGGTACCATGCGGACGGTGACGGAACCGCACTTTCCGGTAACCTTGCAGGGAACGGTGTGAGGCTTTCCGATCTTGTTACCCCAGTAGCCTCTCCTAACAGGAATAACAGAGAGCTTAGCCAAGATGATAGCACCGCGAATAGCAGTGGCAACTTCTTTGCTGCACTTAACGCCAAGTCCAACGTGGCCATTACCATCACCAACGACAACGAAGGCCTTGAACCGGGTGCGTTGACCGGCCCGGGTTTGCTTCTGAACCGGCATGATTTTCATGACTTCATCTTTGAGGGAGGGGCCAACCAAGGTGTCAACGATTTGGTGTTCCTTGATTGGGAGCGAGTGCAAGTAAATCTGCTCCAGGCTTCGTATCTTTCCCTCTTTCACGAGGCGACCAAGCTTTGTCACTGGAACCCACTTCTCCTCTTCGTCGCGGCGCCCTGAGGTTCTGCGGCGACCACCGCGACCCCTGTCGCCGCGACCGCGTCCGCCAAAGCCACGGCCAAAACCACCACGATCTCCGCCACCGCGTTCGGCCATTTTGCTGATGAGTGAGTGAGAGGGACAAAGAGGCAAGGAGGGAGTGACTGCGTTGGAGAGGAATGGGATAGCTTTAGGGTTTCTAGTTCGTGTGTTGTGTATTTATATATAAGGCTAGGGTTTTGTTTTGCTTGGTTTCTGGGCTTGGTGAGGCCCTTTCTTTCGGTGGATTTTTTTTCTGTGAACCTAAACTAAATTTTTTTTGGACCTTGCGATTAAATCATACCTTTGTGTGTCTAAAGCCGTTTAAATCATGTTTTATAGGTTAGCTGAATTCACTGTTCAATGAGTCATTTAAATTTAACAAGCTTTAAGAAACGTAAGGTGACGTGTTCGTTCGGTATTTTTATATATTTCATAATAATTGTTAAAAAATGTATTTTTATTTTATTTCCTAATTTTGAATATTTATGTAAATAATAAAACTATAATATTATTTTTTAAATTTTATTTACAATTCTTTGGAACAAAACCCAAAATAAAAGCATGACACTTTTATAAATAATAATAATCCTACTACTAGCTATTACACTTAAAACCATCTCAATTCAGAAATTGCAATTGTCTTTCTTGATTTGTCATTTTTTAATGTATCATGGGCATATTCATAAATAAAAACTAGTGTATATTATAATTTGAAAAAAAAATAATTGTGTCAATACGTAGTGATAAATAAGATAAGTGTAATTTCATAATCAAACAAGTTCTAACAGTAATTATCAGTGACTTATAAAAAGTTGCAATCATCAATTTTCATAATTATTTATAAAACCAATACATGAAATTAAAAAAAAAAAAATTCAACCAAATAGGCACGTAGCTTTTCAAACAAATTATTCTAATTAAGTTTAAACTTTGATCCTTCACAAATAATAATACCAACTTGCTTATCAAACTTATTTGACTTATGTTTGAGAGTGGGTTTTCATCAACAACAAAAAAGGGGATAAGTTTTTATTTTATTTTAAACATTTTTTAATTTAATACTTTTTAAAAACGATATATGTTCACACAGACAAAATGTCCTAATTTTTGGTTGATTTTTATAAACATTGTATAAACCACTTAGTTAAAAAAAAAAATTATCCTCCATTCTCCTTTCCATGAAAACCTCATTCCCAAATATATCGATGAGAGCACGTCATACTAAGTAATTATAGATGAGATCGCATAAAAAACTTTATATTTAATTAAACTTCTTACCCACAGTCTACAACTGACATTAGCCTAGCTTTCCATGCAATGAATATTTTTCGGCAAGTCTTATGTCAGCACAAGAAGTACGGCCACACAGTGTGGCTCAAATGGCAACTTAAGCTGTTAAGAGTTCCAATATTGCCTGACGTAGTCTCACGCCCTCAAAGGACAGGAGACCAAAATATTGCTACGACCAATCATAGTTATAGAAGCCCGTGAGGGTAGGGTTCTCAACTAGGTGACCACCTAGCAAAAAAAAAGCAATTATCTTTGTTTCTACCAGAAAACAATCAAGAATCCATAAAATACACAATGAAATAAGCTGAAAGTTGAACTGCCACACTTGCCATTGTTTTCTCCCATATGAACAAATTCGATACAAGAAATAGGATAACTTTCCACTAATAAAGGACAAGACAAGGATCAGATGAAATCATTAACTTATTCAAATAGATCTCTCCATAAGAAGCTTTCCTTCTTAGCTCTACCTTTTCTCTACAGAAGCAATTAAGCAAACAACGACTGCTTAACCGAGCATATTGGGAGAAGCTGTATTGGTTCATGTCTTGATATTATCTACATATACACATCAACAGTTGAAACGTCTGTGCTGTCACATCATTAAGCTAGGCTTGATATATGTCATCGATTGTGTTTACTATTACGTCACACCTGTTCATTTCCCTTAAGAATATTGTACTTGCAAAGAGGACAAGTTGCATTCATCTTTAACCATTTCACTATGCATGTAGAATGGAAATGATGGTTGCAAGGAAGAGCATGAAGTTCAGCTCCATCCTCGTATGAAGAGATGCATATGCAGCATTCCTGTAACAGAAAGACAGAAAAAATAAATTAGATGTGTTAATTTTGCAAGTTTTTGAATTTTAGTATCCCAATGTCGAAATTAGATTTATTTTTTATTTTGGACAACCATAAATTCACACTCAGAGGAACTTATGAAGTTACTTTATGAATCTTTATATGTAGTGGACAAGATAAAAGAACCATCTTGCAGAAGTGATTCACAACATAACACTAAAAGAAGTTAATTTTGTGATGTAAAACATACTGCATCCTCAGGTAAAAGTATTCTCTGGGTCAAGTCACCACCGCACACGGGAACCATTGATCCTCCTCCGTCACTAGGTGCTTTCTCGTTGTTTAACATTTGAAATCTGTATTTTGGAAGTATACTTAGATCTGATTCTGATGCACCATCCTACAGTGTCACAAAATGAGACAATGAGAACAATTAGAAGAAGACACACAAATATTTGAAACTTTTGTCAGATTCAGTAATTATGTTATACAAATTAAAAAGAAAAAACATACCTGTCCTGCAACAGCATAGAGGATAGCAATAATACAGGGCAAACAACAACACAGAGCAATTCCAATCAAGCATGCCAAAACAACACAAAAGATGGCAAAGAAGACATCAAATGCCAGAAAGACAACAGCCAACCTGTACAAGTTCCAAAAAAAAAAAAATGTGATAACCTTTCTTTAATATCAACAACCTTTGCATAATACATCATGCAATGAGCCAATTTTCAGTTCCCAAAAAAAAAAAAAAAATACTCAATTTAACAAATGAAATTAATTTATAAGAAAACTCTCCTTGGTGCTTTGCAATGAAACCTTTCTTTGAAAGATTATTTAGCATTTGTTCTGGTCCTTGTCAACATTAAAAGCTTGGTGGTCTACTTAGTCAAAACAATAGAGCTATATCATTAATTTCTTAAATATTAGGATGGATTAATTCCATTTCAATCAGAAGAAAAAAAGGCCATTACTTCATGAGAAATAGCACTAATACAATAAGCATGGAGATGAGTAGCTTTTGTAAATAACTTTTAGAAAAAACAAATATAATGTACGTTACAAAACGGAGTTTATATTTGAAGGTGCCTCCGTTTGAAGTGCACTAACTAACAGGGACATATATTTGTTTATATAGAAAAAATAAGAGCATATTTTCGTAAACTCTTGAATAGAAAATCAAGATATAGCCATGTATGTAGGTAAAATATTCTTATATTTATACGTACATTCTTCATGAAATATTGAGTGTGCGCATCTGCAGTTATGCACAAATATTGTTTATATTAAACTTATTACACAGACAATATTCTTGAAATTCAGTTTAAATAAAGGCTTACCAATACAAACGTGGAGCATCTTGCAGAAGAACATCACCGCCAGATACTACCCAGTAAAAGCCTACCATCCACCAAAGGAATGAAACCATGGAATTCAAGGATGCGCATCGTTTGGTGAATCTGAGTTGTAGGCAATCAAAATCAGTAGATATAAATCTTAATTACCTAGTCCAGTATAAATATACTACAACATACAATCCCATCGCAGATTAATTGCTTGTTTGGAAAAACGTTAGCAACCAGGGAACGTGCACAGTAACTTTCCTGATAACCTTAAGCTAAAATAGTGAAAAAAGGCAAGGGAATATGCAAGAGGCAAACATGGAGGGACATAAGAAAACAATCCCGATATCATTCTAGATCCATTCATGTAGAATGCAGCCAACAATAGGCATGATTGAGTTGTAGAAATTACTTTCAATTTAAGTCATTTCCACTTCCCAGACTAAAACAATCAATTGAAGTCTCACAAAACTAATTAAACTAGTTCCTCCTCGTTGCCTTCATAATTTAACGAAATTCAACACCAAGAGAACCTATCTTACGAATTACGTAACACTACTCAAACCACATAGCACTAATCCAAACCCATGCATACCCAAAAACTAACAAATCGGCGAGTTATTATCAAAATTCAGCATAAACAACAATTAAATTGAGGCAGAGGGAAATGAAATCGAACTCACCCAGAGCGAGAGGAATTCCCTGAGCTTCCAACTCCAACGTCGTCGTCGTCACTGTCGTTGACGTCGTCGTTTTCAACGTTACCACCGGATTCCTCATCCCTAGGCCTCTCATTCCTCTTCCGGTACTCGAGCCACACCAGCGCCACGTGGACAAGGCACTGCACCGTGTAGCCACAGATCCACACCCGGATCGGCGTGTTTGGCTTCTCCTCTAGAGTGCAACCGAGCATCACCGCCGCTACCACCACGAAGGCGATGTTCCACGTCATGTCTAACGCCACAACCGGCTTCGAGTAACTCCAGTCGGCACGACGCTCCTCGAGCTCACGCGCTGCCGTCTCCCGGACCACAACGGAGTGGCCACGGCGGCCGAGGAGGAGAGCGAGGACGGGAGGGCGAGCGGCATCGCGGCGCGGGCGAAGGAGCGGCGCGTGAGGTTGAGGAACGGAGTTTGGCGATGACATGGCTAGAAAGAGAAAACGTAAAGGTGTGAACGCATAACTGAAATTGAAAGGCAAAAGAAAAAGCAGGGAATAATTGACGATAGAGATAAGCGCTTCTTCTTCTTCTTCAAGTATATTGGGGGTGTTGTCGTTGAATCGTATATTGTTGCGTTGGTCGCTGAAAATTATAAAATGCAAAGTTTATGGGTATGACCAAGTGAGGGGAACTGCGCAAAACTCTTGAAAGACGGTTATACCCTTGTCAGGTTACTCTTTTTTCAAAGGACCAATGCTTCCATTTTTTATTATTTTTTTTATTACGACTCCTTTCCATTTGCTTCTTGCACGTCGCCTGATCCCCTAGAGGTTCACAATAAAAACTATTCTATCATTGTTGATTTTATTTGTAAAATATTAATTTATTAACTTATTATGATATTTTCAATATTATTTTTTGTTTATGATAACTGAAAAATAATAATAAATATCTTCAAAATATTAACTTGAAAATTTATAAAATATATTACTGATAACATCATTTTATCATATTTTTATTAAAAAAATTGTTAATTATTAATTTGATATTTTTTATTCACACCCATTTATAATTTTTTATAAAATAAATTGAGATAAATACATTTTTACTCTCTGACTTTTAAGATTTCCTTGATTAAACAAAATATTAATATTTTATTTGTCATTTCTCTGCCAAAGTTCTGCATCTTATTATTTTTTTCCCAATAGTTCCATGTCTTATTATTCGAGTTATCTTGGTGGTTTAATTATATTTTCCCCTCTTTTCATAACTAATATATAAATTTTACTTTAATATTTTTTTAATCTAGTCACTTAAATATTTAAAACATGTTTATTTTTTATTTTAAAAATATATTTTTAAAAATACAAACAAACATGCTCTTAATTTCTACAAATATTTTTTTATTATTTTACACTTTATTGAATTTTCTGTTACAAATTTTTAAATTTTGAATCAGTTAAACCAATTTGAATTTTATTCGAAACTCACAAATTATAGCAATAATTTTTACCCAAAATCATATCATCTCAAACTGTTTCCTTCATTAAACACTCTAACTTTACTTCTTATGTTCTAAAAATATATATATTGTCAAAGCTTTCAAATTGTTATGAATTGTTCACAGATTTTTCTTTTCAAAATTCAAATCATTCCAATCATTTATTTTATTTTAAATCCATCACAATTCCTTAAATCCAAGTAAAAATAAAATAAAATAAATGTGAGAACCTGTAAAAAAATGGCTAAGTTATAATAAATAATACATAAAGATTAAATTTTAATAAAAGATTTAAAACCAAAATCACATATTACTCATTATAAACTAAAAATGTGTTATATTAAATTTTTTATTTAGTAGTGTTTTAAAAATAATTTATATTTAATTATCAGTAATAATTATTTTATTTTATTAAACATGAATAAATTAAATTTGTCATATTTAAAAATACATATAATTTATAATTAAAATGATTAAATTTCCAAAGCAGGAAAGTCATTCTTAAAAACTTTATCATTTAAAACAATTTCACAATAGCAACTTGTGTTTAGTATATAAATAAAAATTTATTAATATAAGGTGTGTGCTGTAGTATTTAATTTTTTTTTTATGGATACCGTAACTAAAATTTTTTTACTAATAAACAAGAGACATGTGACAAATTAAAAAAAATATTATTATATATAATTTATTTAAAATTATATTATTTGTTATATGGTTTTATTATATATATATTATATTATTATTTTTATTTATTTTTAATAAATTTTTAGTTTTGAATAAAATATAATTTATATTTAAGTAATTTTTATTTATTATAAATAAAAAAATATAAATAATATATTAATTTGATGATTAAATAGTAATAATAATAAAATTAAGAATGTAATAAAATTATTTTTTTAAAATTTTAATATATTTAATTTTAATTTAAATATTCTTTAACTTATTCAAATGTAACAAATATAATAATTTATTATTAAATTAATTTATTATTTAAATATATATCTAAATATTATTGATTAAAACTTTTTATCTACGGTATCCTAAAATTTTTTTTATAGATACCACAGAATTTACCTTATTTATTAAGTACTAATTGTTCAAATCTTTTAATACAAAATTTTCAATGAATTATTGAATGATGTAATTGAAATATTTGTATTTAAAAAAAATATTAGTAGAAATTAGTGTATATTGTTGACTATTCTTATACATCTTGAAAAATGTATTGCATTGTCCGAAAACATTAATTACGAGAAACTAACTTATAAGCAACAAATATAACGAAGATAAGGATCAGAAGTATTTACTTTTAAAAAATAGGCGACTCAACACAAATTTTAGAGTTGAATTTAAATATATAAAAATAATAATTTTTTATTAAAAGCATTATTACATTTTACATTTTTAAGTCATAAGTATTTTTAATTGTAATAATTTAATATTTTAATTACTTATTTTCAACTCTAAAAACTGAAGTTATCATTTTTCTTTTAAAAAAATATTTCTGGTAACCTCAGAACTTACAATTAAGTCTAAGCAAAAACAAAAAAAAAATTATTAAAAAAATTATAATATTGCTTTTTCAATGTAAAAATACTTTTTTAATAAAAATTTATTCTATTTAAAAATTAAGATTAATAAAATTACTATAAAATATGAAATACAAATCAAAATATAAGTTTTAAGATTCTTAAAAGCATACAAATATATTTATAAGAATAAAAACACTTTAAAATCATACATCTATCACAATATGTTTCCAGAAAATTCCCAGTTTCACTTTTTTTTTTCAATTTATTATTTTTAAATTTTTAATGCAAGAATATAGTATATGAATTTAAGAATCAATGATTTTATCTGTTATCTAAAATAAATTTAAAATATTATAAAACCAAATTCGAAGAAATTAAATCTTCAATGAAATCAATTATACTTGTATATATACTACATTGAAACTTATGATAAAACTCTAATATTAAAATCTTAATTAAGTTAAAATAAACACTTCAAAATTAATATTTAGAGATTTCAGATAAATTTGTATATGTTAAAATGTCCTAAGAAAGATATTAGACTAAATCTTATTGGTTGAGAATCATGAGACCCCAGATTAATGTCCCATTGGGGAGTGAAATCCTACTAAGCTTGAAACCTTAATATAATTGGTAAAATTTTAAGAAGAAAGTTTGACCTAATGTCATTGCATAGTCAAAATCCGAGATCAATTTGTATTGATAATAATCTTATGAGTAGCGCAAACTAATTTTTAATAACGGGGGCAGTTAATAGTCACCTCCAAGTAGCTGTTAAATCTATTACATGAGAAAAAAACTGAGGAAGAATCAACTAAAACCTCTATAGCTAATTATCTTTCAAGACATCATCATCTCCTAGCAACCAAATCTCAAACTCCTTTGTTAGTTCATAACTTCTTATACAACGAATCGATAAGTAACATATCTGCCGGCAGTCTCACTTGGCCGGATGATCTTGACAACCTGTCCACGCTTGAGTCCATAATATCTTGCAACAGGATCATTTAGCTGGATTCTAGGCAACTGAGAAGCAACCCATAAAGCACCATGTCAGTATCTACAGAAATGTGTGGTATAATACAAGAATCACTATATCCTATATGCTTACAAGACGGATCATTGAATCAGTTCATAAAGCATTTTATAATATAACCAAGATTGGTTATAATATTTTTACCCAAAAAATAAAGGTTGACTACAATACTGAACACACACATACGAAAATCATCTATTAGTTATTTTAGTTTCGTTACCGTTTGATTAATACCAAATTTTAATCAGGTTTACCAACTAGATAGGACTCGTCAAAGCAACAGATCGGTCCTAGAAAGACAAGTTATTAAAATAAGTACTATCAATTACCATGGTTTATTACACTCCAACGAGCAAAAATTTTAGTTTGCGGATTCGTTCTTTTCACTGGACAGTGGACAATCGACAGAGTAATCTCATCTTAGCCTTTAGAACTTTTTTCAAAAAAGTAATAATAAAATTAAATTTTCCAAACAGGTCCAAACTCCACCCTCTATTTTTTTTCAAAACAATGATATCAATTCTCACCGTAAGTATTCACTATACAAAATAGAGCCAGACCTCCTACAGTCAGAAATGTCATGAAAATTTGAAAACTAGCCATCTGAAACTGGATTATACTACTTTCTTGGATGCACTAATCCTCTTTAAAACTCTTAGAACTAATTAGGGAGAGAAATCGTTATCATTTACCATAATTTGGCATTCAACTATCTTCTCATAGATCTGAAATGGAAGCCAAGTTTTTAGACAACCAAATGCATTCCCATGTGAAATTGTTTAGAAATATATTGCGATGGCAAACGGCTAAGCTTGAGAGACCCTGACAGCAAAGGTTAACACAACATTCAAGATCAAACATACTGACCTGAGTTTCTTTTACGGTATATCTCTCAAGCAAAGTTTTCTTTTCTTGATCAGTCAGGACTTGATGTTCAGGTACAAGAACATGCTCCATTATGTTGACCAGCAGTTCTGACTCCTGTATCAATAGTTATTCTTAAAAAACATGATACCTATCATGTATAACGTTAAAAAAAAAAAAAGGTGCAATAAGAGGGTGCATCACGAGAACAAACCAACTTTTAACATTTGAAAAGTAGAAATTAAAGAAATAACCATAAGTAACAAGATAGCTTCAGCACATAAAATCACTCAATAAAAAGTTTTCAAACATAAAAAGTAGAAATACAGCATGTATGTAATTTGAAGCAGCTCCCTCAATAATAAACCACACTTGTCTCTGAGTTTATGACGCTAAAATCACACACAGCAATAGTTTCACTCAGCATTGCATCATGCATTTCGTTAACTGTACATAGTTCAATCCCGTAAATGCATGCTCAATCTGTAGCAAGATGCATCGAACGATTATACATACCAATCATTAAGATAGTTTTGATCACTTAATGCAATTTCCTATCCCCCAAGGGACCCATGACAAAAAGGAAATAAAATAAAACAAAACAAAACAACTAAGCATAAAACATTGTCTGAAGATTCTCATTCATGAATCCAACTCCAACCAAGCAAGTATCAAGCATATTTGTTTGTCCCTCTCTACAAAATGATAAACAATACAGCTCACCTGAAAAACCTCCAAGTGAAATCGTGAAGAAATTTCGCTGACACAAGTCCTGGCAAAGGCTGTCAAATTCTGTTGAACAACTAAGATTGCCCGGAAAACATTTTCTGAATTCATGCGGTTGGTGTAAGTCTTCATGGTCTTCACACCGACCTTAGCTTCGTCAGGAAAGAAAACATAAATCTGATGAAACAGTAGTAATAGTCAGACAAAGACATAATAACAACAACCACATAACAAGTGAATGAAGCACAACTGAATCAATGAACCAGAAACCTGCTCAGAGGAATTATCTTTCTTAGCTTTATTGATAACAAGATCTTCCCTCTTCATGTTTTCGCCATACTTGTTCTTAAACTCATGTCTAGACATGTTGATTTCAAAGTCTCCAACAAGGTAACCCCGGTCCCTCAGCATCTGCATCAACGTCTTTCTGATTCTGTAAAGCTTCCATATTTCCTCTTCCGCAAGCACCATGCTTTCTGCTATCTATTCACAATAGCAACAGCCAACACACGTAAGAGGAATAGGAATATAAAAAATAAGCGATTCAGATAAACTAGGTCAGGGAGGGATCGATCACGCGAGCATCCAGTCAGCACATAGCGAACGAAAAAAGCGTTCATCCTGGATTCTCTTTTATGTTTCTAACGGCGCATTGTGACGCAGCGTTTCAGTTCTAAGTTCTCAGAACACGCAACAACAACAACATTCACAGAACTTAGAAAACGGCTACTACATTTTATTTTTATGAGAAAACTAAGAACATAGAGTAAACCATCACCTGAGACTGCGAAGCGACGACTGAGAACGCGCGCGTTCACCACTCTCACTTCTCACGACTACAGTGGGTGCAGAGTTGCATTCAAGACCCAGGGTTGAAGGTTCTTCTTTTCCATATATATATATATATGGCAATTGGCATGTGTTTTAAAATAGGGGTACCCGGGAGCGGATTATTTTCGTCCTTGTCCGAAATTTTATTAGCGGTAATTTGTAAAATTCGAACTCTACTTAGTCAAAAACAAATAATATTAAAGAAGTAAGATGGAGTCAACCTTATTTATATATAAAATATATTAGTTTAATGTTTTGTATGATTAAAATATATTTTATAATATACATATATATATATAAATATAAGTAATATTAATAAAAATATAATGCTATGATATGTATAATATTATTTCTTCAATTTTAATGTTTTATTATAATATGTACTTGCTTAAAAATATTTTTAAAATAATATAAAATAACTTCAAATGTAATCTGAACTCGTTCTTAAAAAATATTTTATCTAATTTTAAAAGCTATAATCCATTAAAATTAATACTGAGTACTGAAGTTGAATTAATCGTTATTACTCTTAATTATCGTTTATTCTTCAAAATGAAAATTTCTTTAGCTTAAAATTATTTGCTTTCCATTTATTCCTTGTTTTGAAGTGCCACACTGGAACTTGTTGGTTTAATTTATACATTCTTGTTAGGATTTATGTAACTTGTTCTTCGTACAATCGTGCTAGATTCGAATCTCAGGCAACTTATATCCGCCATAGAACATTGGTTGATTCTCTTGATTCCTATTGAAGATAATTTGAGTACTTGACTACACCGGAATTTGTACAGAAACTATTCACGTTCTTAGATGCACTCTTTTTTATCAACTAAAATTCGGCTCCACTGAAAATTTTGTGCAAATAACTGATCAAGATTAAAAGATTTAAAAAACTAATGATCACTTAAAAAATCATGTAACTTTTAAATATGCATAAATAATGTATTTTAATCTTAATCATCGGTAATAATATATAATATAATAAATTATTTTTACCATTCTCGCATAAAAAAGTTTTTTTCACCGGTGGATCAACTGAGCATTAAAAATACATGTCAAGTATGTTATGTCTTTCAACGTATTTTGAAAAAATTGTTTGCCTAATATTGTTTTTTCGTTGACAACAAACCTTATAAACAAGTCTAACTATATATGCTTGTACTGTAAACCCTAGTTGTAAAAATTAAACCGAATGATTGAAAATTGGCCAGTCTATTCAAACCAAATAACTAAACAAATCAATAACCGATCATAGATTGTTTGGATCGGTCAAAAAACCATTAAAAATTAATAAAATTTGATAAATTTATAATTTAAAATAAGTAACTCTTGAAAGTTAAAAATATAGGATTCGAAACTTCTCTAATTATTATGAGAATTAAACATTCAGCTTCATCTTTAGAGAATTTTTAGAATAGCTTTAAAAATTAAATTATTTAAAAAATTGACTACGTGTAAAATCGATTATATGTAAAATCTATTTTTGTTTTAATATATTTTCTGAAAACCTATTATTGAAAAGTTTTATTTTGTCTCAATAATTTTTTAAAGAGAATGTCAAATTTTCAGTTTTTAACCCAATAACTTTTCTCTTTAGAAAATAACAATTTTTTATTTTTTCTCTCAAACATGATTTTAATCAGTATTAACAGTTTTTTTTTTTCATCTCAAAAAAATGTTGAAAAGCTTTACCAAACATGTTCTTATTTAAGCAAAAGTAAATTCACTCAAGCAAAAATGCATAAATGACAATTTTTTTTACAGTAACATTAGCCTAAGCAAATTTGACAAATTTGCTTTAGCAAATTATTCTAACATAAATAAATTTTATATATTTGAAAATATGAAAGTTAGACATGGAGAAATAGAAGATTGATGATGGATGGAGAGATAAAGTGAATGAGTAGCATGAGTGACGATGAAAGAGGGAGAGGAGGCTCGAGAGTTTGATATGAAGGAAATAAAAAAAGATAGATACGAAATAAGGTGAGAGTGAAAAAAGAAGAACGAAGTTGAACACAAGGTAGAGAGAATTGAAGGAAATAAATAAGTTGGATATAAGAGAAAAAAAATAAATAAAATATGAAAGTTGAAGGAAAGTGTTAGACATGGAAAGAAGGATAAGAAAAGATTAAGAGAAAAAATATAAAATTCATTTAAGGTAGAATAATTTGCTTGAGTAAAAAAAATTTGCTTAAGCTAATTATGTGTAATTTTTTTCTCTATTTTTACTTAAACAATAATAAAATTGAATGTTCAGTTACCGCTACAACCGAAGAAAATTTAGACCCCAAAATGTGACAATTTAGTGTTTTTTTTTTAACTTAGCAAACAACTAAGCACAAAAAAATATCAACAATTCACTCGGGTTTTTTCTTTACAAATATCTTTAAATTAAGGTGCATTAAAATCTAGTTAAAAAAACTACTTGTATGTTGCCACAAATTGTCAACCACCACATAAATGCCATTGTTGTAAATTTTACATTCCTTGCGATCTTGTCTGGTCTGGTGATCGTTCTTAGTCCACAACTCTTTATGGTACTTCTAGGTGTAAGTCTTAGAATGGTAGGTAATAGATTCAAATACCATTACAAAATGGAGGGGGTGGAGGAGAAAGAAAGAGAGTACAAAAGAGAAAAATATAAAAAATGACTAATTGAAGACAAAACAAAAAAAGTTAATTTTACTCTAACAATTGCTTATGTCTCATTGTTTTTTACTAACTATAACAAAAAGTTTAGTTTAAAGGTAAATATTTTGAAATTACCACATAACTATACAATTTGCTTACATTTTTCTTCCACTTTGAAGTAATGGTCCAACCGACTTTTTTTATGTTAACGAGTCAACATAAAAGTGATATAAAATGTTTCTTCTTATTGTTCTATTAGATGTTGTCAACTTGTTCACACTTTACTTGATACATCAAATGATACAAGTTTAGTGAGATAGGTGTAAAATAAATTCTCTCACTTATAATCTTATTTTGGATAAAATATACACTTCACATGTTGAGAAGAAAATTAAAATAAGTTTCATGCATGTATCTTCCCTTTCTAAATTATATGAGTAAATTAAAAATAAAAATTTACATATAACATGGCAGTTTTGAAGTTAAAACAAATATAAGTTTTTTATAAATACTTGTTCACATACAACACTTTTTACTTTACAATGATAAACCACTTTTTTAAAAAAAAAATTAGTCCACAAAATTATAAAATACTGCGGAAGAACTAACACTAAAGAAAATATCGTAAGCTTAAAATCAAACAGATGCAAAATTAAAAGAAATTTTTTTTAAGCCTATTATTTATTTATTTATTTTGCTTGGAAAAAGAAATTTTGCCCGCCACTATCAATTTACGAAAGCCTCCTCAAAACCCTACATCGCTCTTCTTCTCAGTTCTCAGTTCTCAGTTCAGAGTTTCTCCCACTCCACAAGGCTTCTTTCCCTCCTCTCTTCGGCGAATTCAAATTTGCATTTTCCGTTTGTTTCTTGGGAAAGCCATAAACGAAAGAGGGCTTCAATTTCATTCACCATCGGCTAATCCCATCTTAAGCTTCTTACTGTAGGGCTCCCATCGTAATGTCGTGGGAAGACGAGATTGTGATGCGCGATGTCACGAATGCGGGCCTTGTTGTCAGTGATCGCATTGGTCGCGAAGCTTCATCTCAGCTCGACCTTGAAGAAGCTCTCGAGGCATCTAGATATGCTAGCCACCCTTATTCTACTCACCCTCGAGAGGTATCTCCCCCAAATTTGAGGGTTTCTAATTGTCGTTGTTGTATTCTACTTGTACACAGTAATTGTATTTCTATTCTGCCATTTCTGTAATAGTTTTGAATTATTCCGGAGAGGGATTTCTGCGGTGTGCATACATTACACGGAATGAAAGTTCACGGAGGGGGAAAACTAAATTCATCACTTGTTAGTGTAGACTTGTGAATAAACAGCCACCTTTTTTATTATCAAGTGCTTTGGTTTTCATTTGAAAAGTCACATTCGTTTGGGAAAATTCAAACATGAAGTTGTTCTATCAGATGCAACCAAAGGGAGAGGCGCTCAGATTTAGTGTCCGACTGCACCCCAAGTGGGATGCTTCTTATGGAGGATACACGTGAGGAGCCAAGGGAGAATAAAAAGAAAGCATGGAATTGATTTTTAAATGAAATGGATAATTGTTGATTTGGTACATTATAGAGGAGGCAATATCATAATGACAATATGGACTACAGTTATAGAGTGTGTCTGTTTGCATAATTAATGAGGTTATGGTTCAGTGCTGCTCTCTTTCTCCATCTAATGGTGTTATTCGATGTTGTTTCAGTGGCCTCCTTTAGTTGAAGTAGTGAATACCTGGGAGTTGCCTCCTGTGCTCATTGAAAGATACAATGCAGCTGGTGGTGAAGGAACTGCCTTTTGTGGAATATTTCCTGAAATACGAAGGGCATGGGCATCCGTGGACAACTCATTGTTTCTTTGGCGTTTTGATAAGTGGTAATAGTCATGACAATGAGTCTAAAAATTTCAAATTTAAATACGAGATTAGATGCATTTCATTTACTCATATTTTGAATGAAAACTGTATTTCTTGATTAATTTTTTGGTGTGGAGTTGCTTCCTGCCTTTTGTAT